CAGTACGTTGCTTTCGAAAAATTTCACCTTCTTCGCTACGGGCATCTTGCTAATCTGGTTTCCGGCCTCAGTCGGCATGTTCCGCCTCGCCAAAGAAAAAGTGACCTTGAAGGATGGCACCGTTGTTCCCAAGGGTACCAATATCGCCTTTGCGAATGATCTCCGCTTCGACCCAGAAATGTACCCGGAGCCGGAAACCTTCGACGGCTATAGGTTCCAGCGGATGAGAGAGGATCCTGAGAAGCTTGACCTCACGCCGTTAACCAAAACCAGAATGAGCCATCTCGCTTTTGGCCACGGCAAGCACGCATGCCCGGGCCGCTTTCTCGCCTGCGATGAAGCGAAACTGATTTTGTGTCATATACTCCTCAGTTATGATATTAGGGCCGTGGAGGGATCTCCTCCGGAACTGCGTGCAAATGGGATGTTTGTTCAGCTGGATCCTAGAGCAATGATGTCAGTGAAAAGGCGGGAGAATGAAATAGCACTGGATGGGTAGGGGATCATCTTGGATGGTGAAGGTGCATTCTGTCTGCCTTCTACGGTTGACCACTCGCCTATTGTGCTTTGATAGAGATCACAGATGGTAGTATGGTTTGGCTTCGTCCTGCATGTAGGAGCTACTTTGATCTATCTATTATCGTGTACTATACAGTGCATAGATACATAGTTTTCACTTGAACGAGTGTTCCATGAGGAGCTACTTTGATCTATCTATTATCGTGTACTATACAGTGCATGGATACATAGTTTTCACTTGAACGAGTGTTCCATGAGTTGCGTGCTCCTCCTTGCTGTTTAAATCTTCTTGCCGTCAGAAATTGCAGGTCAATGTTCGTAAGGAACTTGTACGGTTCACCGAGCCCGTGGGAATTTAATGTTCGCTACCCGCTGATTCAATCCGAAACAGGATCCCGCAACTGCTTATTTAGGAAGTTGCATTGCTTTTATAGCGACCCCAAGACCTGTAGCTGAAGTAGAAACACCTTATAGACTGTCCAACCCTAGCCCACAATGGGACGTTCTGTCTCTGGGAAGATAGATCTTGAGAGTTTCATCTAAACAGTTTTCTCTAACGTCCTTGAGACGACGATCCCGCTCTACCGTAACAGCAGCGGGAAGGAAAAAGTGTCGTCTATCTTTCTTCGCTATCCTTTACAAGCTAATAGCTATAGGCTTCTCCTAGCTACGCTTTATCCTTTATTCTAGTACTTATTCTCATGTATTCCTGATGTAGATAAGTAGAGCTTTATTATTAAATCAATAAATCTCTATTATTGTAACGGGCAAGCCGATTCAACGGCGGCCGCGCCGCCTAGCTTCTAGAACCTTCCATTGGCTCGAAGCTATAAAATGCTATTATGTTCTCGTGTCGTAGATTCTCTTTCTTTTTTTCTTCTATATCTTGATAGTAAACAGCATAGGAACTAGTTAGTTGCATCAACTCACTAGAGGCCTTTCACAATTATTAAGTTGATATTAAATCGTAATAATGAATGATATAACTAGAAGTAAATGATAAGTTGATTATTATAGAACAACAAAAAAAAGAAAAAGGTATTAACAAAAAGAAATTCAATTTTAATACCTTCATAAAACAGATAGCTTTTAATAGTCTTAATATAATCCCAAAGCTTAAGCTCTCTATCAATATCAAAAATAATTCTGGCTCTTGTTGGAACGGCGCAGCAGGAAGGGCGGCATGGGTCACCTGCCAGGTCACGTGGGGCATTCAGTTGAGATTTCTGCGGGCCCAAAAAGGGGCACATTCCTAGCCGGAAGGGGAGAACACACACATCGCTCACACACACACAGCCGTGCCTATAGCTCCAATTGACCTCTTCTGTGTGCCCATTATCGTTGCCACCTTCCTCATTCGGACGAGCCGCAGAACCGCTGTTCTGACAGCTCTTCGTATACTTACAGGGGAGCACTTAGCAACTGGTGTGTCTATAGTAAGAGCAAGCTTAAATTGCACGGTGACTAGCTTCCCTAGTAACCTCCCCTAGTCCGCATCTCAAGTTCTCAATGGAAGGAACCTTTGTAGGCAGGATCCAGTTCTCGGTCGCGCTGGCGCGTTGACGGCTATTCGGGCATTACGCGCCTACAGGACCTCACACCACCCGGGCCCAGTTTCGCTTGGAGGCTCCCCACCTGTGCCGGCGGGCGGCTGCGACGTATCTTGCTCATACTCCGTAACGATGGCCCGCCGCGGGCCGAGGCCGGCGAGAGTTTGTAAACATGTGTAAAAGCTATTATGTGATGTGGTTATGATATATGAGTAATATATTGAGCGAGTTTGTATATACATAAATACCGTTGAGGTGAGGATAGGCGGCAGCTCGCATCGTGGATGCATGTAAGCACGTATGTGCATGAGGCCTGTGGAGGAGTGGGTTTAGATTGAGGCCACACAGGCTATCTGCTGAGGGCGGGTCAGAAAAGAGAGGGCCGCTACTTTGTAGAGCCCTCAAAACAACAAGCAGGTTACTAGGGTGTATCGTTCTGCTAATTTAGCGGGGAAAAGGCACATATAGTGGGTCGGTCTCGTGTAACGCGATCGGGTGTGCTCCTACCCAAGCCAAGAGCCCCCAATGCCCGTAAAAGCAAAAACTCAGCCGATATCAGTGTTAACGTTGCCTCTTACACCAGACCCGCATATGAGGGCTCTGTTGGTGGTCTCTCCAAACGATACCTTGACTGGGTCGATAATGAAGCCTTAGAAAAAGTATCGTCTTAGTCCAGATTTACTGCATGTAAAATGCATGCATGGAAAAAGCATGTTCCAATATATTTCAATTTGGCCATTGACTGTATTGATTACAGCTGCGTGGCCAAGCGGTGGACCATCCGGCGAACCGTGCAGGAGTCAGCGCACAAGGCCGAATGGTGGCGCCCATCACGCGGTTTGCTTCCGAAACTGGTCACCTCTGTCTTTCACTCGGTTCCTTCGCACAGACCTACGCGTACGGTCGAGTGCTGTTAATTTCCAAGTGAGTAATGTACATGATTCGGGGCCATCTCGGTAGAGCGGGCTTCTGTCAGAAGCTCGGGTTTCTGTCTCCTTCAAACGCAATTGAAAGGCAGCTACAGGGTGGAGCAGCACGGGTGATTGATGAAAAGGTCAATTGATTGATCACCCGATCATGAAAAAAGTCCATGATTGGAGCATGATCACGAAAAATCGTCTTATCCTCGCTTCGGCCGACAGCTCGGCCTCCCTTTGTGCTCTTACGTATGATCTTGGTCTTGTGTACATGCAGTGCCAAGGCTGATCTCCGCTTTTGCAGAATCTCACATCCGCATATTCAATCTGAGAGCTTTCAAGCAAAAGTGCAGGTCATAGTTGGGCATCCCACCAAGACCTCGCTCTCGAGGTTAAAACACCTCCGGCTGCAGTCCATCCAAGGCCATTCTCCTATCACTCCACATGTACCTTGATTACTCTGAGCAATAATTGATCATTCTTCTTCTCCACCATGACTGTCGACCCCAAGCCGCAACTCCGGCGCCTCACCGCCGATGCCGATGTTGACCTGATGTGCAAGCTCCTCGAAGAGGACGGTGCCTTTATCCTGAAGGGCCTTCTTCCCCTCGACGTGGTTGAAAGCTTCAACCGCGAGCTGGACGTTCAAATGGCCATTCCCCCTCCCAAGGGAGAGCGGCTCCTTGCCGACAAATACCCCCCTCACTTCAAATACGTCCCCAACATCCCCACCACCTGCCCGACGTTCCGCAACAACATCCTCATCAATCCGGTCATCCACAGCATTAGTGAGGGCTACTTCAAGCACACGGGCGATTACTGGCTCAGCACGGCCTTCCTTCGCGAGATCGAATCGGGGATGCCGCCCCAGCCGTTCCACCGCGACGATGCCACCCACCCGCTGATGCACCACCAACCCGTGGAAGCACCGCCAGTCTCCCTCAGCGTCATCTTTCCCCTGACGGAGTTCACGGAGGAGAACGGCGCCACCGAGGTCATCCTCGGGAGTCATCGGTGGATGGAGATCGGGACACCGGACCGCGATCAGGCGGTTCTGGCGACTATGGATCCGGGCGATGTTCTCATTGTGCGACAGCGTGTGGTTCATGCGGGGGGTGGGAATCGCACGACCGCCGGCGATCCTCGACGCGTCGTTCTCGCCTATTTCAATAGCTGCCAGCTTACCCCGTTTGAGACCTACCGGACGATGCCGCGCGAGATGGTGGAGTCGATGACTGTTCTCGGCCAGAGGATGCTCGGCTGGAGGACGATGAAACCGTCCGATCCCAACATTGTGGGCATAAACATTATTGATGATAAGCGGCTCGAGAATGTACTGCAGTTGAAGGCTACTGATTCGCTTGCTTAGGAAGAATCGTGGCTGCTTCTTAATGTGTTAACTATTGTAAACAACGCTGAGTTTCTTTCAGAGTGGTGATGTCCGGATTACTGCGTGGTTTGCCCTAAAATGGGATTGTATTAGGGACTTGAATTCCTCCGGAACTAGCAGACAAAACGGCTCTATTCAATCCTGCTTGTTGGCTTCTGTCGTGGACCGTGCTGGAGCCTCCGGTCGACGGACCATAACGAAGCCGAGGAATTTTTCTATAAACCAACGTGGGCATTGAATATTATCGATATAACCCTCCCTCAAGTATTATTCACGGGATTAAAGACCTTAAACGAATAAATAAGAAGAAACACACCACCTAATCTCAGCCCTATGACTACTCGTTTATCCAACCTACCCCCTCAAGCAACCACCCTGTTATTTCGAAAGGCTCTAGTTAATGGGCCCTTGGTTTTCCTTATCGGGCCCTTAAAGTGTGGCTGAGACTGTGGCAGACTGTCAACCCTACTTTACGGCTTTGCCTGCGCGCCGGTGCACACATTTGCCGTCGTCATAGGCCCGACAGCATAACTGCATTTCACGTAGAGCCGTTGAACGTAGGGTGATTAATGTAATGTAAATGAGTGAGGCAATTGAACAGGCTCATGGAACATATGCACCAGGCTACGTCGCTACAACAATACAGTCCCTGATTAGGCTCTCGCTCCGTAATGCGGCTACGGCGCTCTCTGCATCGTCAGATGCCTCATCCATTGCGTTTTCGAGCTCAGCGTCAACATCACCCTCGTCATCCACCCAAGCTGGTATCTCTTCAAGTTCAACGTCGTCAGGATCGTCTTCGAGGGCCGTAATTGATCGATGTGATGCACGAGGCATCTCGGTGCCGGGTTCGTATGTATCTGGCTTTTGTTCGAGCCGTAACAAGCCCATATCTGTAGTCGAATTTTTCGTCATTGTCATCGTGAGAGCTGCTGGGGCTGTGGAAGGCGGCGGTTGCATATGCCTCACGGTTTCGTCTGACTCTATCTGAGCAAGTAGGTCTGCTGTGGTCTGGCGTCTTTTTGTCTTCTTGGCCCGGCCAGGAGGCCCATCGTCGCGAGGTCGGCCTTTTGACTTCTTCGTCAACGGTTCGTAGGGTGCTATGACCTGTGACCCCTGCTCGTGATCATCAACATCAAGACGGCGGCGGGCCTGACGCCAGTAGGGGTCAATCTCCTCGAGCTCGATACAGCCCTTGATACAGAGGGTTGTGTGGATAACGTGACGGCACGGAATACCGTAGGCTGTGAAGAGACTGCAGTGGCAAGGGCCTGGCGGTGACTTCGATAGATCTTTATCAAGGCTGCGCTGTTCCTTCAGCATCAGCTTCATCGCCGAGGGGGTTACATGTTCTCGTATGAGCTCGTAAAGCCGTTGGAATGTAGCTGTAGGCACCTTGCCTGTGGCATTGATGTCAGCCGTAGCAACGGACGCCTCTTGGTCAACCCAAAAGCGATGGAGACCTCGGAAGACGGTAGATAAATCACCCGTGCTACTCCAGACCGTCCGTTTCATCGTGGCATGAAGAGACTCAATAATGGAGGTTGTTGTATGTCCAAAGTGACGATGCTGGTCGATGAAGCACACCACAAACTTCTCTTTCCACGGCACAATCCACGTATTGGTAGCGTACGTGACTGCGGCGGCTGGATGTCTGCCCCCTTGAAGCTTCTGTAAGTTCTCTTTGAATTCCTCCTTTGTTGGGCTGCGGACGAGGGAATTCCAGTCTTTGATGAATGCCGTGAACTCAGGGGCTCGCATGACCCTGCCGTCTGCATTCCTAAGGCCGGGCGGAAAGTGCCTCTTCGTCTTTGCAAGCACGTTTTTATTGATATGCCAACGGCATAAGATATGTGGAAGCGGGTGGAAGAGTCGGTTCGTGTTTAAAGCCTTGATGAGGGCAAGGTCTCGGTCCGTGATAGTAACCCGGGGTCGTTGATCGATCGAATTGTCGCAGAGAAGGCGCTCGAACTGACTTAGAGCCCAATCGTAATCTTCTTTAGTCTCGCCGCTCATAAATACGGCGAAGATTTGGAAGGTCTTGCGGTTTGGCGTAGCGCCACAGGCGTTAAAAAGAGGCATGTTGAACCGGTTAGTCTTATACGTGCAGTCGAAGAGCATGACATGAGGGTAACGGCGGAAGAGCTCGATGCCACTTTTTGGAGCAATAAAGAGCGCCTTAAGCCTGTCCTCGTCATCGCGACGATCATAGCAGACGTAGTCACCGGTCTGATAGAGCTCGTCATAAAGCCACTGCAGCTCTGACCTACCCGAAAGCACAGAGGCTTGGTACCGGTTTAGTACGTTCCTGATGTCTTGTTGTGTAGCGTACTTGATGTCTTCGGGAAGGTTGGGCTCGCTGTTGCGCCAAGATGAGAGAATCTTTCCGGGTCGATTGCCGTCATTCCAACGTCTTACGATATCGTCAAGGCGGTTCTCGAGAGCTTGACGCCGATTACGTGAGAAGACGGCAGAGCTTTTGGCAGGATCGTGATTGTGTGGCCTTGGGCCTCGACTAACGGACCAAAGGTCATCATCACCAAGCGTAATAGTGATACGGTAGGGGCAGGCACACATTTGTGTGCCTCCCTCGCGGCGGTCCTTCTCCGCGACCCCGGGAGCCTTGATAATCTTCGCCTTCCGACCCCTCGAGCAGCGAAGAACCACCTTCGTGAGCCTATCTTCAGGCATTCGAGACGGCAGCTTCTCTTTGAATGCCCATGAATAGCCATTGGCGTGCCCGGTGGCATCAAGGGCAGCCTTAGCAATTTGCCAGGTCTCGAACTTGCGGCGGAAAGGTGACTCCATTGGTGCGGCGTTGGTGCGTTGGGGATGCCCTCACTTTCGTATGCGTTCGTGCGTTCGTACGTTCGTGCGTTTGCGTGCGATGTATGCGCGTTGTCAATTTTGTCGCGTTCTAGCTGGATGCAATATTGACTACGGAGGCCGTCTTGACAAGCTTTCACAGTTGGCGGCTAAGGTTTTGGCGGGGAAGGGACGCGGCAGTCATGTGACTATTTTAGCCACACTTTAAGGGCCCGATAAGGAAAACCAAGGGCCCATTAACTAGAGCCTTTAAAACTGTCTGATCATTTGTACGATAGAGCGCACATCGCAGGAGGGTATCACGTGCGTCAGCAGGGAACAACGTTTACCCGACACGCACACAACCTATCAAACCTCACAGCATGGTCTAGATAGCTGAAGGCATAAGGAACATCATCACGATCATCGATCACCCAACTGAGACCTCAGTTAGAGCCTATCCACAAAAACGTCTTTTACTTTATTATTCTTTAAGTAATTAGTAATAGTAGAAAATCTTTATATTATATTAAAATATGTACTAACTATATTATAAATTTCTTTCTATATTTTTAAGATAATATATATGCTTAAATGCTAAGTATAAGCTAAGGTAAAGAGTCTAGGGTGGTGCTGTTTAACAAAGTGGCCGGAATTTTTGTCATCCCACTGTAGCAGTAATACCCCGGCCACTTCATCCATGGACTATCGAATTTTTATTCCCCCCCCCCCCTTTATTTGTTGTTTTGTATTGTATTAGTGTTTTTATTGGTGTTTTCCTTTAGCGCCGTGGGGACCATCTGCGGCTTACTCTCGCCGGGCCAGTGCAGTATCAAGGCAGCCGCGGTAACACTGCATCTGCCGCACTTAGTTCCTGAAGACTGATATTTGGACGGAAGGTAGAGCTGAACCTGCTGGAGGGACGCTGGATCAGAAGGAGGCATACTCCCGGGCTCAGATGTAGCGCGGCAGTGACAGCCAGAATATCTCGCCGAAATTGTACGAAATAGAACAGAGCGGGCGTCCGCAGGGTGTGTTTTGACAGAGGGAGGAGAAACGATCGTTCCCTAACCACATTACCCTCCCCAGGGCTAATCTGGCACCAGCCATGGAGCGACTCCCACTATCCCCCGCTGTGCTCTTGCTAACCATCGCCCTCCCCATTCTCTACTTCTGGATTCCACACAAACGACCAGCCAGGCACCATGGGAAGCAACTTGCTCTTCCTCCAGGGCCTCCAAAGCTCCCTATCATCGGCAACCTCCACCAGGTACCTCGCAAGATCCCATGGAAGAAATACAAAGAATGGTCCGACACTTATGGCCCCATCATGTCGGTCCAATTAGCCAACACCACCGCCGTCGTCTTCTCCTCCTGGGACCTCATCAAAACCCATATTGAACGCCGGAGCACAATCTACAGCAGCCGACCGTCCGTGCCCTTCTTCCTCCATGCGACAGGTGGCCTAAACGCGTCTATTCTCCCCTACGGACCGGAATGGAAACTCCAGCGGGCCATCCGCAGCTCCGTCCTCAAACCGTCCATGACGAGCATGTATCGGGATGTCCAGAACACGGAAACTGCGCAGCTCCTACGCGAGCTGCTGGCCACGAATGACTTCTCCAATTGTCTGCGTCGGTGTATTGCCAGTGTCTTTCTGACTTTGGCGTATGGGGAGCGATGTGTCGACCATGCCGGGTTGGAGGCGATTGACCGGCTCGAGGAGCTGAATCGCGCCATTGCACTGCACGCCGAGGCGCTATTTTCCGGTCCTGCCGGCATCCTCACCCACTTGGTGCTCCCTCAAGCACTGGTCAATCGGCTGCCGGTCCGGTGGAAGAAGGACGCTGATATCCTGCACGATCGGCTGACCGCTGACCTGGTAGCACGGGCGAGGGCTGCGCTGCTCCGACCGGGCTGGAACTGGGTCAAGGCATTCGCCACGAAGGAGGGGGTTGGAAGCGGGGAAGGCGGCGGGGACCAAGGACAGGAGTTTGGGTTGAAGCGTCTCGCCTACATGGTCGGGTCGCTGTACGAGGCCTCCATGGCTGCGTCACAAGCACTCCGAGTCATCATTCTCGCCGGTATCTTATACCCTGATGCCACACGGCGAATGCACGACGAGCTAGACGCGGTGGTCGGAAAGGACCGCCTTCCCGACTTCAACGACGCCGCCCAACTGCCCTATACGCAAGCCTTCGTCAAAGAAGCCATGCGCTGGCGCTCTCTGACACCCATGGGGTCACCCCGTGCCACATCCGACGAAGACGAGTGCAGAGGCTACCACATCCCTCGTGGCGCTACTGTCCTCGTCAACGTGTGGGCGATGAACCACGACGAGGCCGTTTTCCTCGACCCCTTCGCGTTCAAGCCGGAGAGATGGATCGAGAACCCGGATCTGCCGCAGATGCTGTATGGGATGGGCCAGCGCGCGTGTCCGGGGCGCCACATGGGGCAGGACTCGTTGTTCTTGGGCACTGCTCGTTTGTTTTGGGCGTTTGATGCCGCCCTGCCGGTTGGCGCGGAGGCGATTGACCAGGAGCGGTTCCTGGACAGTGGGACGACGCTCGCGGCGTTCCTACCGCATTTTGAGGTGAAACTTACGCCGAGGTCTGGGAAGCATCGGCAGGTCATTGAGGACTCTGCGGATAGCGTGGTTGTGTCGTCGGATGTCTTGTCAGCTGCAGTGGCTACGTAGTTATCGTTGGTGGTTTACGCGTTGCTGGGCACGTAAATGGCGAGTAACACTATCCGCACAACACTTTTTTTGACTATTTGTACATACCCCTTTTTCAAAAGCCCTTGCAAATTCTAAATAATATTCCGAGACTAACCCCCTAACCCTCACCCCGTCGGTTTGAAGAAATTTTCGGTTTGCTGGGCATATCAACGGGCTTTGTACGAACAGTATTTCTCTAGAAAGTCGTGGAGTCTGTTTTGAAAGATAAATGATAAGAGTATGGAGTGGTAGGGACCCCGATATATACTGTTCATCCGTGTCGAATTGTAGAGCCCTGAAGCACAAGCACCGATTTTCATCGAAAATGAGAGGGAAATGTAGGGGAGAAAAGCAAAGGTATTTCAATTGGCAAGCGCTAGGTCTCCGACAGGGTTGAAGCTGTGGTTGTAGAGCGTTACGTAGGGACCGCCGTCCTTGTAAGCAAAAGAGATATATGCGCACAGGTGCGCGGCTTTCTCAAAGTCCTCACCGGGGCTGTCAGAGCATGACATTTAGTGATGCTCCTATAAAAACAGGGAGGAGGAAGGGGGGGGGTAGGGGGGGCTCACTAATTCGCTAGAAAATTGCCCTGGTAGTGACTGGCCATATCCTCCCAGCCAAGCCTCCGGTAAAAGGTAGTAAGCCCCTCAACAAGCTTCCGCGAGTTCATCCCGAACACACAGACATACATCTGGGGATCAGGGAATGGCGACCGACTCCCGTCCAGATGGAAGTGGAACATCATGGGCGCCTCGAATCCGGCCGATGACTTTCCAAGCTCGCAGAAGTCCTGCGGCATGGTATAGTAACCCTCGCGCATCTGGATATCAGCCCAGAATTGCCGCAGCAGCTCCAGGCCTTTGAGTACATCCGGGTCTCTTCGGAGGCCCCCAAAGGTCCAGATATCCTCCACTCTGTTCAGATCCACATGGCGCTCGCTGGCGTAGAACTTGACGCGCGATTGGCCGGGCTCGACGAGGTCGGTGGACAGAAAGTGAGGGAAGAAGGAACAGGCGTCGAACGTCTTGTCCGCTTCGGTGGGCGGGGGCTTGTCCGCCGTGACAACTGGGACATGTTGGCCCCGGCGACGCCGCTCCAAATACCGTTCCAGATTGGCCAGCTGCGTCTCGAAGCGCGACCCCCGATCTACCTTGCGGATGGCGTTGACGAGAAGCTCCTCAGTCGAGCGGCCAGTGACTGCAGATTTGGGCTGCGGGTAGAAATACGCCTTGACCAGGACCGTCCCGGACTTCTGCAGGTCCATGGCAGTGAGCACCTGCGACTTCCAGGGGCTCTTGAACAGACCCGGGTTGGCTTGGAGGACGGCCTCCTCTTCCTTGGAGATGACCAGCTCGGCCGCGAACTCGTAGAAGCGTGTCAGGTCCACCCCCGGCAGGAGCCGGGCGGCCGTCTCCAGATAGCCCTTGGGACGGGTGGTGTTGAACGGGTCTTGTGCGGTGCCAGAGTCAGCCGTGGCGGGGTCGACGCCGATGCGAATCAAGGCCCGGGCGACGTTGTTGCTGAACTCGATGGGCAAGCCGGTAAGTACCATGCCACTACGCCATTGCGTCGCAATGATGCCCGTGTCTGGGTCACGCTGGGGGTAGGGGCCCAGGGCGGGGAGGACCAGGTGTCGATACAGCGACAGGTATTTGTATTGCACGTCAACGGGGTAGTTGGAGGATATGAGGAGCCTGGAGAGGATGGGCGCGGTACTATGCCACCAACGCTCCTCGTCGAGACTCCCAAACACTATGCTTTCACTGAAGGTCCGGTAGGGGGCGGGCTGCCCGTGGGAGGGCTTCTGGTCCGGCGGTGCTGGAGGCATCTCTGCATGCCGAGGAACCAATGATGCTGACTGAGAAGAATTGTGGTGGAGATTCTGGCTTTGGGTCAAGGAGACAGAGTTGTACTTAATCGATTTTGTGAACATGAGCTGGCCGCTGATGAGTGACGCCCTGCAGGCAAGGGCAAGAGAGGTGATGCTAGGCGTGCAGTGCGAGGGTGGCCCTAAGAATGGTGGGCCGCCCAGACGGGCTGACTATTATGCTACACAACAGCCATGCCAGGATGCCGGGACTGCTTCGTAGGGTCGGCGACGGCTGCTTCGCGCTGTGGGTCTTTGGTCCGGTCAGGGGACGTACAGTCATACCCCTGAAAGTTTGTTAGCGTCTGTGTAGCATTTGTACTGGGCTTGCTAGTAAAAAGATACATATTGACATACAATCTTTCAGGGACAAGACTGTACGCTAATTACCTACATGTATTGTGAGGGCATCCCCTGAGTCAGTCTGCCGCATTCACCGCCGCTGCTGGGGCCTGCCCCCTTCCTTCTAGCTTGCTGCCTGTGCGGCCCCTGTGGCCCACATCTCCAGCGGCCTCATGCAGCTGTAACTGTAAGACAGAGCGGACTTATACAACATACAACACTAGCTGATAAAATGCAAAGTACTGTAAGCCCCTGGTGGGGGTGCCCCTGTCTTGCCTGGCGCAGTGGTTTTTCCCAACTTGGACAGTATGCCGAGCCGAATGCCTGGCATTGACAAGGCGCGCACGAACCCGCCAGGGATGAAGGGACAGCAAACGGTCGAACTACAACAATACGCCAGCCGATTGACGCAACCTTTTGCAGTCTACTTGGCTAGGTGGTTGCGGAGCTCGATTTCCACAGACTTGGTGTAGGTAATATATGGCAACCGAGTTGGAACATGGGTTCTGTAGCTCGTCCTGCTGTACTCTCTCTGCCTTGCTGTAAGCATATCTGTCACGGCGATAGCCCCCATCGGCTTGGGCAGGTCCCTCAAAGAAGTACGTGCGTTAATTAGAACTTCGTAGACCGTGTCCATAATGGCACTCACTCCCGCGGGCACGGTTGACTAATATCTCGGCCCGTACATGTACCTGTATATAGGAAGACCTTATCTTTAAAGACGCAACACATATCCAAGCAATGCCCCATCTTTGTGCGTAGCGACAATATCGTTGCGTTGCATACCTCGTCAACAGGGGGGTGCTGCTTTTAGGAAAAAGGTTGCAAGGGGCACTGGGATTCCTAGTTCTGCTTTCATACACGAGCCTGACTGTACCAAACCCAATGCAGTACTGTAGCTACTCGCAGATCCAGCTCAACATACTGGCGTGGCTCCCAGGCGGAGTATACAATTTCTCAAACCGTAGCCGACTGTCACACCCTTCCACCAGCCCGCGCATCTGAGCCAGACTTCTCTCCTTGGCAGAGAAAAGCAGGTACATCCCGATGTCGCTCCGACGCAGCTGCCGCTCACTCTGCAGGGAGCCTTCGCCCGGCTCCGGCAAGACGGCGTCCATGATGAGCAGCCGGGCACCGGGCCGTAGAGCCGAGCAAATCTGGCCGACGATGCGAGTGCAATCCGCATCGTTCCAGTCGTGGAGAATGAGGCGCAGCAAGTAAGCATCTGCGATGCGTGGCTGGGGCCTGAAAAAATCGTGCTCCTCGAAGGTGATATTTGGGTGCTGATCTACCCGCTGGCAAGCCTGCTCGACGATTTCGGGCCGGTCTTGCACCGTGATTTGGAGGTGAGGGAAGGCCTCCGCAATGACTGTGGCGACGTGGCCTTCCGATCCTCCGACCTGAAAGGCATGTCAGTAGATGAGTGGAGCGGTTGTTGGTGTACTTCTCTCTTGACGCGAGTGGCGATCCCCAATAGCAACTTACGTCGATCAACGATTTTACCGCGTCCCAGTCATAGGCATTGGCCACGTGGCGTACCATTGACTCATTATGAACAGCCATCCCATCATGCCATCGGTTTCGATTCACCGGGTCTTTTTCCAAGACCTCGAAGAACGTCGGGCCCTCGCAAGCCCCGGGTTCTCTGGCCATCAGGGCCAACGGACCCAGGCGCGTCACTTCGCCGCTCGGGTCCAGTGCCATGGACTCGTACAGGAACGAGCAGGGCCGAATGCCAAAGTCGGCCATGAAGCGAGCCTGACCCGCGTAGTCCGGGTCACTCACGAAGACGGCGGACATGGGGCTGTGTTTCACGGCACCCTCCGCATCTTCATCGAGGAACCCAGCCAGTCGGGCGAAGCGAATCAGACGCTGGAGCAGTCCCGGCGCCACGGGCCTTTTCAGTTTCTTGACCAGTGCATCGTATGTAATGGATCCGGTGGATGGGACATGATCTGGGACTTCAAGCCGGATCAAAGTCTGGATGGTGCCGACGTCGACTGCCTATGCCGCTCATGGAAATGTTAGTCACGTCACGGGAAGAAACGGGTAGGGACAAGGGGGAATTACAGATTCCAGCAGGCTCAGCAGTGACGGACCAGGGCCCCGGCCTTGCTGGAGAAGCTTTTCAGCCGCGAGCATGATTTCGTGTCGGGCGGCGAACCCTTTGGGGCCCAGGAGAGTCGGGTTCCCACCGTTTGGCAGGGACCTCGTTTTGTCAATCTCATCCACCAAAAGCTCAACATTTTGGCTCAGCCTGGTAGCAACCTCGGGAAGATTGAACATTGTACAGAAAACGGATCGTGGTGCGATTCAGCGATGTAGCGTACTGTCCAGCAGGGTCGGCAGGAAGTCGAGCCAGCTGTTGGTTGTCGACGATAGATAAGCATATAGCTGCAATACCGAGAAGCCTCGCCGTGACTGCGCAACAATGCGCATAGTCACCACTGACGTCCAGGGGATCCTGCAGCACAGTCAGCACGACCAGCATGAGGTGAGACACATCGACTCTATTAGCCCCGACGGCTCCCGCAAGAACCCATATTACCGCAGGGTTACACTCCGCCAGCAAACTATTGGGTTCTGGGCACAGCGCCATGAAATCCGTGGCATTTCGTCCGAAGATGGTGCAACTCTGTTTGCATACATCAACGGCCCCAGCAGAAACCAATCTCAGCGCAGGGTCACCTCGTACAGTACGCCAGCAAACAACCGGCTTCTTGGCATACTGCCGCTCATATGGCTCCAGCAAAAGGGGTAACCCACCAATATTAGCGGCAGGGTTACACGGCGTTGGGAAAACAACCGGGTTCTTGGCACCGTGCTGTGTAACGCCAAGTAATTCCGTTCGAAGATAAGGCAGATCGGCTAACCGATCTTGTTTCTTGGCTCTTCAGTAGGGCCCGTGCGGACAATGCTGAGTTAGCTGCTCGGGGAGTTCTGTCTTTTAACGATGAGCCGTTCTCGAGTAAGCCCCTCGCAGCGATTTGGCCCCAGAGTCACTCTAGTATTCGCCCCAGGGTACTACGCGTCATGAAGTACGGGTATATGGCGACGGCTGGCCTGATTGGCATCTGCACCCATCTTTCGTATTTTCGACATGGAGAGCATCATCTGTATCCCTGGGGGTATGTACGAGTCCACCTCTGCCTGACCCTGGGGGTGTCAGCCCTGCTATATGCCAAGAAGCCATCGCAATACACCCTCTCTCCAGAAGACCTCATCAAAGAGACCTGTCTGCTAATGGTGGCATACCTCGCTGGACTGTTCACGTCGCTCCTCCTCTATCGAACATTGTTCCACCCCCTCCGCCGGATTCGTGGCCCCTGGGCAGCCAAGGTCTCTTCATTCTGGTTGTCATTCCGTCTAAGACATGGGCCGTCATTCCGCATTCTTCATGAGTTGCACGAGCAATACGGCCCTGTCGTGAGGGTCGGCCCCTCAGAGGTGTCCATCATCCACCCGGAAGCCTTCGGGATTATCTACGGACCCAACTCACGCTGCTCAAAGAACGCCTTCTACGACAACGGCCATCCGATGATGTCGCTACATTCGTACCGAGACCGAACGGCCCACGACCAATGCCGCCGTGTCTGGAGCGCGGCCTTCGGGGACCGGGCTCTGCGCGGTTACGAGCAGCGCATCCGGGTCTATCGCCAGAAGCTCTTTCAGCGATTGGAGGAGAGGGCTGGTGCGGAATCGCCAATCAATATCAGCCAGTGGTTCAACTTTTACAGCTACGACACCATGGGCGACCTGGCCTTTGCGCGCAGCTTTGATATGTTAGACGCAAGCCGGAATCATTGGGCGGTAGACATGCTCATGCACGGCATGACCGGGTATCGGTATCTGTTTCCGAGCTGGTTCTTTCGTCTGCTCGCTACCATGCCAGCGTTGTCCAATGAGTGGCATAAGTTTATCGGTTTTGCGACAGATACCCTGCTGCGTCGCCTGGGTGTGAGTCGCCTTCTCCTCGATCCACCCGTCTGCCCTTTCTTGAACTGAACGTTGCCTGCGCAGGAGCAAGTGGATGTTCCGGACATCTTCGCGTCCTTGCTTGCGCCGCTCAATGGCCGAGACCCTACCGATGACGAGCGCAACATGCTCATGGGAGATGCAATGCTCATAATCACAGCAGGAAGGTTGGTTTCTCCCCAGGCCAGAGACGCCAGGAAATGACTCGACTGACCATCAATTTACAATGGATCTTGCCGTCAAGTAGTGATACCACAGCAACGAGCTTGACAAGCATCGTGTACGAATTAAGCCGCCGCCCTGATGAGGTCGACAAATTACGAGCTGAGATGGAGCACATCGAAGCTGATAGTGACGGGGAGTACCAGCACGACAAGCTCGCCAAGCTACCGCATCTCAACGGCTTTATCAACGAGGCATTCCGGCTGCACCCTCCCATACCCGGTGTCGTTCCGCGAAAGACCCCGCCAGAGGGGATCCATGTCAGGGATGTCTTCATTCCAGGAAATATGACGCTGTTTAGTCCGCAGTGGAGCACGGGTCGATGTACGAGAACCCTTCTACATTCGTTGAGCTTGTGACACTTGACGTCTGACTCCTCACTTCCCTACTTCAGCCGAAGCTGCCTACGTCGACCCTGCGCTGTTTAACCCAGAACGGTGGTACAAGCATATAGACCTTGTAAAAGACAAGTCGGTCTTCGCCCCGTTCTCCATTGGTACTTACTTCCGCTTGATTCTTGCAGCGTCCATACAATCGCCACTAACTACGTCTCTCAAATCGCTAGGTCCTTATTCATGTATTGGAAAGCCCCTCGCCTTGATGAATATCCGCACAACCGTGGCGCGTTTGATCATGACGTTTGACATGAGCTTTCCAGCTGGTGAGGATGGGACACGGTGGATGGACGCTGCGGATGAGCACTTTGCCATGGGTATACATCAGATGCCCGTGGTCTTAACCAGACGCCATTAGTTCTGTAGTTCTCAGGCCTCGCCATTGGCTTTGATCAGGCCAAATAAATCGGAACACTCTCCGCCCCCCTACATCGTTTGCTGCAGGGGTCCGTCCAGTCCTACTCAGCACTCCTTTGCAGCCTGCAGATTCGGCTTCCGTGCAAATGCAAGGGCGGCTGGCCAATTGCACGGTGCCGCGGCTGATGTGACGAATCAAGTATTTGGCTCGTGCCATGGACGTACAAAGATCTCCAAAAATCCCGGGTGTGCAGCTGTGAACCTTGCATCAGGACTATTATCTCATACATTGCATAATGCACGCAAACCATGCCGTTTTATTATTGCGCGGCGGCGTTCGGGTCGATTCTTCAGCTGCAGATGATGCTGTGTCCCAGACTACCTATGCTACTGCCCTTGCCTCGGTAGAGAATAGGGATCTATGCCTCTCGCCTCATAGTGGGTGACTTCGTTGAACAGTATTTTTCCGCATGGCCCTTCATAATATCCGATGCTGTCTGTACAGCAGGTTTGCTCTAACCAAGGGGGGTAGCTCAGCTGTATATATGCCTCGTTGCACAAGGAGTAGGGCCGCGAAAGCCACATGCGTATCTATTCCCATACTCGCTGCACTGTAGATCGATTAGGGCTTTCTCGCCGGAATATTGACTGTAAGCCCATGCACATTACTGTGGATGTTTCAGGGTATGTCTGGAGAGGAGAAATGCAACCACACGTCAGTGGGGTCAACCGAGTCGAATGTGCTACAAGGCCTGACAGCAATAAGGCCCTTACTAAGTTGGTGACCTTCTTGGCCGTGAGGACATAGAGCATAGAGGCGAGTATGGGGCGGTGCGATGTTTGGCTTGCCTTGATATTCACCTGGCGTGAATGCTCTGCAGCACGGGGCTTGAGTAGTGCTATAAGGTTATACACACATCCCCTGGACACGGAATTTACACATCCTGTCCTGACCTATGCTATGGGACGGGGGATTCTGCCACACATGCTACTACCTAGCAAACGAAGAACGGAAATCCGGTCATTTCCATTACCACAAAAGCCACAGAATGAATATTCGGACATGCAGAGTCTGGTGTCCAGGGAGTGTAGTTGGCCAACACCCGCATGTCTGTCCCCAGACGCGTCGGCTAGAGAATCAAGCTCTTTGCGTAACGAGTTCCACTCTCACCGCGACCCATAAGACTGCAGACGGAGGTTGCAGCGCAACCTCCGTCTGTTTACAGTCTTTGTTCACGTTGAGCACTCTTGTTCTTATAAGATACATGTAGTCAGCTAAGCTTGATCCTTCCTTAGGTTGTAAATTTAGAGTTCACCAGTCCTTGGTCTATGTTCCAGCTCTGCTCATCCTCCATAAGACACAGCATACGATTGCGCAAATTTGTTTTTCCTGCCCCGATCGGACTTTGCGCTGGGTCGGGATCGACTTGTTCTCCATTGTGACGGAGAAATGGCACCTTCGGTAGCATTCGAACGGAGAGATATTCCTCCATGCAAGACATCCAAAGACAGTCCGACGGTGCACAGCACCGAAGTAACGACAGGCAGCGAAAACAAAGAGGAGGACCAAAGATTCTGGGACACTTGCGTACACCAAGTCATTCGCGAGCAATGCCAGAGATCTCCGGACTCACCCGCAGTCAATTCGTGGGACGGGTCATTCACGTACGCCGAGCTCGACAGCCTGTCAGATGGCCTTGCGTCAGTCTTGATCCTCCTTGGAGCCAAGCCAGAGTGCGTTGTACCCATTTATATGCACAAGTCCCGATGGACAACGGTTGCTATATTGGGAGTCCTCAAGAGCGGAGGAGCTTTCACCCTTCTGGATCCATCCTATCCACGGAGCAGGCTGGGGGAGATGTGCAAGGAAATCAGGGCAAGCTTTGTCCTCACGAGTGAGGAGCTCAGAAAACAATGTTCAGAGATGTCTCCTGCTTTAGTCGTGGAGCACCTGAGCCGGGCATGCCCGCCGAGTCCCGGCCAAGCTGGGCCAACCATGCCTCGACCTGAAAACGCCGCGTATATCGCGTTCACATCAGGTTCGACCGGGAAGCCCAAGGGCATTATCATCGAGCATCGGTCATATTGCTCTGGAGCCCGGTCGCACCTGAAGGTGTTCGGTATCGATTCGACGTCGCGCGTTCTCCAGTTCGCCTCGTATGCCTTCGATGTCAGTGTCATGGAGACGCTCAGTACTCTGATGGCAGGAGGCTGTTTATGCGTAATGAGCGACTCTGAGCGAAGCGATCCAAACTTGTTCGTTGAGTCTTACAAGAAGTTCCACATCTCCCACAGTTTCCTGACCCCATCCTTTGCGAGGACGGTGCCATGGACAGAATGCTGCAGCCCGCCACCTACGCTGATTGTGGGAGGCGAACTGATGCGCTCCCCCGATGCGGCAGCATACGAAGCATTGGGAATTCGCATAATGAACGCATACGGGCCTGCCGAATGTTCTGTCAATGTGTCTGTGCAGTCTAGGGTGGAGGATGGTGTTGATCCTCGAAACATCGGATACACCACAGCGGCGACAGCCTGGATTATTAGCCCCGAGGATCCAGAGAAGCTGATGCCACCCGGTACGGTGGGGGAGCTGCTCGTGGAAGGGCCGATTGTTGGCCGAGGCTATCTCAATGATCCCAGTGCCACTCGCCAGGCGTTTATTGATGCACCCGGCTGGCTGCGCCGGCACCGCAAGGGCACCTCTTATCGGCACCGCGTCTACCGCACCGGAGATTTGGCCTCCCTGGACAGCATAAGCGGTGCACTGATACTGCACGGCCGCAAAGATGCCCAGGTGAAGATTCGCGGTCAGCGGGTCGAGCTCCATGATATCGAATGCCATCTCCAACAGACCTTCCCCGACGGAAATGCCGAGGTCATTGTCGAAAAGGTCATCTTTTCCGACGACGGAGTGGAAAAGCTCATTGCCTTTGTCTTGTTCCGTCCGTTTGGCACTGGTTTCAGCACGGACGGCATGGGAGATGGTCTGTTCCTATCGCCGCAATCGAAGATGACGGAGCAATTCGCCATCAGCAAGCAGTATTTGCAAGCCAATCTACCCAGCTACATGGTTCCAGACATATTCATTCCCGTATCCACTATCCCTCAAACTGCATCGGGGAAAACAGACCGTCGAGCCTTGCGAACCCGTGCTGCTGCCCTTTCGCGACGGGACGTTGAACGTCTTTTGCTCTCGCCCTCGGGTGAAAAACGTCCTCCATCCACACCCAGAGAATCAACCATACGAAGTCTGTATAGCAATGTGCTGGGTCTGCCAGCCGACTTGATAGGCATGGACGACACTTTCCTGCGCCTCGGAGGGGATTCACTTCAAGCCATTCGTCTCGTTGCAGCGGCTAGGACGGCTGGGCTTATACTACACGCCAAAGATGTCCTTTCGTCTCAGTGTACGCTGGCCAAGCAATCAAAACGTGCGGCTTTGATCCAGACATCACACCATGCAGGAAAGGCTTTGGCTCCGTTTGCCCTCTTGCCTGTGGCAAAGAGGCATGATATCGTCGACCTGGCGCAGAAGCAGTGCCGCGTGTCTGCGAAGCTCATTGAAGATATCTACCCTTGTACCGCACTGCAGGAAAGCATGTTCCTGGCGTCTTTGAGGCACCCAGGCATGTATACCGGGCATATAACGTTTGGTATTCCCGACAGCATGGAGCTACCCCGTTTGAAGGCTGCGTGGCAGTCGGTGATATCCAAGAATGCTGCTCTGCGAAGTCGCATCATCGAGACCCATGAGGGGCTCATGCAAGCGGTCATCGTCGATGGCTTCGCGTGGGACGTAGAAACCGAGGAGATGCTGCCTGGCTGCTGGGAGAAACTTGAGATCACCAAGATCGGTGTGCCTTTGGTCCGGTTTTGCTGCCGTCCTCGGCATGGGCAGCTGATCATGACAATCCACCACTCCATCTGGGATGGCTGGTCGCTCCGTCTGGTGCATGAGCAACTACAGCGTGCCTACCTCGGACGCGATCCTTTGCTGAGCACCTCGTACCGCTCCTTCATCCAACACACACAGGACCTCCCAGGGGCAGACGAGTTCTGGGCCTCGGAGCTCGCCGGTGTGAATGCCCCGATATTCCCTACCTTGCCATCCGGAAAATATCGGCCGCACGCAAACGCATCGCATCGGCATTGGGTGAGAAGCTTGGTCTCCACCGGACGGGAGGAGCATACCACCGCTACATATATTCACCTTGCCTGGTCGTTACTCGTGGCTCACTATACGGACGCGGACGAGACCTTGTACGGGGTGACTGTCAACGGGCGTGGTGCCGACATACCGGGGATCGAGAATATCGTGGGCCCAACGATTGCAACCGTCCCGCTGCGCGTTCGAATTGATCAGGAAGATACCGTGAAGATGGCGCTGGATCAGGTCCAGGACTCTCTCGCACGCATGATTCCATACGAACAGGCTGGCTTGCACCGCATCAGCCGGTGCAGCAGAGATGCTTCGGAAGGCTGTCGCTTCCAGACTTTGCTCATCATCGAAGCTCACGCGGATCGCGACATGGCTGGCAAGGAGAACAAAGCTGGATACTTGTCCATTATCCGGGGAACGACTCAGACTGGGATGGACTACACGGCGTTCTCTTCTTATGCTATGATGGTAATCTTTCGTGCCAGTGCCGATACGAGCGCGATTTCCCTCGATATCACATACGACACGGACGTTATAGGCGGCGTTGAGGTGGAGCGAATGGCTCATCAATTCGAGCACGTCTTGCGCTACATCTATAAGCCTACCACGGAGAGAGTCGGAGAAATCAGCTTTCTCGGGCCGCGGGACATGGAGCAAGTACAACAATGGAACAGTTACATGCCACCAGCCGACAATCGCTTCTTGCAGGAGTCGGTCTTTGCCCAATGCTCCCGTCGACCTCAGGCACCCGCTGTCGTTTCCTGGGATGGCTCATGGACATATCGGGAACTCTGGGCACACTCGTCGCTCGTCGCCCGGCAACTGCAGGGACATGGTGTGGAGCGAGGGACTCCTGTGGCTGTCTGCTTGGACCGCGGCAGATGGAGCATTGCAGTCATCCTGGCCGTCCTGCTCGCTGGAGGCACGTGCGTGCTAATCGATTTACTATCTCCACGAGAAAGAGTGCGAGGTATCGTCCAAGCCGCCGGCGCAGCTATCTTGGTCAACAGCCATGCCACTGCCCCGGTGACGTCTGGCCTCTGTCCCACCATCATTGATGTGTCCCTCCTTGCGGCCCAGAACGGCTACTCGCAGACGGAATGTCCCTCCCTTTTGGACGCCTGGGAAAGGGGGGTAGGAACCCCAGAGGATCTCGCGTTCATCATGTTTACGTCGGGCAGTACTGGCCATCCCAAAGGCATCGAGATGCCCCATCGCACCCTGGCCACGAGCATCTACCATCACAGCGCGGGGATGAAGGTGAACTGCAGCAGTCGGGTCCTGCACTTCTCGTCATATGCGTTTGACGTCAGCATCTATGAAATATTTACCACCTTGACCGCAGGCGGAGCCATCTACGTTCCATCCGAGTTTGACCGCATGAACAACCTCGCCGGCTTTATTCGAGACGCGCAGGTCAACTGGGCGTTTTTAACCCCTTCCACAGCCAGAAGCCTCGACCCCGCAGATGTTCCCTTGTTGACTACTCTGGTCCTAGGAGGCGAAGCCGTGACCGACGATAGCGTTGGGGCGTGGGCAAAAGGCCGTTCCCTCATCAACGGCTATGGCCCTGCCGAGGCAACGATCTGCGGAGTGGGCAGTATCGCCGAGGTTGGGTGGAAATCCGGTGTCATCGGCCGAATCGTTGGTGGTTTGGGCTGGGTTACTGTGCCATCAGACCCAACCAGACTAGCAGCGGTTGGCGCCGTGGGTGAGCTTCTCCTCGAAGGCCCGTTCCTGGCTCGAGGATACCTGAACCTGCCAGAGGTTACGAGGGCTGCTTTCATTGGCCCTCCCCGCTGGAGAAGACAGATTCCTGCTCCGTCGCCATATCCTGCCCTCTACCGAACAGGAGATCTGGTCCGGTATCAGCCGGACGGATCCATTCAATACATCGGTCGTAAAGACAGCCGTGTCAAGCTCCGAGGCCAGCTCATCGATCTAAACGCAGTTGAGGCAAGTCTCAAGAGAGTGTATCCGGCTGCCAGTCAGGTCGTCGCAGATGTGTTGGTTTCCGATGATATCGCCAGACTGGTTGCCTTGATAAAGCTCGGCCCGCCAGTGACAGAAATCCACGATGATACCATGTTCGAGGAACCAGACTTGGCTTTCAACGGGGCCGCTGCCTCTATTCAAGCTTATCTTCGGGCCATTTTACCTCCTTATATGGTGCCGTCCATTTTTATTCCTTTATGTCACATCCCTCACACCCTCACAGGCAAGACGGATCGTCGTCAGCTCCGAGAAAAACTATTCTCGTTGTCACAAAGTGACCTGCAACGTTATATCATGAGCTCCCCGGCCAAGACACCCGTGTCTGATGACAATGAACGGAGACTTCAGGAAATTTGGGCAGAGGTGCTTCGACTACCATGCGAAGTGATTGGGAGAGAGGATTCTTTCTTACTCCTCGGCGGCGAGTCCCTAGCGGCGATGAAAATGGTAGCACTAGCAAGAAGGGTCGGGTTCGTGTTCGCTGTGGCAGACGTTTTGAACAACACGAATCTGTCAACCCTCGCGCGGTCCCGACATCTGATCACAGAGCATGACCCCCCGAGTCCGTCGCCCTCGCTCTCACTGTCAAAAATCGAAGATCAGTCCCTCCAGGAGATTCTTCGACCACTACAGAACGTCGGCCTCATTCAAGGAGGCAATGACATTGCGGCTATTTATCCTGTCACCGCCGCGCAAGCATTCCTCATACAGAGTTATCCATGGTCCCATTTCCAGTTTGACTTATCGGGGGATATTTCGACCAGCAAGCTTCAAACCGCCTGCACTACGTTGATAGCCCGATTCACTATCCTTCGCACGGTATTTGCCCAACATGCGGACCATCTCTTGCAGCTCGTCTTGCCGGAGGTGCGCGAGTGCGTCCGTGAAATTACAACCGATGAGCCTCTCAATGGCTTCTGTAACTTTCTTTGCCAACAGCAGCAAGTTATCGGTGTAGCGGGCTCTACGGAACTGCCAACTCTGTTCACTCTCGTGTCCAACCGCCGGTCTAACACACGTCGACTTCTCCTCCGCCTTGCTCATGCACAGTACGATCTCACCACTATCCCTTTTATCGTCCAGGCCCTGGCCGATGAATACAACGGAACCCCCCGTGCAAACTTCTCCGACTTTGACATCTATCTCCGTCATCACATGTGGCAGACTAACGACGAGAGTGCCCATGCCTTCTGGAAGCAGTACCTGTCAGGCTCTTCTATGACGTCTACCTATCAGACTGCAAACACTACGACGCCTCAAAAGCGCATCTTTCAGGTCACTGGATCATGCACAGTTACGCCCCCATCACACCCCCCGGGCATCACAACTGCCACCGCCGTCAAAGCCGCCGTCTGCCTGGTTCTAGCGTCACGGACCGGCTGCACAGATATCGTCATCGGTCAGACAGTGGACGCCCGTTGCAGTTCGGTCGACAGCTGTCTTGATCAAATTGTTGGCCCCTGTACGAACTATATCCCGTACCGGCTCAGCGTGTGCTGTTCTAAAGTTGCGTTGGAATACCTCAAAAGCGCGCAAGCCCAGCACACCACATCCCTCCGATACTCCTCCCTGGACCTTGACCAGATCGTGGCCAAGTGCACCAGCTGGCCGAGCAGTACTCAATTCGGGTACATCGTCCAGCACCAGGACACTGGCGCAGACTTGGCTCTCTCGCTGGGAAGTGGTACTACTTTCTCGCCAATGACTTCTTACGGCCGTGTATTTCCTCAAGGTGAGGTCTGGATCAGCTCGACGCCCCATTCTACTGGCCTGAAGATTGATGTCATTGCCCTGAGCTCAGTGCTAAGCCAGCAGGACTCTCAGACTATGGCTGAGGAGGTTGGCGCGGCTTTGGAGAACTTGCTTGGTTGTGGAGATCGCCCTGTTTCGGACTTGATAGGATATACCTTCGCTAGCTAAATTTATTTACTGAATATATACACAGGTTACTTAACTGGGTCGTAGATACTACTTGTCTCTGGGCTCACCACGTTGGGGAGTCGAGAGAAGCTCCTTGAGATAACGAGTCACCCATTGACAACAGATCCAGCCCCAAACTTAAGTTCAGCTTTCTCTCCATTATAGTGAGTGGAGGCCAGGAAAGTGCAATAGAAAAAACCCTTTTCATTGTCACGTTTCACGAGTATATCTAGGGCTATCCTGAAGTGGCCAGTCTCTGACAGTCTCTGACGTAACTTGCTTGAAGCACCTCCTCACAAATTTCTCTGCATACAAAGCTCAACTGGTTGAAAAAGACAAGAGCGGAGATCAATATTAAGATCACAGAAGAAAACAGGTCTGAAAGTACTAATGCGAAGGAAAGCGAAACTGTGGCAACCAATGGTTGACCCCAGTTTCTTTCTTCGGACCTCACTACGAGATAGGTATCTCAGCGAGAGCCCCAATAGGCCTAGGCCGGTACCTTAGGGAGGAACATCAGTAGACCATATCTATAAGGGCATACATTTTAATTATTTTGCTGTTATGACTGGCGAACTGATGACATCGCCGTGTCCCGAGCAAAGAAGCTGAGGGATAGATAGCAGAACAGATGAAACGGCAAGCATGAAGCCATCTGTTAAAAGGAAAAACGCAATAGATCTCCTGATAACGACGTCGACCAGGTTCTTGACACAGAGCGCCCGCGTCTGACAGCCGAGCTGGCCAGCTGTTAGGGACCCCCTGGCCGCCGGTCGCGCCTGGAGAGGTGCCTTGAGAGGGCACCGAACATACAGGGCGCTAGAGTCATTGCTCCGACAGTTATATATCTGCCTGGATTTGTATTTTCAAGGGCCATACATTATATAGGAATCTTTTTTTTAGATTTGTTTACTACTGTAACTGGCAAACTGCTTCAACGGCGGCTGCGCCGCCTAGCTTCTAGAACCCTCCATTGGCTCGAAGCTATAAAATGCTATTATGCTCTCACGTAGTAGATTCTCTTTCTTTCTTTCTTCCTTCTCTATCTTGATAGTAAACAGCATAGAGTCTAGTTCGTTGTACCAACTCACTAGAGGCCTTTCACATACTACCAAGATCACTGAAGACACTGAAGACACCGAAGACACCAAAGTAACTGAGTCCCGTCTGAACTATTAGCGTTCAGCGAAGTCGCGATGGCCGAAGATAATGACAATATGTAGCCGGACGTCCTCAGCGCCCTGGTTGCCGAGATACGAAGTCTTAGAGAACAGAGTTCCCGAAGAAATACCCAGTTTGAAGAACGTTTTATTTTCCTGGAACTCCAACAACACCAGCAAGCGCGTTTGTCAGGAAACGAGGTCGGGGGTATAGATATATTGTTGATCCACGAAGGACTAAAGCTATGGACGTGGACTAGCGATCAATATGTACAGGAGGTGTGGTCATGTGACCCTACGTGGCACGTGACATGGCATGACATCCAACCGTGACAGTACTTCCCCCTTAAACAAGCGTTCGACTCGAACGCTAAGGGGAAATACCCGTTGGCTAGTGCCTTCGTATGCCAACTTGGGGCCCCTTCCCCTAAGTTGGCCAAAAAAGTCGTGGACATGCAGAAAACCCGTGGACAGCCGCGCACGGGCCCACTATCGTAGCACCGCGTTTTTAGTGCATCTTCCCACCAAAACTCGCGACCGCATGATACTCATGACGTATTTCTACGTCGCCAACACGCAATGTATTCCCAAATCGCTATCGCAAGGGCTGTAAAGCTTGTTCTTGAGTCTCGCGAGAGCTTCGAAACAGGGAGCCTGTCACACATAGGATATCAGCCTCCAACAGTCTGACCCCCTATTCGCACAGTCCGTTTCCACATTTCCCCACAGAAACTTCTAGGAGGCATCATCAACGCATCAGTGGCTTCCAGATGATCCGATCAGATGCTTCCATTCACTACCATTCCCTTCCATTCTCATATTCAGGCAGTCTATAAAGATCTCGCCTCTTTCCCACCTTAGATAGCAGAATCAAGAGTCTTCCAGTCCCTGATCTCTATGCTCACTTTATCGCACGGAGGATGAGCAAGTGGGCATAAAGATCAGGGACTGGAAGACTCTTGATTCTGCTATCTAAGGTGGGAAAGAGGCGAGATCTTTATAGACTGCCTGAATATGAGAATGGAAGGGAATGGTGAATGGAAGCATCTGATCGGATCATCTGGAAGCCACTGATGCGTTGATGATGCCTCCTAGAAGTTTCTGTGGGGAAATGTGGAAACGGACTGTGCGAATAGGGGGTCAGACTGTTGGAGGCTGATATCCTATGTGTGACAGAGTGTAGCAATGTTAGTCGGGGATTCGCCCCGATGGCGATTGTCTTCTCCCGCAGGAGCGTTCGATCCGGGGCCACTTCGTGGTCATGACAGTCGGCGAAGTCCCCGTGCCTGCTCCTCGTAGCAAGCAGGTGGTGGAGGTATCGTCGATTGGTGTGCAGCTCCGGGGGACACCCGGGTGAGGCCTTGAGCTCTAGGCTCTTGTAGCTCCTCGGGGCCCCCGCGGCCCACCAGTCCAGAGGAAGTCGTGGCCGCTAGGCGGCAGAGGTCGGGGCTGCGAGACGGCAGAAGGAGTCAGGGCCGCAAGGCGGCAGAAGGCGAGGCCAGCCAGTAAAGGCGGCAGAGGGTGCAAGGCAGCGCGAGGCGTGCCAGGGAGGGCGAGAAGAAGTCGGGCCGCGGGGCGGCAGAAGAGGTCGGGGCCGCGAGGTGGCAGCAGAAGTCAGGCCGCGAGGCGGCAGAAGTCGAGGCCAGCCAGTAAAGGCGGCAGAAGAAGGCGATGCCGCGAGGCGGCAGAAGGCGAGGCAGCGCGAGGCGTGCCGTTATTCGAGACCAGCTTCCCAAGAGGAGACGAACTCTCCAAAGTCTGCCTTTGGTGCCTGCTAGAGCCCCGTTAGGGCTAGAGAGGCAGAAGCATGGTCGGGTGGCCTGGAAATTTCTTCATCACTAACAGGCTGCTAACAGCCCGCAGAAGAGAAGAATTTTTACAGGGGAGAGTTGGTCCCTTTTTTTTTTTGGTTGTATTACGCCCGGAGGGTTCCCCCATAGAGCCACTACGCTAAGCTACGTACCTACTATACATGGTTTCTCCTCACCTAAAGCCCAACGCTTCTTTCCATCTGTTTCCAGCCTCGTTCGCTGTGACATGACAGTCCTGCTTGAAGGTCAGTTTCTCCAAGTGTTCAGCGTCCTACCTTCAGCGACTGAAGCGCGGTCTGCCAAGTTGAAGGCTGTTGTGTTAGTATGGTTGTTCTTGATCAGTACATGGCCCGTTAACGGTCCATACTGAAGCGTTTTGTCGCCAATGCGAACTGTATCGTCGCACGCACAGCCCCAATATCAGGTTGCCACTTGTCGTCGTCTGACTCTGCCTTGCCTCCTAGGAAGAAAGACAAGTCTCCCACCTTTCCGCGCGCATATCGCAGCATGGTCTCTCGTTGTACCGTCCATCTTCTGCATCGAAAGAGGAAATGCTCCACTGTTTCTGCAGACTGCCCACAAGTGCACTCATCCGATTCCACCGCCCCGATTTTGCAGAGGTAGCTATTCAGCCGCGATTTGCCAGTTCGAAGTTCGGATTCCTTTCTTGTTAGCTCGTCGTACAACTTGCGGGTGTGCTTGCCCGGCAATGCCTTATCGATGCGCTTTGAGTGCTTTCCAACCCCTTCCGGGATCTGACGAACGCGAGCGTTTTCGTTGAGCAGAGTTGGTCCCTTCGCTGGTAGTAGTAGTAGTAGTATTGATTACCGTCTGGGACATCCCTATAAGGGCAAAAGACGTGCTAGGCTAGAGAAGACTAGATACATAGAATATCCCGAGTACCTGGACTAAGGACCGTGTGTAGCACCTAACCACTCCATCTAGCAATTCTGAGGCTCTGAGGCCGGTCGGAAATTGGGGCCCTTCCCCGTCAGCGGGTTCCAGGCACGGCAGTGAAGCCGTAATAGTAGTCAGTCTTTGGCCGAGGCCGGTGACTGAAAAAAGAAAAGGAAAAGGAAGCAGAGAGTGTAGCAATGTTAGTCGGGGGTTCGCCCCGATGGCGATTGTCTTCTCCCGCAGGAGCGTTCGATCCGGGACCACTTCGTGGTCATGACAGTTGGCGAAGTCCCCGTGCCTGCTCCTCGTAGCAAGCAGGTGGTAGAGGTCTTGTCGATTGGTGTGCAGCTCCGGGGGGCACCCGGGTGAGGCCTTGAGCTCTAGGCTCTTGTAGCTCCTCGGGGCCCCCGCGGCCCACCAGTCCAGAGGAAGTCGTGGCCGCTGGGCGGCAGAGGTCAGGGCCGCAAGGCGGCAGAAGGCGAGGCCAGCCAGTAAAGGCGGCAGAGGGTGCGAGGCAGCGCGAGGCGTGCCAGGAAGGACGAGAAGAAGTCGGGCCGCGAGGCGGCGGTCCCTTCGCTGGTAGTAGTAGTAGTAGTAGTATTGATTACCGTCTGGGACATCCCTATAAGGGCAAAAGACGTGCTAGGCTAGGTATAGTACAAGATGAGGGTGCTCGCCGGAAACCCGTCGCGCCTTCCTTACTTCTACCCCTATCTAGCAATTCTTGGACTCTGTGGCCGCTCGGATTCTCAGGTCCCTTCCCCCGTCAGCGGGTTCCGGGCACGGCGGTAAAGCCGTAATATTAGTCAGTCTTCGGTCAGAGCCGGGTGACTGAGAAAGCCCACGCAGTCAGCTGGGCCGTAGGCCCACGGGGAGCCTACGGGCAGAAAACATAGAAAAGAGAGAATTGTACATATTAGGTTGGGGGGTTGCCTCGAGCTAGTGGCGGTGGCAAATCCGATCAAAGAATCCTGCCTCCGTTACTAGCCCGAGGAACCGGTCAAATCCCCTTCCTAGTGCCTGGTTGATAGCCTTGCCCGCCGTGGGGGCTAGCCTTAGGCGGTGTCGAGTACCTACCTTCCGGCAGTAGAAGGGGTGTGTCGGTGATTTTCTCCTCCGCAGGAGCATTCGATCCGGGCCTCTTCGTGGTTAAACCTCTCGTGGCAGCCGGCGAAGTCCCCGTGCCCGCTCCTCGCAGCGAGCAGGTGATGGAGGTGCTGTCGTTTGGTGTGCAGCCCGGGGGCACCGAGCGAGGCCTTGAGCCCTAGGCTCTTGTAGCTGCTCGGGGCCCCCGCGGCCCACCAGTCCTGGAAGTCGCGCCTGGCCGCAGCCTTGGCCTGTCTCTTGATGTTCGCGTACGTCGGCGGCCTGTCCGGGCCGAGGGCCCGGCAGCCCTCCTTTGCTAGCTGGTCGGCCCGCTCGTTGCCGGCGATCCCCGTATGGCCGGGGCACCAGCGCGTCCTGACGTCTCCGTGCCGAGCCGCGGCCTCAGCGAACTTCTCCGCCGCCGCTTGCGACGAGATCGATGGGCTGCCTCGTATGGCTCTTATAGCCGCAGAGTTATCAAGGCAGACGACTATCCGGCACTGCTGGTCCGGGGTCCTGGGGACCACGTGAGTGCCGCTCGAAGCCCTCGAGGGCGCCTTCCACCTCTGCGTCGTAGACCTCAGCGAGTAGGACCCGACCGCTGCCGTAGGTCACTTCGCTGGGGCCTAGCCACACTGAGTACCCATACCCGCAGGCGCCGTCTTCGCTCTGCGAGCCGTCAGTGTAGACGATGAGGGTATCTTCAGGGCATACCCGGAGCCACGAGTTGAAGTCTCGCCGCCTGCGTTTTGTCTACGCCCCTGTCGGGTCGGGCTGAGGGGTGCTGGGGAGAAGTCGGGGCCTCGGAGCATGGGCCGTCATTTGGTGAAGACGCAGGAGTCTCGAGGCGTGCTGCTTCTGGGCCGCGCGAGGGGCCCGCATACCGTGCCTCTTCATTAGCTCCCGGCCAGGCGTTGGGAGGATGCTCATACAGGGTGTCAAGGGGTGCCGCTCATCTAGGAGCGTAGACGGACCGCGGCGCGTCTCTGAGCGTCTGCGAGGAGCAGCGTGGCAGGGGGGATCCCGGTCTCTCGGTGGAGGGCCACAATGGGCATGGTACACCAGACGGGCGCGATGGCGCGCATCGCGACGTTTAAGGTCAGCTGGATCCTATTCTTCAGGTAGGTGATCCGCGACGGAACTAAGCGGGCAGTCCCCCACACAGGCCGAAGCGCCCCGGGTACCATACATGGGCGCCGTATAAAGGATCGGGAGGACGCAGGCCGTGACCGCATGCCGTGTCGACCGGGAGGATTCCGCGCCGGGTGTTTGAGAGGTTCTGGAGGAACCCTGCGGCCGTCATCGCCTTCGCGGCCCACTTCTCCACATGCGTGCGGAATGAGAGCTTTCTGTCGTACCAGACGCCGAGCCAGCGCAGGTCCTGCTGTGGCTCCTTTCTACGGACCCGTGCCAGACCGACGGCAGGTCCCTTTGTATCTCGGTCTCGTGAAGTGGATGACTTCTGTCTTGCCCGGGTCGAACACTACGCCATTATCGGCTCCCCACTGGATGAGCTCACCCGCGGCGCGCGTGGCCCGGGCGGCCGTCTCCTGTAGGGACCGGCCCCGGATCAGGGTGGCCACGTCATCTGCGTAGCCGAAGCGCGAGTTCGGTTCCCCTGTCGAGTAGATGGGCACTGTATAGAGGAGGAAGAGAATCGGGGAGGCCGGGGAGCCCTGTGGCAGCCCGCACGTCAGGGGTTGTCGGCGTCGTTATATCCTCGAGCCGTATTCTGGCCGATCTCTGCTCCATAGCAGCCTGCCCACCGGACCAGGTTTGTTGGCCAGCCCTGTTCCCGTAGGCGTAGGAGGAGCCGGTTCCGCAGAACCGTGTCAAAGGCGCCCTGTATATCCATCGTGATTAGCGTGGCGACTTTCCCTCGGTGAGGGCCGTCTCCGCGTCGTGGAGCAATGCTAGCGCTAGGTCGAGCGCTGAACGTTTGGGCAGGGCACCCGCATGCTGGCTGTGGATGACTCGTTGTGTGATCGCAGCCCAGGCCAGGCGCCGGGCTATTAGGCGTTCGAGTCCCTTGCCGAGGCAAGCTAGAGAGAAATCGGCCTCCAGCCTCTCGGAATAGACAGGTCCCTCTTGCCAGGCTTAGGGATCATTACGACCTCTGCTGCGCGGAAACAGGCGGGGTGGTAGCCCACGTGTAGGCAGCCTTCATATAGTCCCCTCACCGCCTCGCCGATGTGGTTCCAGACGCGACGCAGCATTCGGACCGTGATGCCGTCGATCCCCGGGGAGGTGTTGCCCGTAGAGGTGCAGGCGCATGCCGCATCCGCGAGCGTGACGCTGCAGTCGAGAGTCCTCCTGGGGCCAGCACCTCTGGGGCCCAGGGGTCCGGGATGTCGTCCGCGGCCCCGCGCCTTTCTAGGATCTCGACTCGGAGCGCGTTTGCCTTTTCCGTCTGGGTCTCGAAGACCTGGTCGCCTACCTGTATAGGCGGGGGCCGGAACGGGCTCGGTTTCCTCGACCACCGCATGATCTTATAGATATCCTGGTTGCTCTCGGCGCCTTCTAGAACAGTCTGCCAGAAATGTCTCTTACCCCGCCGTACCGCCCGGCGCAGCTCCCGCCGGGCAGTCTGGACCTCTCTGCCGTGCCCTGTGGGGTAGATCCGCCGCATAGCTCTTAGCTCGGCCGCTGCACCGGCGCACTGATCGTTCCACCATGGGGTGCCTCTCGCGTTCTTCCTGGGCCGTCGGCCCGCTGCGTCGGCCGCCTCTTGGAGTAGGCGAGACAGCGCCTCGGCCAGCCTCTCCAGGCCTCTGGGCTCAACGGCCAGCCGGGGTAGTGCTGTGGCCCCAGCCCGCACAAGTTCCTCGAATCGCTTCATTTCTTCCTCGGAGCTTACCCTTGGTCTAGCTATCGTCCTTGGGGGAATCCGCCGGGGAGCGTAATGCTGATCGTGTAATGGTCCGAGCCGGTATGAAGGTGCTCTTCGATAAGCGCGTCAGCAGAGGGGATATTGGCAAAGGCTAGATCAATGGTATTTCCGCGGGCGTGTGTGGCCTCGCCTGGCGTGGTGAGCAGTCCGAGCCCCTTGTCGGCCGCCCACTGGGCGATGTCCTTTCCGTTCCTCGCACTCCGGGCTCCAGGCTGCCAGGAGAAATGACAGGCGTTGAAGTCGCCCGCGATGAGGCATCTCTCGGGGACGTCCTGCTGGTGGAGGAGGTAGTCGAGTGGCTCGGGTGTCTTCGCGTGTCGATAGAAGTTGATAATAAGGGTGCTGTTTACCCGGAGCCACAGGATATCACGCGTAGGGGCGGGGCAGAGTTGCTCTGCCCGTATATCTGGGTGGTTCCGGACATACGAGATCACTCTCGGGCCTGATCCGGTTCCCAGGCGCGTTCTGGGGCGAATGCGTGGAAGGAGCGGTGCGTCTGGGTCCTGCAGGCTCCGCCTTCTTTTCTATCCAAACGTTCGGTTCCTGGATGAGCACGACGTCGTAGTCTCTGCTTCCGCTAGTCGTAGGGCTATGCTATGATAGGCCCCTATTTTGGCCACGTTGGCCTGGAGAACTCGGATCGTCCTCCTGTCGCGAGTTGTTAGTGGTAGGGCCTATTGTTCATAGGGGTCCAGGGATACGTTTCGTCGGCGCCTCTTCATAGGAGACTCGGATCTGTCTTCCTGTGGTGGAGGGAGCGTTGTGGAGTCTGGCGCCTGCGCGCTGGTGGGGGACAGCCGCTGGGGTCGACATTGCTGCTGCTGTTGCTGCTGCTGTTGCTGCTGCTGGTCCTGTTGCTTGCCTAGGCGGGCCTCGGCAGCTCTCATGCAGGGCGATGGGGTCGGTCCTTGGGAGGGTTGGGGGGAGGCGGTCGCCGTGGCCCGTTCGAGCTCCATATTGGCTTGCCGGTATAGCTGAGAGCCGATCTTCCTTACGGCGTACTTCTCGATCTTGAGAGCCGCACGAGTTGGCCGAGAGCGCCTGGGTCTGGCGGGGCCCTCTTTATGGTTTGCCGGAAGGGCCCGGAACAGTTCGCGCACCTCTCCGGCTGCTTGCAGTCGTTATCGCGATGGTCTTTCCCGCCGCATCGTCGGCAGGCTTGTTTTCGGTCGCAGGCGTAGCGGGAGTGATAATCCCAACAGGTGTCGCACTGCGCGGGCCGGGCGGTCTTGGCGATCAGTCGGGCTAGTCGGCTGGTGCCGAAGAGCCGCCATCTCCTCTGTATCGCCGCCTGAAAGGACACAATCATTGTCACAGTGGGCTGGTCGGAGCTTTCGGAGTATCTCTAGCAATGTGCACATCAATTGGTTCGGCACCTGTCTGGAGCTTGATCTCTTCTTTGATAGCTTGGTCATAGTCCACGGCGGCCCCCCAGATATCCGTGAGCTGCCTGGGGCAGTCGGCCACAGCGTACGTGTGCCACTTCTGGAAGCCTTCAACCGCCACGGCCCCGAGGCGGGCCGCCCAGTCGTCCTGCCGTTCCACAAGTAGGTCCCTCGCCTCCCGGTCTGAGGCCCGTATAGCCCATCCAGTCTTAACCCGGGCGATCTGTGGCATGCGTTCTGTCCCTAGGTTGAGAGTCTTAGCTACGTGAGCTCTGATGGCATGCCCCTGATAGCCCCATGCTGGGGACTTGTCGTCGAGCCGCACAAAGACACGCAGGTCATCTTTAGGCGGCTGGACCGGAGGCGCCTTCCGGGGCTTCGGGCCGAGGCGTGCCGGCAGGGGAGCCCTTGTCTGTGCCATCCCCTTCTGGGCCATAGCGGCGTAGGTCGGTGCGGTCCCGTCTCTGCCGTGGCGGTTGTTGACATTCTGACCGGCGCGTGTGGGCGCGCCGTTGAGCGCGTCGTCCCAGTAGCTAATGAAGCCGCGCGAGAATTCCTTCGCGAAGCTGAGCTCGTGGCCCGAGTTGAACTGGGCAGCCGTCTTGTCGAAGGCGGTGCAGAATGCGCGGAAGACGGCCAGCTTTGCCTGTTGTGCTTCCATCTGGTTGGCGATAAGTCTCTCTGCCGCGTGGGCAACCGTTACTGCTGGGCCTTGAGCCTCGGGCAGGTCGTCCGGCTCGTCGGTCTCGGTTTCGTCTGCTGCGTCTCCCATTACAGCATCTAGCTGGTCGGTGTCGGTGTGGGCATTGTCGCTGTTCGTGGAGCCGAATGGAGAGTCGTCGGGTTGCTGTGCGCGTCGTGGCAACAGTAATTCGGCAAGACCCGCGCGTGGGGCCTGCCGGAGGAGCGCTTCTGGCTCCTGAAGCGTTCGTGGAGTCATCGGCTCTTGTTCCTGGGGCGGCAGTCGCGCCTGGTCCGCGGGGTTGGGTGCCATCGCCGCCCTCAGCTTGCGCTGAGCGTGGTGTTAAACGCCCTTGTTAGCGGATGTGTGTTGTGTACAGCGAAGTCCTTAACAGATGGTGCCAAGAAAGTAAGAATACAAGGGAGTGTGTGGTCCCTTCGCTGGTAGTAGTAGTAGTAGTAGTATTGATTACCGTCTGGGACATCCCTATAAGGGCAAAAGACGTGCTAGGCTAGGTATAGTACAAGATGAGGGTGCTCGCCGGAAACCCGTCGCGCCTTCCTTACTTCTACTCCCCTATCTAGCAGGTCCCTTCGCTGGTAGTAGTAGTAGTAGTATTGATTACCGTCTGGGACATCCCTATAAGGGCAAAAGACGTGCTAGGCTAGGTATAGTACAAGATGAGGGTGCTCGCCGGAAACCCGTCGCGCCTTCCTTACTTCTACTCCCCTATCTAGCAATTCTTGGACTCTGTGGCCGCTCGGATTCTCAGGTCCCTTCCCCCGTCAGCGGGTTCCGGGCACGGCGGTAAAGCCGTAATATTAGTCAGTCTTCGGTCAGAGCCGGGTGACTGAGAAAGCCCACGGTCCCTTCGCTGGTGAAGGCTTGCCGGAATCCAGAAAAGTGGGGCGGGCACGAGTAGTTGGGCTGCTGTGGCCCCACACCAAGATCAATAGGATATCCACAGCGGGGTTTTGGTGGCTGATTCAGCGGCTGAGCGCCACAACACCGCAGTTTAGCGTCCGTGCCCTCAGCGGCTTCCAATATCCACCCTTGTCCACGGTCGGCCGGACGGCCGACCGCCGCCCGGAACGCCGCGTCTTGAAGGGCTCTCAAGGCTCGACGAGCTCGTCAAATTACGAGGGGGAGGGGAAACAAAAATAGTGTATTTCTACCTCTTTAGTTGTACAACTTTTGCCTTTCTGTTGGCTCGGAGCTGTTTGCAAAATAAGTCCAGCGAGCAGCCGGTTTGCTGCTGTTGTAAGTTGACAATGTGCATCGCGGCCTCCTCGCTACACCTGTGGGCCTTCGCCACCTTGCGAATCTCCCTTATAACCTCGAGCCGTAACGAATACCACTGCAATTCATTTTGTCGCCCGGCGCGCCACCGGCTTCCCCATCTACCGTCGAGGTCGGCAATGGCTGGCCCGCCTCGAAGGCCAACCGTCCACTCGCTCCAGAGCGCCTCGACCATTTTTACTGCTCGGCACATCTGATACCGTGGCGGTGGCTCTGTCTTAACCGTGATCGTATCTGTCGCCGTCGGGCTCGTGGCACGGCTATCAACAATGCTCGACTGAGCCGAGACGAATCGGCTTCCATCTCCTCGTCCTCCCTGCCCAACGACATCAACCACGGCCGGGGCCGTGGTGGCAGTGGTGGTCGTCGCGGCCGTAACTTGGAAGTTGAAACCATTCGAAAAAAGGGACGACTGGGCTACCGCAAGACGTTCTTCGGTGGCTCGAAGCTGCTCGCTTAGCTCTGTTTTAAGCAGGATCGTCCTTGCTTCGTTCCGCGCGTCGATGGATTTAAGATAGTCCGCGAGGACCGGCATCGCCTGGACTAGGACTGCAAGCTGGCTTGGACGCTCCTCTTCAAGGATGAAGTCCGATAGCTGGTGCGCGAACGGGGCGTAGGCCGGATGCCGGAAGACCGGGTGGTTCCAAACGGGGCTGCCGGGGTATTTCTTCATCAGGACAACGGAATCCTGCAAGACAACCTCCCGTAAATAGAAGATGAGGTTCGTCGAACCCATCGCTGCCAGGTCGTTCTCCTGCTCGGTACCGGGACCGAACCGGCCTCGCCAACGGTCCAGCTCGGGCCAGATCATCGAGAGCAGGACCTCCGGCGGCGTCACGCCGGCACGGCGTATCTCGAAGCATCCGGCCTGCGGCGGGTGCCCGGCCATCGTACGCATGAACTTGCGAGGCAACGAGTTCAGGTAACAGCCGACCATCTGCTCCTGGTTCCAACGACCCCCGCGACGGATCTGGGCTTCGCTAATCCCCTTAGTTCAGCCGTCCTCGCCCCGAGCTGCGGCCGACATGCGTCTTCTTCTGCGACGTGACGCCGGCGTAGGCGAAGGCCTTGACAACCCACTCGCGCTGTGAGTTGTACGAGAAAGCCGCCGTCCGGCCGGTGCCGTTACCCTTGATTAGCCGGATGTCGTACCACGAGGACCGCCTGCTGAAATCGGGAAACGGCTCACTACCGAGATCCCAACGATACAAGAGGTAGAACGAGAGGCCACCCAAGATGCAGATTAGCGGGTTCCTATTCCGATACGCGCCGGCGGTCTCGAGGCGGCCGTGCTGGTTCTGCTTGCCGGCTCGTGTCGTAAAGATGAGCGGCATGCACCGGGTCGAGCCCTCCCCGGCAAACTCAAAGGTGAATAGGTCTGAGATCTCTGCAGCCCGACGATCGCCGCCACGGGTGAGAAGATAATGGCCAAAGAGGAGATCCACGAGGGTCCGAAAATGACACTCGGGCGATGTGCCGCTGTGGGCCCACAGCTCGTGGCATACTCGTTCGAACTCGGACTCCGAGTAACCATCGAGCAGAGTATCGCGGCCTTTATCGGCATAGTTCTCCCTGTCTCGTTGGGCGTCCCGGCGCTGTAGGGACTTGAGGTACTCTCGTACGTTGTCCTCGCGCGGCGACGGGTGCGTATTCATTCCGAGGGCCTTCTGCGTCCGGTAAAGATCCGTGATTGCGGTGACATAAGTTCGGACCGACCGCCAGGCCAGGCGGGTCTCGTCCTGCGGAGTATCAGTGGCGGCCTTGCGGCTCCTGACCTTCAAGGGCCGACCGGCCACCTCCTCGACGAGGAAGAGGAGGAGCTTCTCCTCTGTGACCGTAGCGCCGTCACAGTACTGTTTGTGGCGGCAGAATTGCTCGAATTCCTCTTGCTTCGGTGCGTACGCCGAGGTCGTATTCCTGGCCGAGACTCGTGGATCGCAGAGAGGATCGTCTGCGCATTGGCGCGTAGCTCCGCGTCGTTTATCGCGTTCTGCCGGATGCGTTGGTCCACTCGTACGCTCGACGGCTTTGCGCGACTCCTGCCCTGCCCCTGCCCCGGCCGCTGCTCCTGCGAGCTTCGGCTTGGGCCCGCTTTGTCTTCGCCTTCCGTCGATTTGGCGTCCGGGCCATGGGATATATCGTGACGGGAAGACCAAGGCAAGCCTGCGAGTGACCACCAGTCCGGGTTGGAGCGGGTGGCGCGCGGCGACGAGAGATGCCCTATCTAGCGATCACGATGCGCACCGCCTGGTCGGGTCGCCCGCTAAAATTCCAGTGGACAGGGCGCCGTAGCGAACGTGAATAGCGGCTTCTCCATCGAATCAGCGACGCAATCAGCGGGGCACCGATATCTGCGTATATCCACGGCGCGCGCCGTTCGGGTGGGGTGGATATCCGCAGATACGATTGGCCCGCCTGGTCGCTGATTCTCGGATTGCCCCACCCGACCAGATCAGCGGCGCTCAGCAAACCCTCGGATACCACGCGTACTCGGGGGGGTTCCCCTGCTAGTCAACCCCCGGAGTACCCACACATGAGACAGGCACCGTTCTCGCTCCGCTGATCTGCGAGAAGAAACTGAGCGGAAACACTGTCAACCCTGCAGCTTGCAGAAGGATGACGACCATGTTATTAGAGATACAGTGTCTATCGCACGGAGGATGAGCCGAGCAAGCATGAAGATCGGGGACTGAACAACTCTTGATTCTCTATCTAAGTGATGGTGAGAAGTTGGCTTCTTATACTTGTGACGTTGGGTTGAGTGGCGATGTCGCCACCCAGGCAGCCTAGATGACGATGTCATCTAGAAAGTTCGAATCCATCACTAATATGGCATTACAAACTGCCACGACCTAAAATATAGGCTAACTGTGCGAATAGGGGAATCAGACTGTTGGAGGCTGATATACTCCGTGTGACAGCGTCTAACTACCTGAAATAGCACGTCTCATGTCGAAAATATTTTAGATAATTCAGGGGGTGAAATACAGCCGACCGCCAAGAGGGGCTTGTTCCACCACAACTCAGACATGTGTGACGGTACAAGTGCACGAACAAGGTCGAGTACGACTTGGGTAAAGTGATTGTCTACAAAGAGAGAAAGAGGTTCCTAAGGAAGACTCTGACTTTCGCTATTTACATGAATCAAAGTGAGACATTTCATAAAGTATGAAAGTCACATGATCGTTCCCTCACAACATGTCCGTACGAATACCGGTCATTGCAAAACACGCTACGCGCCATGACCATTATCCGAAACTCACGACACCGAGAATTTCGCGACACAGGGTCACTACAGAGGAGCACTTCGAAAGCTGTGACCCAACAGCTCCCCTGTGAACCCCCTGTGAGGCACTGTGCCAAGTCATACTCTTTGAAAGGCCATTTGAAAGGTCCCTCCGTAATATGCCTTTGAAACTCGTCCGTGTTTTCAATACCACCTCAAAATGTGACCACATCTCTAGTGCTTAGAGGCCTGATCTTTCTCTTCTCTTTCATCCCATTCTACATCGGCCGGTCCGCTATTTCAGTCCCTCATTTTTTTATTTTCTCTGCTATAATTTCTGATTTCTGTCATTTTGCTTCCATACCCGTTCGAAATGTTCAAGTCGAGGAGTACGGCTCTGGCAGTGCTGCTTCTGCTCGCGATTCTCTGCATATCCTTCGTCGAAGCCACTCCCCAGAACAAAAACAACCAAGTGGGCAAAAAGGGTGGCGGTAAGAATGGAGGCGGTGGTAGGAGTGGAGGTGGTGGCAACAAGCAAACCCCACGAGACAAGGTGATGAAAGAACCTGAGGGTATATCCGCCGATCAAGGGTCTGGCTTGACCATTCTCGACAAAACTCTCACCTGCAAGTAAGAGCGTCATGATTTCTCACAGTCTCGCAGTCCATCTAACGCGTGCCAACCAGCAATCTTGAGATTCGAATGAAAATTAGCGGTCCCGCCGACCAGTTCACGAAAGCTTCAGGTGTGAAGGGTGCCGCCGCCGAGGCCGGTGACAAGGGTAAGAATGGTTTAATGGTGTTACTCCACGGCGATGGCGGCCAGTCATTCACCGCCTACCCCAACAAAGGTATCAACGAGGCCAACCAAATGGGCGTCGTATTCCTCGCTCCCAACGACGGCCTCCAATGGGGTGGTGCACCCAAGGGCCAGCAGGAGCGGCCAAACGGTGCCGCAGACGCACAAGCAGTCAACGATTGCATACAGAAAGAGCTCCCTAAGCTTATCGCTTTCGACAAAGCAAACGTCCAGTTCATGGGCGTTAGCGGTGGCTCTCAGATGCTCTCTGGCTTCTTCATGCCGAAATTTATGGGTAAATACCCTAAAACAGGAGCCTTGTTTAGCTGTGGTGGCATGGCTCCTCAAGTCGAGTTCGCGAGCGATGCAATGCAGGCCATCAAGACGACTCGAATCCACTTCGAGTCGACTTTCAACGAACTCGAATCGCTACAAGAGACCATTCCTCAGTCTATTCCGGCATATGAGCAAGCCGCTGCGTCAGCTGGGCTATCTGAGAACGAGATCAATCAACTACAGACGGTGGACAACGCCCCGAAAGGCGGGCATTGCGCCTTTGATGAGAAGAGTTTTGAGAGTGGTGTGCAGGCCTTGACCGACAAGTTCGTTGCAGTTATGTCTGTTAATGGCAATGGTGAAGGATTTGGGAAGGGAGTAGTTGGAAACGAGAATCCCAAGTTCGGCCCAGAAAAGAGGCAGTAGCACTGCAAAGCGTGGACTCGATTTTGAAACACGATGCCTTGAGGAACGAAAGGATTTCTATGCCGCGCTTTTTTGCCCCCCGAATCCGCGCCTCTGATTCGCTAGCTTTCTCGGCTTCCCGTGCCTTGAGGAACGAAAGGCTCTTCTGGACGCGGAGAAACCCAAAACCGAAACCCCCAAAAATTTTTAACCCTCGAAAATCCCGCCTTCTGATTGGCCCAGACTTTTTTTCCCTCTCTCGTCCTAGCCCCTCCTTGCAAGCTTCCTTGTCATTGGTGCCTTGTGCCTTTCGCTGCATTTTGGCCCGTGCCCTTTGCCTTGCCTTTCCTTCTGAGGACCGAGCCGATTTTTAGAGCCGGGACAGGGCCTGACTGACCCAACCAGGCTAGGCCCTCGCGCCTTTGCGCACACACTCGCGAACTTGGTTTGCCTTTGGCCACCGAACCTCTCTCCCGCACGGGCCGCACCCCTGACACGAGCACGGTGCCGTCTAGCGCCCGGCATCACGATAGCTTCACGTGCAAGCCCGCAGGGTCTAAGGAATCAACGTCTAGCCATTCCAAGGCCTCGCGAACAGTCTTGTCACTCAGCCGACCCAGCCTCGCTTCTGCGTCGGTCATCTCGTCCGGGACTTTGTTGCCCACCAAGTCTCTCTCCCGCACTTTGGAGACGAGCATGATGCCATCCAACGTCGGGCAGCGGGACAGCTGCACGTACAGGCTGTACGGGTCGCACTGCGAGGACACGGCGCGTCCCTCGATGTTTGACGTCCGCGTCCCCCGCAGCTCCAGAGCCACACGCTCGAGCGTCCTGCCCTGCACTTTATAGTCTGTGCACGCGAAGGCTGCCGTACAGGGCAGGCCCTTTCGGCTGACGTCGTTCTGCTGCCACGGCCTCTTTCGCTGGCATTGTATCTTGACGGTCATGGGCGTCAACAAGATCGTGCCTGGCGGCATCCCGACGAATTGAACATCTTTCGTCGTCTCGGACTCTAGCATTATCCCCGCCGGCGGCCGAAATGGATCGTCATGTCGGCCGAGATGCGATGCCCGGGTACGACTTGTCGAGGATAACCTCCAGCGCCGCGTAGCTGGCACCGTTCACCAGCTTTAACCCCTGGTGGGTGTTGTGGTTCACGACGACCGGCATCCCCGGCACGAACATGAAGACGGCCGGCACCGGTATTGCGCTATCGTCGCCCTGGTTTAGGATCATGATGGCCTCCTCCTCCGTCGGCAAGCCCTCCTTCCATTTATGGCCGGATATGAAGATGCGTAACGTCGACCGGTGCTGGATCTGGAACGCCAAGCTGGCCTCCATGTTCAGGTTCCACCGGTTCCTGTTCAGCGGCGTCACCACGGTGATGCCTGATGCCCACGGGATCTGCCTACCCTCCTGGTAGCACCTGGTGTTGAGGAGGTCCAGATCCGTGCGGTCCTGCACACCCAGTCGGATTCGCTTTAACAGCCTCTGCAGCTCTGGGTCGTCGGCGGCGCGCACTTGCTCGTCCAGCATGACGACCGCCGTGAACCTCTTCCACAGCGCGTGCGCCTTGTCGTGCTGGTGCCGTTGCTCGGCCTTGAAAGAGTTGTCCATGTCCCACGAGACAACCGTGCTGGGGGAGGAGGATCGACCGCTCTTGGACCGGGCGGAATTGGTGGAAGTCTCCGCAGAAGAGGACGATGGGGATCCCCTCCAAAATCCCGGTGCGACCCGCGCAGCCGGCAGAGCTGCTCGTTGACTGCGTGTAGCGTCCGCGCCCCGAGCATGCTAACCTCGTCAACGACAAGCACGTCCTTCTCCTGCCAGTCCATCCGGGACTGCCCGTGGACGAACCGCTCCGCCTGGTTCGGCATTCGCACCCCGTCGAGATCCTTGCCCGTGTTTGCGACTGCCGCGAGATCTTTGGAGAACCCGCAGGCGGAGTGGATCGTGATGCCGTTGATCCGTGCTGCTGCAGTCCCTGACGTCGCCGTTATTATCAGGCGATTCGATTGATCCTTGGACGCGAAGAGCTCGACGAGCGCCTCGATAACTCGCGACTTGCCCGTTCCGCCCTCTCCACCGACGAATTGGCACAGCTGACGCACGTTGCCTTTTCCCTGCGCCGTATTAGGTCAAGCTGACGGCATATGATTAGGAAGGCGATCGCCTGCTTCTTGTTCAGCGTGAACCTCGCTACCAGGGCCTTACCCGCCTCGATAAAGGAGGTTGAGGTGCCAAGCCGGATCTCCATTCCCGCGCTGGCCTCCTCTACCGTTTCCTCGAGGTCCGCCGCCGTCATCTGGATATCGTCATCCCCGAACCCCGTGAGCACGCTGCGCACCGCCGCCCGACGATCAGTCACTGCTGCCGTGGGCACGCTTTGTATGCCCCGGATCATCTTCTCCCTCTCCCTGGATGCACAGGTTTGCTGCGACTTTATGGCCCTAACCTGACTCTGCGGCGGTATTCTGGCTCCGGAGAATGCCCGCCCGGGATGTTGATTCGTCTTGGGCCCCGTTCGGATAGTATTGCGGCCTGGAACTCGGAAGACGACGACAACGCCAATTGCTGGAAGCGGCTGAGCTCCTGCATCATCGCCGTGAGCTCTGGCGAGCCGGCCGTGATTTGGTTCGCCCCGATCGAGCTTCTGACAACGTCGATTAGACGCATCGTGTTTCCGGTACTGTCGGCCTGGTATACCGATCCAGGCTCGACACCCGCCTCCCAGTGCCATCCTCGTCCGGATGTACTGCCGTGGCGTCACGGTCCCCGGATGAGGCTGCCCACTGCTTGGCGTCCCGCTTTGCATCTTCGGCCGACCGTCGCAGCAACTGCACGTTATCGACGTAACATGATATCCTCGGGACCAGAGCTGCTCGTTCCCGCCTCCATATGCGGTCGATGCCACCGCTTTCTTCACCTAAGAAGGACTCCCACGGCACGAATAGCGCAAGATGCTGCACAGCCGCTCTTCGACGTGGAAATTAGCCTTCTCGACCCGACACCCTGGTCCGTCGACGACAAACGCACCTTCGGTAGCACGACCCTTCGTCGTCTTCGTCGAAATCCTTGCTCAAATACCCATCGAGGCAGACCATGGCCTGCTTGCCCGGTCGCCTGAGCACCTGCACCCAACGGCTCCCGGAGCCCAGCCGCTCTCGAGCGGGACCTCCCAGGCGGCGGGCCTCTTGTCCGTGTCGTTGCGCTTCAGCCTGACCAGCGAAATATAGTCGTAGAGACACAGCCCTCGAAGGACATCTCCCCGATGACGATATGCCTCGACGCGGCAAATCCTCTGGCCTGCTTCTTCGACGAGTATTGACTCGTCCACGGAACCATCTGCAGTGGATGCGCCGCTTTCCCGTCGAAGGTGCGGCCATTGTCGGAAGACGTGCCAGTAGAGCACCGAAACGTTCAGGAACGCCCAGGCACCGTTATTCGTCAGTTCAGTCGGGTATCCCAGAAGATCCGCAATAACCTCGACCTGCGATAACGGCCTCTCCGTAAACACGCGATTCGCCACCTTCATCAAGAATTGTCGTGTCCTGTTTTGTTTGCCATCGTCCCCGCCACCTTCGCCTCCACGAACCTCCGCGTCGTCGGCCATTTCCTCGCCTGCTCTGGGAGGCAAGAGATCCGCGGCCGCGGCGACGCGCTTCCACGTCGGGTCCTCTACCTTGGTCGCGTAATTCGTCACGTAATAGACGAGGGCCATGGTCTTGCGCTGTGTGGCGATGAAGGATATGTCATGGTTGTGGCGAAGCCCCACGGCAATCGCCTTGTTCCACCGATTCACCATGCTGTGCGACCTCCGAATCCGCAGCACGCCGTCTCCCGTGAAGGCCGTCTCGTCGACCAGTCCCCACGGCGCCTTGAAACGACATAAATCACTCTTGCGCCCCCCTTTGCCCAGCGAGTACTTGACGCAGGTCGGGCTATGGGTATGGATCTGCGTCGCGCCGGCACAGAAGTTCGCTTCCTCGTCGAACGAGGCTGAAAATTGCCGTTCATCGCCCAGCAACTGCGATATATCTGATGTTACCGATCGCTCTGCCTGGATTGCGCAGAAACCTTCCTGGTCCAGATCCTGTCTTGTTCGTCAGCTTTCTCGGGTTTGACTGAACGGAGGACACAGGCCAACACGCCGCCCCCCGCGCCATACCTCGGAAAAGACGCTGTCGACGTATCTGACAATGCGCTCTCGGTATGCCGCTTGATCCTCGCCGTGGATATCGACAAGCATTGAGCTTAGATGCGCATTTCCCTGCAGCCAGAGCAGTCCGTGAACATGAAGCGCCCCTCGCTCGTTGGTCTCCACGGCGCCGTAATAGTGGCTGATGCGCCCGAATACCGACTCCTCGCCCACTCTGACGTAATTTTCGAAGAACAACGTCATCTCTCGGTGGAAGAATTCGGCCGAGCTCAACGGGTCCGAGATGGCCAGCCGCGCACGTTTGAACGCCATGTCGAGGCTTCTCAGAAATGCCTCGGCCGCTTCAGGATCACGTGTGCGGTACGCCGCCAGTCTCAGCTTCACCGGGTTCGTGATGTCGTTCGGGTTGAGCGTGAACCAGATTGCAGGCACGCCACGACACAAGATGAGTGACTGGATCTTGCGTCGCATGCTCAGACGGAGTTCCCTCGACATGGGCTGCCGGTAGCCGTATAGCGAAAGGCATCTTAGAAGCTCCTTCACGCCATCATCGGTGGTCGTGCCCGAGCTCTCCAACTCCACCCTGGCCGCCGCCAACCTATCTGCGGTGAGCGACTGTACGATGCGCTCTACCTCGGGGAAATTCTTCCGCGTCACGCTGAGCATGCTGACACGACGATTCCTCGACCGCACGTCCATGTTGAAAAGGAGAAACGAGAAGATGGCATGCGTCGCGAATCGGCCACCATGGCGCCGCAGCACGATGCCGGCCCACGTCCGAAGGCTCATGTTCCGAGACGACAGGAGATCTCGCGCGGCCGTCTCTTCTCCGGCAGCCGTACCGCGCGGATTGACCGACCCCTCCGGCCCTAGGATGAATTCCTCCGCCAGCCGTGGTCCTCCAAATCCGAACGGCAATAGGGTGGGAAAGGTCTTGGCGAAGAACGAGGCGTCCAGCGAGTCGGCGAATTCTCTCCACGACCAACGTGAATGTACGGCTCACAGACATCCATACCGCCTCGACCTGCCCCGCCGACCTTATCCATGCCTCGGCCCCGGCCGGCCGTCCTCGGCCCCGTCGCCGCTCACGGCATTGCAAGCAAAGCGGAGCTTCTCCGCGTCCGACACGTCCGGCGGTCCGTCCAACGCAAACATGCCGGAAGAGGTTATCTCGTTGATCATTTTGGCCCCGTCTTCGGGCTCGGCATCATTAGTCCCATCCGCTCCATCCCCGTCGGATTCTCGACTCGGCCTGTCCGATACGTCTTGTCCCTGGTGGAGCCGAGCAAGGACTTCCTCGATCTCCGCCGAACTATCGCCGTCCATGGCCCGCTCTGCGGGCGGCACGACCTGTGCCGTTCGCGTCTTCTCCCACGCAGACGGCTCGTTCCGCTCCATGCGTCCGTACACCATCGACGGCACACCGTGCGATGGGGTTCCCCAACTATCCATTTCCGCCTTGTCGATCTCAATGTCGGCGTAATGGGGATTGTTCTTCTTCAACCAGACAAGCGCTCTCTCGACGACTTGACGCCTCACCGACAAGAGACCCGACAAGTCGCTCGGTGCTGGCTTCTCCGCGCCCTGCCACGAGACATGTATCTCGTCCATTGTTTGCAAGAGCGGGTGCGGGAGCACCTTTCTCGCCAGCTCCTGCACGTTGTTTGGGAACACCGTGATGTGGCCCTTGACGTGTCTCGGATACCTCACGGCCTGCCGCTGCCCGCCCGGAATGCTATACCTCGTCACAAAGCCGTAACACGAGTTCAGCGAGATGAGCTTCTCCTCGACCGGCGTCAGGCCATTAAGCTCGTCGGGAACATGTGCTCACAGCCGAGGCGACTGTGAAGGTGGACAGCCGGCGACAGGTTCCCGCGCCCCAAGCATCGAGCACACTCCACACAAATCGAGACGGACTCGTCCTGGGGAAAGCAGCTCCGGCACGCAAATGGCGACCGGCCGCCTTTTGAACGCTGCTTGACCTCCATTGGTCCCATGTGCTCTCCTCAACTCCCTCCTTGTGCGCTTGCGGTAGCTGTCATGCAGGTCATTATCGGCAAGGTGCTCACATCGTGGAACGCCCGATAGAACCTTCGCACCGTCGATACCTTCCTCTCGTGCGGTACTGGTGTGCACCAAGTTTGCTCGTTGGATAGTCTCTCCTTCGTAGCAAATTCCTCCTCGAGGTAACACAAGACACTGGCCAATTCCTCCGCCTGCAACTCCTTCTTCCTCTGCCCCGGATGGCCCCCCCGAATGCGTTTCGTCAGGGGCCGATCACGGTCGGGGTGGCGCGTCCTCTTTCGCTGCTCCACGGGCCGCGAAGGTCTCGCTGCCTCGTTTCGTCTCGGTCGATCCTGTTCTTCACCTGTGGTCTGCCGGGGTGGCCGCGCTGTCAACCGTCCGGGTGGCTGCCCACCCCCTGCTACATCTCCCCTCTCTTTGGGTTGGATTGGCCGAACCAGGGGCTCCCTGACGTTCCCAGACGGACGCCCGCCGGTCGTTGCCGGTCGGCCTTTTCTTCCCGGGTTGCTTAGGTGTGCCTCGGGCCCCTTCGGCCTCGTCTGCGCACCATCGTTTTGCTTTCCAGACGTGCCGTTCTGCATGCCCTCCTCGATCCCGACGAGTAATCCGGCCTCGTCCGAGGGCGGTCCGGCCGCGGTCTCCATCTCTTTGGGTCGGATGGGCCTTGGCGAATGCTGGCTCCCGTCTCCCAGCCGAAATCTCATCGTCGTTGTCGGTCTTCCTTCCCGGCGTTTTCTCCCCACACCAACTGTCCGCTCAACAAGGCCTTTCAGCCTCATCCGTACGCCACCGCTGGGTTGCCTAGGCCTAACGGTCTCAGGGCCACTTACACCCACGACGGACTGGCTCCCACTATCTAGGCCGTCGTCTCGCCCGACCAAGGCTTCTGGGGGACTTGGTGCTTGCAGACCAACGGTGGCCGCTGCGCTGCTCTCGTCACCCCCAATCCTCCTCCTCTTGGGCAAAATGTGCCGGTACGAGATCGAGTCGTTACCCTCGCACTGCAATACACCGCCGACGGGTGGCTCCAGGCTCCCTCCACACGGCTTCGTACCCAGCCCCGGCATCGCAGCGTCCGTGTCCATACTCACGGGCTCGTCACGCACGTTTATCGGTGCTAAACGCCGTGCTGGCCGCACCTTCGAAATGCCATCGTTCAGATCTGATGTTCCCCTTCGCCGCCGACCGCCTCGCCGACTGCCCCTGGGCGACGCTCCTTTGAGTGCTTCCGCTTGTTCTCCCCGGGAGACCTCCTCGGCCGGCGCCTGCTTGGCCTGGATAGGCCGAAACCTGGATACCACGTTCGCCTGTCTTTCATATTCCGGCACCCGCTTCAACCCTTCATCCATTGCACTCAATCTCGCCTCCGCGGTACCCCCCGTTGCAGCAACGGCCGCTGCTGCCGTCACTATCTCGCCTTCTCCCCCCACCGATTGAACCTTGCACCTAGGATTCTCCCCCATGATGATGCTGTCTTAACGCCGAAGATCTGCAAACGGACGATGGATCGCAAAGCTTTCGCCCGGAAGATTCTCCCAGGTTGTCTCGCTTTCTGGTAATGGTGCGCTCCGCCGTATCTGGCATTCTTCCTACCAGCGGTTTCCCAAAACCCTGTTGTCTTTATATCACCGAGGCAACGCGGTAATGCTTGTCTGAGAGGCCCCCTCCTCCCCTTTTCGGACGGCCTCGACCAGCCCATGCGTAGGAACTGACACCGCAACCCTATCCTGAGCGACCTTCAACCGCTCTGCCCCCGCTTCCTCCGATTCCATCGTCGCAAGTGCGCGTTTGAACAAACGTCGTATCAGACTTTCTTTTCTCCACTGTCCATGCTGCAGCAGGAAAGGGGTAACCCTGCCATTTGGCTCAGCTCACCCGGACGATAGCTTCCAACACCGTCATCCCCAGCTTTCCTCAATCCTAACAGCAACGTTCCCCAGACCGCCTCTTCGTGTCACTCATTCGTGGCGTTGAGCACCATGTGCACCATTCTTCTCCTCATCCTTGTCATGACAAGGTTGCTCGCCCCTCCCATCCTTTCCGTAATCCCTTCAAAATACAATAAGCTCGTTTACTCTCCGCTTCCTACTTTCCTGCTCCACGGTTGCAACAGTCGTTTGCGTGCGGGACAAAACACTGATCAACCCCACGTAGATGCAGTGATACACCATGTCTTCCTCTTCACCTCTGCCCCACCACACCTTCGAAGGCCGCTCGACAGCCAGAGAGGCGCTGGCGGTGAAATGTCCATGATGTTCTTCGTCCAGCCGGATTGCCCTCCAGATTCGCCCACCAAGACGAGCATCGCATCAGAGGCCTCAACGCCGAGACCATGGCCCACGTCTTCCTGCCTCCTCCGTCGTGGTTGCTCACTGCGGAATATGCGCTCTCCGATCGGATACCGACGACTCCGCGACATCCATCTTCTTCAGCCTCAATCTCTCAATTTACAATCAGCCAGTTGTCGCCTCCGAATGGACCGAAGAGTGGTTTTTCATGAATGGCCGCGTCCATCCCTACGCCCTTGCGTGGGAGGTCGAGCAACGAGACGGTCTTGAGTCTGGCGCCGGAGGCATCCTTCTCTACACTATGCCCGCCCTTATCATCCGCGACCAAGGCTACCAGCCGTAAGGACTACCAATTCCTCCGCGCACACCTCGAGCACTAAATTTAGCTGAAATGGGCCTCAAGCGTTCTTCCTAGGCTCTTTGCCTCCATGGACAGCTTCCCCGTATCCCGCCCATCGTTTCCTTCACCGGCCTCATCGTTGGCCCCGGCCACTCCTGCTACGACAGGACCTTCTGCCAGGTCTGGACGCCACCCAGCTGAGGTGCTGCGGCTTCCTCCAGCTTTCGACCTATATCACCCGGGATCCCTGACAAGATCCTCTCAGGGCTTCCACCCGTTTCAGGTCTTCGTCATCTTCCCCATCCGCGCCAACCCGTGGGCCATCCTTTGCAAGAAGATGGCCGAGAGGCGGGACTCTCAATTCCATACTAATATCTCCTTCACCTGCACGGGCAAGGTCGCTGGCCTCCTCGATCACCGCGTCATGGTCCACCAGCCGAGCTCCGACAGAGACTACATCTTCATCGTCGTCCCGGATTCTTGGACTTTTCTCGACAAGACCGCCACCACCGCAGCCGCGTCGGCCTTAGCCCTCACATCGCCACCGAAGCGGCAACCGTCCTCCGCTTCGGCGGCCTTCCAGGATGCCCGCGCTGCCTCTTTCTCTGTCGCTACACCTGGCGCCCTCCCGCCGAGTCCTCCGCCTTCGGCTTCGACTTCGGCTTCGGCCGATCCCGTTACACCGCTGCAGAAGCGTCCTTGTCCCGAGCCCGCCGACACGCCAACGAAGAAACCGCGCCTGTTGCAGCTGGCCTCAAAACCTTCCTCATCGGCCGCCACTGGAAGCTCTGCCACTCAATCGTTCTCTTTCCGCTGCCTCTTCTTCCTTCGAGCCGGAGACGATGAGACAGAGTCCTGCCTCGGGAACCGTCTTGGGACCCGCCGTTGATTCGATCGTTGCCTACACGTCAGACTCATCGGCCCGGCCGCTCAGAAACCGCCACCCAGGACAAAGGACAATGGAAACAGAGTAACTGCTTGATATAATAGTCTACCGATATAAGTTACAACATTCACAGAAAAGTGATTCAGTTCCATGCTTTATCTTGCTTCTTAGCAAATATCTACACCGAGCTGCAATCTTACAACACTCCGTCCACAACTTCGGATCTCGTCGTCATTCCTTCCAGACCTTCCTCTCTAGTGATCTTCTCTCGGCACGCATGCCTTTTGTGAACCTTCCAGTCCGCCTTTTGGTGTTCTTTCCGCAGTATGCCACTGCATGACATCTGCCGCAGCGACTCACGCCCGCGGTCGTCCCGCATACTTTGCACAACGTGACCTCCGTGCAACCAGTGCGTCCTAAGAACTCGTCACGTGTTTCGTGCTCTTGCCGCATTTCCCCCATCATCAGTTGCATTTCCTGTCTCATTTCCACCTCGCACTGCCCGCTTCCGCATAAAGATGTGACCCAAACTATAATGCGAGCTTCGTCCGCGTGCAGCAAAGATATTGGACTCTGTAGGATATCTGTCGCAAACCGCCCGCAGCATTCGCAGAAAGCCCCCGACGCGCTGCGACATGCTGATTCATGCTCCTTCATAAGAGGCATCATGGCCTGTGCAAATTGTTCCTTGTATTCAGCATCCTCTCGGCGCGGTTTGCGCCGGTGATGAGGCTCGGGCAATGCCGTGGCTGCGTATGAATTGCTTGGCACCGATTTGGCATTCGAATCGAACCGTGGACGTTGCCATAACTGACTTGGCCGTGATTTAGATGCTATGGGTGATAATGCGTAGGTAGGCACGTATGATGAGAAGGACGGGGAAAGCCCGTGGCTCGGGATCGGATTCTACTTGTCCGATCTATTGTATCGGCTCTTCCACCCATCCCTTCTCACCTTCGCCTTGCTTTTCTTGACACGTTGTGCTGCATGACACGTTGGCGCGCGCTCCCAAGGCCTCTACGTTTCGCCCCAGGGGTTGCCTCTCCTGTCGTCTTGAACGATTGCTTTTCGGTTGGCCTACAAGTTTGCCCCTTTTTCCCCCCCCTCTTTTGTGTCCTTTTTCATCCCGCTTTCCTGTTGGCCATAACGTACCCCACTGCGTCATGCAACGCACTAGGTCATGCAACAATTTTCAACACCTGACGCGTCTTCTTCAAATTGACGCGATATGGACCACAACACTCGTATTGCAGAGGCAATTATAGAACTGCAATCCCAAGATCGCCCTAAATATGCAGAGACCGCGAGGAGATACAATATCGACAAATCCACGCTGTGGCGCCGCTTCAAAGGCAAAACAGCCTCAAATCACGACGCGAACTCTTACTCGCGACAGAAACTCACCAGCGCGCAGGAGGAGATTCTTATTGGGCACGTCAATAAGCTGACCGACCGTGGTATCCCGCCTACCCCTCAGATGTTGAAGAATATCGCCGAGGAAATCTAGATCATCAGCGGAAGGCTGCTGATAATTCCAGGCATTTCCAAAACTTCTTCAATCTAGTAAGACTGCTTTTTATCGTCATTTCAAGGGGTATACTGCCGACAATACTCGGTCAAATGCCGTAAAGTCGCCATTTCTGACCGAATCCAACTAACTCCGCGAAAAGATCGAAAAGTACAACATCAGTCCCTCAAATGTTTATAATTTTGACGAGAAGGATTCCAAATTGGTCTCTCTCGCTCCACCAAGCGAGTTGTCCCCGAGAAGCCCTCAGGCGCGGAAAACTGGTCGGGCAAGCCAAGACGGGAACCGGGAGTTCATCACGCTGATCGCTGCCATATGTGCAGATTATTCGTACCTGCCACCGGCCCTCATTTACAAAGGGGAGTCAAAAGACTTCCAAGATACTTGGCTTGAGGATTTTGACCATTCCAGCGAAGTAGCCTTCTTCGCCAGTACGGAAAACGGCTGGAGCTGTGATGCACTGGGTTTACACTGGCTTCAGCGCATATTTGACTGCCATACGAAGCAAAAGGCTGGTCGTGCCTACCGTCTCTTAATTTTAGACGGTCACAATAGTCACATTAACCTGAAATTCATTGACTATGCCGATCGGAATCGAATTCTCATTGCTGTGTTGCCATCGCACTCAACTCATCGGCTTCAACCACTCGATGTTGGCCTGTTTTCCGCACTCTCCACCTATTATGCTCAAGGTTCCGACCAGCTGGTGTCACAGGTCCCGGGGCCGGCCGACCGGTCATCCGGTAATCGGATTACCGCCCCGCCCCATGCAAAACCATGTCGTTTTCGAAGGCCCGGCCCTGCGGGGCTGGCGTTTTCTTAGTCGGATTACCGCCATCGGACGGCAAAATCGAAGGTCCACGCCCGCGGGCCCTGCGCGAGACCTTCGATTTCGGTCTCGCTCACGCGCGTTGCGCTCCACCTCCCTCCTCCCACCTCCTCCTCCCCCTCCTCCATTGCCACCGTCGCGACGGCGACCGCCTGCACCATGTCGAACGCGATAGAGGATCCCCGGTCAGGGCGGCCATTGAGCACTACCTGTTAGATCTGGAGAACACCCAGCCGAAGAATACGAAGCGAAATTATCGTCCCAAGCAGGAAGAATGGAAGGCAAGCCCGCATGCGCGCCCTGCAATCTTCATGTAGATCCATGCATTGACCGCCTCACAGGAGTGGTGTCAAGCCAACTGGCCTGCGATCCCGGACGTTTGGCCGGCCTCGGTACCACAGGGCCAACAGCTACCGGGAGACCTGGTCGATGAAGGAAAGCTCTTGCTCTTCATGAAGGAGGTAGTGGCATCACGTCCTCCAAAGAAAGGAAAGAGGGTCGCCGATGAAAGAAAACGACACCTCGAGGCTCAGGAAGCCAAGAGGGCCGTGAAAAGACGCAGAGCACCATCAGGTAACAGATGTTGATCACGGGATGTGGTCGTCGGACTGAGCCAGCCCATCATACTAACACCCAGCTTCCCCCAGCAGATACCATCGTTGTAGGCGGCGGAGGTAGCGAATACGAGTCAGACTCCGACTTGGAGTTGTATGAGTCCACGCTCAAACTACAGTATAATACTGTACGGGGCTACGTCTCGGCCATACAGAAGCTTTACGACGAGCAGAAGAGCCGGGAGTCAATCCTGCGGCCCGGCCACAGGGAGTGGCACTGAAGGCGCTCAAACGCAGCATTCTTGCAACGACTTGGAGCCGGAAGAGGAAGGAATACATGGACAGGGAGTTGGAACTCTGAGAGATGTGTATGCGCCGGCGCAGATACCCGACCACACCAACGTGGCATGGTCCGAGAGAGAGATCGCCTGCGCCCTGAGGACGCAGGTGGACTTTCTGCTCGGGAACCACATGCTGCTGCGGTCCGGCAACCGCCTGCCGATGGAGTTGGCAGACTGCTTTCCCCTGGACTTACCCAACGAGGGCTTCAAGGCCCAGGGTATACCACAAAGGCGCTGGTTGTCGTGATGAACTGTGGGAAGACCAACCAGCACGGCCGCATGGAGTATGGATCTGCTTTGCGGCATCGAGATCCGCGATCTTGTCTCATCGGCGCCCTCGCGTTCTGGCTTTTCTGGCGCTGGCAGGTAGAAAAGGCGGAAAGGTTTCCGTCTTCCAAAGAAGCGAAGACTGGTATGAAACGAAGGTGCTCCGCCGATCGGCGAAGGAGCCTCAAGGTAAGCGTGATGGCATTCACCGGAATCCCATAACTCAGAGGTGCATCGACCCTTTCACTCACCGAATATACAGCTCCGTTGTCGGGCCAGACTGCCCGAGAATGGACGTCCAGGTTCTACAAGAAGGCCGGCATCAAGGTCTCCAAGGTCAGCCACGCGCCTAGAGTGGCGGCGACGCAAAACGCCGACATGGCCGGAGTGGATGAAGGCCAGGCATGTCATCTGCCCTAGGCAAGCCGCCAACCCCCTGGCCTGGGCTGACCCGAACTATACAGATCCGCCGAGCCGGTCGTTGGAATAACGGAGACCAAATGACCGGCTGCTATCTGACTTCCCTGCCTTTCGAATTCATGAGGGCCGTGGCCGACTTTGACCCTGAATGGTCGGGGTCTTATTTCGTGCCCCGGGCCACCGTGAGGCCGCCTGTGGTGCTACTCGTGCAGGTCTGGCCTCAACTCGACAAATGGAAAGAGGCCCACAGTAGCCCTTTCTCAGATCTCGGGGTGGAGCAGAACATGGCCGCCGGCGCCTTCTTGGAACTCCTGGAGTGGCTTCGAGAGGTGCTCCTGCAGGACGCTGTCTTCCTTCGCGAGTCCTACCCCGACCATCCTATCTTTCAGGATCCGGTCTTCTCTTGCCCCGAGTTTGAAGCGTTCGCCAGCAAAGTTCAAGACACATGCACACGGGACCACGAAGACAGCCATACCACGGTCATTCAAAAGCGATCCCGGTGGTTGCGGAGAAGCTGCGCACAGTACTGACTCAACAGGTCGCAGCCGAGCAGTTAGCTGAGCGAAGACATCTAGACCTTTGGGGCTTCTTACGAACTATGCACAAAGTTGGATGAGTTTGCGCAGGCCACCTACACCGTCACCTTCAGCCCCGGCCAAGGTGCTGCAGGTCAACATGCGGAGATCGCGGGAGCTCATCAACAGAGGCGCCGCGCTCCACGAGAGACGGTCCTCAGGTCGAGATAGGCCCTTCGCAAGCGGGCGGTCCGACATACGCTCCGCTCTCTCTAGAGCAGCAGCAGGGAATGGTGCAAGCGGGCCAGGCAAGCCCCAGGGAAGAGCGCATGGCGAGCCGCCTGGGCCGCGCGAACCTCCGAGCTTCAAGCTCCCCGTTCTGTCAAATCTGTACAGGAGCTGCTGCGTCTCTGGCGGCAGGGCTGGGGCGAAATGCCTTCTGTGGATTCTCTTGAGCGAGACTGGGGTGCTCGATGGCGGCCATCTGCAGAGAAGAATTACCTTTCCACGCGCAAGATCATCGTCGATGAGGTTCGGAGGCGGGCCCAGTCGGACGGCTTAACTGAAGATATCGTGGCGAGGCAAATGGACGAAGAACGTGGACCCAGCTCTTTGGATAAGTTGTTCAAGGCCATCCGAAAGGACAGGCAAGGCGAAAAAGGGACACAAACGTGCGTCGGGGCAATTCAACGTCGGTGGTAGCGAAAAGTCGATGGCGCAGTGATTTTGAACACCCGTCTGATAGAATGACGAGGACCTTGGCGGCGAAAGTGCCCCCAGGCCGTCAGGGGCTGCGTCGCTACAGTCAGCGGTAGTGGCCTGTAGACAGGGTATGCATCCGCTAAGCGCCGCTGTAGCTCCAGCGCGTCAAGGCTAGAAAATGCTTCAAATCACCGCAACCTCGCAACCGACAGGATGTAGGACCTTAGACAGGGTGCATTCTGATCGCACAAACGCAGGCTATCCAGTCGAACTGGTTTTGTCGTCGTCGGTCCCGGCTTTCGCGCTTTATGGCGCTCCGAAGATGACATCAACCCGGCAGAGGTGATGTCAAGGGCAAGCGGGTAATCGGCGGTAATCTGCGGGGTAATCCGCTGACCGCCCACCAAAGCCGGACCTGTGACATCCACTTGATGTCCATTGGATGGGGGTTAATTCGCCTTACCAAACGGAAATTTTGGCCACTCTTTCGTGATGCGTGGAACCAGGCATTTACGGCCAAAAATATCGAGGCTGGTTGGCGGGCCACAGGAATCCATCCACTGACCCCGGCAAAGTATTGTCCAAGATTAGCCACAGCAGTGATGTGACACCCCCACAAACTGCATCTGAGGAAAGGGCGATGAAGACTCCAGGCTCTCTTCGGGCTATTCGGCGCATTACCCGCCGTCTCCGCAAGGAAGGGCTGATGGACTCCCGAGTCACAGCGCTCTCCCGAGCATCAGAGAAACTGGCGACACAATATGAGCTCGTACAACACGAAAATCGAGATCTACAGGAAGCGCTCAAACTTGCACATAAAAAAGGGAAACGCAGAAAGGCCTTGGGCCTTTTCAATCCAGAAGAAATGGTGGCCAGCCGGTCTTTTTCAGTCCAGCCAAGGTGGAACTGGCGCGGCGACGTCAGACGGACAAGGCACAGGCCGACGAGCAGCGCAAGCAAGCCATTGAAGATCGTCGACTCCAGGTAGCCATATCACGTGAAGAAAAGGCTCGAGAATCCGCCGAGAAGAAAAAACAGCGGGCTGCAATGCGTCAGGCCTTGCGAGAGCAGCGTTCTCGAGAGAAGACAGAGCGTGCTGCGGAGCGCGAGGCAAAGCGAGCTGAGAAACGGGAGGCCGCAGCAAAATTAAAAGCAGAGAGGTCTGCACGCGAGGCTGAACGCCAGGCTATTCGGGAAGTCAAGTTTGAGGTAGCTGCTACGTCAAAGCCTGGTAAGAGGGCACAAAAGACATGGTAGCGGTGAGAAAAACGAGGGGCGTTGGAAGCGGGTTTGCGCGACGGGCATTCAACCACGCAACAACTCGGAGGAAGAAAGGGTAAAGATTGGTTCTGAAGCTTCAGTGGCTCGAGACCACAGTCCCGGAGCTTTAGGGGTAAAAGACATACCTCCCGTTCGACGGAAGCGCAGGGAAGTATGGAGGCCGGTTTCTCAGTCTCTCAGGTCTGGGCGGACCACAAGACCGCCTGCTCATATTTCCTAAGAAAACCATCATATAGATAGACTCTGTATGAAGTGTTTCACATAATTGTAATGTTTAATAGTATTTTAAATGGTTGTGTCGGTTGCAGGATTAATTTTCGCTCTGGCTTGCCGGTCGGGCAATTTGTTGCATGACGTGGTGCGTTGCATGACTCAGTGAGGTACGTTAACTGACGCATATGATGCGAAGAACACTAGAACAGCAAGTAGGCCACTCAAGGCCGAATTCTCTACGCCTTATTTTATCCCTCTTCCTCCATCACTTCTCATCTTCTCCTTGCTTTTATTCACACGTATTGCTGCATGACATGACTGACAGCTTGGCGCCCGATCTTCTTCGCCCCCAATCACCCGTCGCGCGATGCAAGCTACTGGGAAAGATTTTTTCCGTGCCAGTGATGCCGCAACCACCACAAAACCTTGAAACATCAAACAGACAGATAAATCCCCCTTTTCAGCCTCAAATTTCAACCACAAACTTTCGTTCCTCAAGGCTCTTTGCGCGAGCCCGAGGCGAGCCTTCTCCTGTTTCTATGCCGCGCTTTTTTGCCCCCCGAATCCGCGCCTCTGATTCGCTAGCTTTCTCGGCTTCCCGTTGGCTAGAAAAATTGCCTCTTTCGTCTTGAACGATTGCTTTTCGGTTGGCCTACAAGTTTGCCTTTTTCCCCTCTTTGTGTCCTTTTCATCCCGCTTTCCTGTTGGCCATAACGTACCCCACTGCGTCATGCAACGCACTAGGTCATGCAACAATTTTCAACACCTGACGCGTCTTCTTCAAATTGACGCGATATGGACCACAACACTCGTATTGCAGAGGCAATTATAGAACTGCAATCCCAAGATCGCCCTAAATATGCAGAGACCGCGAGGAGATACAATATCGACAAATCCACGCTGTGGCGCCGCTTCAAAGGCAAAACAGCCTCAAATCACGACGCGAACTCTTACTCGCGACAGAAACTCACCAGCGCGCAGGAGGAGATTCTTATTGGGCACGTCAATAAGCTGACCGACCGTGGTATCCCGCCTACCCTCAGATGTTGAAGAATATCGCCGAGAAATCTAGATCATCAGCGGAAGGCTGCTGATAATTCCAGGCATTTCCAAAACTTCTTCAATCTAGTAAGACTGCTTTTATCGTCATTTCAAGGGTATACTGCCGACAATACTCGGTCAAATGCCGTAAAGTCGCCATTTCTGACCGAATCCAACTAACTCCGCGAAAAGATCGAAAAGTACAACATCAGTCCTCAAATGTTTATAATTTTGACGAGAAGGGATTCCAAATTGGTCTCTCGCTCCACCAAGCGAGTTGTCCCCGAGAAGCCCTCAGGCGCGGAAAACTGGTCGGGGCAAGCCAAGACGGGAACCGGGAGTTCATCACGCTGATCGCTGCCATATGTGCAGATTATTCGTACCTGCCACCGGCCCTCATTTACAAAGGGGAGTCAAAAGACTTCCAAGATACTTGGCTTGAGGATTTTGACCATTCCAGCGAAGTAGCCTTCTTCGCCAGTACGGAAAACGGCTGGAGCTGTGATGCACTGGGTTTACACTGGCTTCAGCGCATATTTGACTGCCATACGAAGCAAAAGGCTGGTCGTGCCTACCGTCTCTTAATTTTAGACGGTCACAATAGTCACATTAACCTGAAATTCATTGACTATGCCGATCGGAATCGAATTCTCATTGCTGTGTTGCCATCGCACTCAACTCATCGGCTTCAACCACTCGATGTTGGCCTGTTTTCCGCACTCTCCACCTATTATGCTCAAGGTTCCGACCAGCTGATGTCCATTGGATGGGGTTAATTCGCCTTACCAAACGGAATTTTTGGCCACTCTTTCGTGATGCGTGGAACCAGGCATTTACGGCCAAAAATATCGAGGCTGGTTGGCGGGCCACAGGAATCCATCCACTCGACCCCGGCAAAGTATTGTCCAAATGTCATCGTGAACCGCAAACAGCGCCTAGGGCAGATCAAATAATGCGAGGAATCGGGCTACTTCGCTGCAGCCTCATGGAAATCAGCTCTGACAGCTTTGACAATGGCCACAGCGGCCTTGGCCCCAGCAACTTCTCCAATGACGATTGAAAGTGCTCCCCAGAGCCATGCATCGTATGATCTTGCTATCAATAGCACCTTCCACCTCTCAGACGATGTTATCGCAATAGCTGACGGGACTTTCACCCCGGAGGAAACCCCTGTTCTAGCAGCAACCGCAGAATCAATTACAAGCTTATCAGAAGCTTTGTACGCGTACACAACAGCAGCCAGCAACGACAGCCAGCCTTGGTCAACAACAAGAAAGGAGCTCCACGTCACAAGCACCCAGCTTAGTGCAACAGCAACAGCCGATACTCCTGACCTTGCTCCCGAGACCCGAATTCCGTATCAAACGCACGTTCAACGCACGCCAGAGCTCCCAGAGGTGTGCACTGACGACGGAATTCACATCTATGCGCAAAAGGCAGCTTCGTGACCAAGATCAAAGCCCTCGTTGAAAACACGCCAAACTATGGAAAGACTCGGGCACAGCTGAAGTCGAAGCAGGCCACGAGCTCACAGTTCCCTTATCAAGGATTGGCACACGCACAAGGTGGCTCAACGCCCCTATCCTCAGGGATTACGAGACAAACAGGTCATTGATGAAACCCATGACAAGCTCCACGCACAAGGACGCATGGAGTACGTGCACGGGCCAACCCCTTTTGCAGCCCCCGTCTTCGTTGTGTGGCGAACAGCCCGAGGAGAAACCAAGGGCAGGGTCGTCATCGATTTGCGAGCTCTTAATAAGGTCACCATGCCAGACAGCTATCCCTTGCCATTGCAAGAAGACATCATCCAAGAGCTTATGTACGGTTTCCCCCTGAAAGGGCCCCTTGAGGCTGTTGATCGCACAGCCAGCGCAGAGGCAGACGAATTGCCCTACATCAAGGAAGCCTTGCGTAAGCAGGCCAGCCTAGCTATGGACCTTGCAGCGATGAAGGCCAAGCGTTGGTACGATGCCAAACACCGACCTATCCATCTCAAGGCTGGAGACAAGGTATATCTCAAGCTTCATCAGGGATATCACCAGCCAGGCAGGCCGCCCAAGAAGTGGTCACAACAGCGGGAAGGCCCCTTTGTGATCAGAAGGATGGTTGGAGACCTGGCCTGTGAATTGGACCTTCCAGAGCAAAATCGGGTCCACCCAGTGATCTCAATACACCACCTCAAGCCAGCTCACGAAGGCTGCTTTGAGGAAGCTCACCCCGGACCAGTAGAAGCCACAAAGGACTTTACGGACCAGGAAGGCGAATTCTACGAAGTTGACAAGCTTCTTGACGTACGGGTCAGGAAGATTGGAAGAAACAGGAAGCCCGTCACGGAGTACTTGGTCCACTGGAAAGGATGGGGCAGCATGCATGATCAGTGGATCAGGAAGGAAGAGGAAGTGGACAAGCTGAAGAGAGGAAGAAAGAGAAGGGCCATCCCTAACCCAAATAGACGCTTCATGTGTCTCGCCGAAGCTTTGGCGGCCGGTGAGATTGTCCCCGAAATTGGGGGTCCAAAGAAAGCCGTTGTGGTGGATTGCGACTCGGAGGAGGAGGAGGTGGAGTCGGATACGGAGACAGCTCCGGTGATTGAGGTCAAGGTATCTGGGCCTCCCCAGCGCACCACGCGACTGGGTCGCGTCATAAAAAGACCAAGAACCTATTAGTGTGTTCAATTCTCGTTCAAATGATGTAGCCTTTACATTTTTATCTCCATAGTTCGCTGAAATATAAGCAGTTCAAAAATCCGATTTTTGGTGAGGTTTGTCTCATTTGGCGGAGCAAAAGGGGGGGGTGAGCAAAAGGGGGGTTAAGGATGGTAAAGCATTGTGTTGAGAAATGCAGGTCTCAGCGGTAAGTATTAAGGTTAAGGTTACGGGCCAGACGCTCATGGGCTCGGCCCGTTACAGGAAATCTCGACTTCCCTGGGGCGCAACTACGTATCCTGCAATACCCTCGTCTCTGTACCCCAAGTTTCTGACTGCATTCCCTATCTCTGCTGCATTAACGGTGTAAAAGTGATCCTTGCTTCCCGGACTGTAGGCGCGGTGGAGTGGCACCGTATCGTGGAAGCCAGCCCGAGGGTATATGTAGCCGGTGATGCCTTCATCGTGGTACCCAAGATTACGAATTGCATTGTCTCGCTCCGGTGCCGACGTGGTGTAGAAATGATCAGTCGCAGTAGGCGAGTACATCCGATAGAGGGCGACACTGTGGCCCACCTGCGATGAATAAATACGGCAAGCGACTCCCTCGCCATGATATCCGAGATGGTTAATGGCGTTCTCGTATTCATGGTAATTGGTGGTGTAGAAATGATCAGTGGCCCCAGGACTATAGGCCCTGAACAGTTTGACGAGGTCCCGTTGATTCTGTAGAGCGTGTCAGAGAATGGTTATATATATTTGTTTGGGGATATAGGAGAGTTATTTCGGGTTATCAGATAGGGGTGATTTAGTCCTACCAATGCAGATGGAGCAGCCAGTGCGATTGCACATAGCATTAGAATGACGGATAAAAGCCGCATACTGAAATAGAAATTGGTTGACGGTTGATGGTTTATGAACGATGTTTATCTCTGGGAAGTTCTCTGAGACGAAAAATCAGTCGAGTTGCTTTCTCATACCCCGAGGAGGTGGCTCATTATATATTGAACATTTTGAGGCCTAGGCATACGTTGGTACAGAAACCCTACTGACCTAGCGCCTCGTATGGTTGCACTCCCTCGTATGGTTGCACTCGTATGCACATCTGCAGCAATCCGAGGCGCTATTTGTTTAGCTGTCATCTATTATATATGTCTCAGTTACACTCGGGCACGGGGCTGACTGATCGTTGGCTTTGTTGCGGTGAGCGAGGTATTTCCCCTCTAGTTCGAAATGTCAAACGACATTCCGCCCCAGTCGAGGAGGTGTCCCGACCCACATGGGCACCGTTCTTGTGTATATAACTGGGACCTTCGTCCCCTTGACTTGGGCAGTGGTTAAGGCCAATAGACTCTCTATAACCGTCATATGCATGACACCTCTCATTTCCTTTTGACACGAAATACCACTTACACCATTTTCGTTGTTCTAGGTGCCTTGAGCAGAATGAAAAACTGACGAACAGCGTAACTACTCCGTATGTGTATATGAAATGTTACTGGTATTAATTTACCTCAAGTATTATCTAGTGTACGGAGTAGGCGGTGATTGCTATAACTTACGGGAAAAAACTTCTGGATTAATTCATAGTCAGACTTCGGCTGAATTAATACTTAACAATATATATTGATGGGCTGCGCCTGCGCCTATATCTATATCGATATGAGTAACCTTAACAATAAATATGCCCATATCAATCAATATGTATTGATTACTGAGATGTCTGGATGCATCAAGGGTGGGTTGCATTTTCCACGACGTAGCGTTGAATTCTTATCTGTGCTGATGAGGATTGAGGGCGCTGACGAGGGCATCTAGCTGAAGGAAACCATCAACGTCCAAGTGGGACGAATGCGAACTTTTGTCCAACACGATGCGACGTGCTACGATTATGATTGGCACCATTCGGTTGGTTGGCTAGACATGGAGGGGAATCTGCTGCAGGCGCAAGTCCTCGTTGAGGGGGACGTGCATCAGGTTCGCTGTTCCGGCTATCCTATTGGTTCCGTGGCACCTCAAAGGTAGGGAGGGGTATGGTCGCACATTAAGCAACCATGTAACCAATCGAGACTGTACAGATGCAACCCTCCAATGGATTCCGACCTTCAGCTCGAGTAACGGATATATTGGTGAGTCGCGCCACTATCATCCCCCTCACCACTTAGCCTGGTTCCCCTCACTTCCACGTTCCCTTGTCCCCCAAAGTCATGTCAGGTCTTTTTGGACAGGTCCCGGAGCACCTACTCCTGCGCGTAATGGCTGACGGCTTCTCGGAGAGATGCACTGGCATCGATACCGTCTCATACGAGACACCCTCGCTTGGCCGGGAATCGCGTCGTCGGCCATGCCTTGCAGAAGTGATGATCCAGGCAAGTCCATCGGAAGTCATACATGCAGGCTGCAGCCACTAGAGCTGCAAGAGCGGCACAGGCCTTGAACCTGTTGTCGTCTTTGTCGTCATCCTCTTCTTGGCTTCGTCACAGTAAAGCAACATAGCTCGCTTTGTAAAAGGCCAGTTCTGCCAGGGCTTTTCAACATTTTGCCATTTTATTTTCCACAGTTGCAACTCCTATAAAACCACATTTGTATTGATTCAACTTCCTCTGCGAATTTTAAACCCTGTTCCAAAATGAAGCTGTCAACCAACCTCCTTCTCGGCGCGCCTTGGTCGCGCCAATCCTTGCTGCCGCCACCGCGGACGCGGCGGACATTGCCGACCAAGATGTCTCTACTGCCGACGATGGCGCGGATTTGTTCGACGAGGCTAAACGGGTAAGACGGCGTCGTAGTCACTTCCTCAGAGGTGTTTACTGACTGCACGTCCCTCGTTTCTCCAGGTATGCCATGGAAGTTGCCGCACGTATCGATGCCGGTGCACCCACCCTGATCGGAGCTGCCGCCAACGCGTCTGCAGCCGCGACCACAGTAATGGCCGTCGGTGCAAGTGTCCTTAAAATACTTCGAACACCCGTTAAGTTGCCAATGCAAGGGGCTTAACGGCTGAATATCCAGCCCGAAGGGTGAACATCGTATACCTGCAATTCAACTTTCCTAGGGGGGGACCCCCTAGAACCCCCCTTTCGCCTGCAGCGGCCATCCAGCCGTTTAAACCGCTCCTTGACTGGCCCAATCTAACTATATACCCTATATCGAACCTCCCCCTTCCCTGTAGCTTATAGGAAGACGTCGTTTAGTCAAGGTAGAGTGGTGGATACGGTGCATCGCTCAGCTGTTGACCCTGACGCCGTTGTTGGTCAGCGAGGCGCATCTTCATCCCTGCCTTAGCCTTTGTAGTTAGCCGTAAACGCAGCACGTAGGGGAGACAGGCTTATAAACCTTCCGTCGGCGTGTGGTTATAGAGGCTCTGACGATCGAAAGGCGCCTCAAGGAGTAAGCCTTGCAGCGACGTAACCCGTGACACAGCAACATAGCTAATACCGGCCTGGAAGTCGCGTGTAGCGAGATCAGTAACTATTTGATCCTTAGTTAGGCTCTGGCATTTGTGAACAGTGATAGCAAACGCCACCATCAGGGAAACTGCGTGCGAGCGCAGGTCTCGTTGCCCACTAGGAAATCACGCCTGACTGGGAGGATGGGTGAGATTTTCCTGCCCTCGTTAGTTGTTAGATATGGCGGTCCGTCGTAGCTTTCAAAGTCCACTATAATAACGGCCGGGGATCTTCCATGGCTCGGCGCCTGCGTTCCAGGCGATATCGTATACAGTACCCTGAGCACCGTTAACTAGCCAGCTGGCTGCCATAGGTTAGTAGTGAGCATCACCCTGGTGCCCTTAGCAACAGGGAACTTGTTAGATAGATTGCCAGCATTGTCGCTTGGTGCCTGCCCCGCGCCCTTGCCCTGATTCTTTGCCTCCACCTGTACTGCCGGGGCGTTGAGATGCACCATATGCTCGTAGTTGTATTCGTTGACCCGGGCCCTTGTAGAATACACCCGCAAAGCGGCCCTGAAGCTATCAACCTCGCTCTGCGTTAGCCTGGCCTGTACCCGACTGCTAAGGAGGTTCCAGGACGGTATGGATAACTTGACTTCACGCAGTTCCTGCAACGCCTGACGGAACTGAGCCTGATCATCACCAGCCTGGCGCTGTACCGTGGTCAGGAAGACGGTGCGGTCAAATAACCGGTAGGCCACATGCCCTCTCCTTTCCAACGAAGACAGGCTGGTGCTAGTCGAATACAGGGGCTTTTGCCGGACTGGTGGTAACTGGAAGAAATCGCCCACAAGCAAGACGCTCACACCACCGAAGAACTCGAGGCTACGCTGTGGAAAGGCCTGTCGCAGACGGGAATCGATCCGCGCGAGCTGCTCAATCCCCAGCATGCTCTTTTCATCGATAACGAGGTATTTGACGTGCCGTAGGCGGGACTGAAGGGCGGCTGCGTCGGCTGGGAAGGTCGGTAAAGTACCGCCTACTGGGAGGCGTAGCAATGAATGAATGGTGCTGCCCTGTATCTGGTTACTCGCAACGCCTGTTGGCGCTACGCGGCAAATAGGGCTAGGATTCGGTAGAGCGGCCGCCTGAAGATGGGAGGAAAGCACCTTGATAAGGAACGACTTGCCGGTGCCACCACCACCATCAACGTGGAGAAGGATTTGAGTAGGATTTTTCGCCTGGAAGTGACCCATGAATGTGTCGTACACGAGCCGTTGTTGCGGATTCAGCGTATTACGCCAGTGAGGGCCAAGGACCTCCACATCGTTGGCCATGGGGTGGCTAGCGATAAGGTCTTTCCAGTAGCCGTCTCGAAGTTCCGGATATGTACCCACATGCCGTGTCCAGTCGTAATTGACGTCGATATCACGGCGGCCAAGAAGGTCAAGATCTTCCTGGGTAAGGGGTTCCCAGGTAAAGGGCGGCGAGGCGAATCCAGTCTTCGTCATCAAATTCTTCCTCCACAGGCAGAGCCTCATATTGATCATCTTGGGGATGTAATCGAGCCTCTTTTGGCCGACCGTAATGGTCATCACCATGACTGTGGTGCTGCCAACAATAGGAGAAGGCCTCAGCGTGAGAACCAAAAAGCTGGCCGTCAAATGTGAGGAGATCATCAACCCGCCGATGTGGGTGGTTTAATGTTAGCTTTACACGGCAGTAATCTGGCCACTGTTGACCTTCTGGATCAGCCTGATAGCGAGGAAAGTAAACCAACACACGAGGTCTGCCGTTAACGTTGACTGGCTGCCATTGCTTCCACTTGGAAGGGTCCCTAGGACGGATATTCCAGCACTTGAGGAAGGAGACGTAGCTTAGGTCCGCTAGGGCTTCCGGGCGTTGAGTGTACTTTTCGTAAACGTTGGGGGCCTCGTCCACCTCATCGCCGTCAATACGGAGGGAGCGGGAATGCCTGTCAGGATTACGGCAGTCAACGTACAGGCAGGTTCGTGAGCCTTCCTGTAACGGCAGGCCGAGGAGCAAGTGGCTGACCTCCTGCTTCGAGTAATCCCGCTCAGCAACCAGCTGATTGAGGAGCTTTGACGTGAAAGAAATAAGGGGGTTGGTTCTTGACCCGGGGCATCAGGGCCTTCCGATCTGGGCAAAAGACTCGCTCTTCTTTTCCGACTTGGAGCAGTATTTGGCCGCGTAATCGATTACCTGCTGGAGGCTCGTGCAGGGCGAAACATCTGTATTGGCTAGCCACGCAACGGTAAGCAAGCGGTTGTAGTGGTTAATCTGGCCATCGTTCCGCGCGCCCTGAAGTTCCAGTGCTTAGAATGAGGAACCTTGTCAGGGAGGCTAGCAGGCGCTGTCCGTGAGGAAATCCAAAGCGGCACTCCACCTGCTTGGTATGCTTATTGAGCTGCATACAGTAGTTGCTGCAGCGGTGGCGTTGCACGCGGTTGACCACCATTGATAGGAACTGAACCGTAAGGGGCTGCTCCAATAGATTGCCGATCAGGGGATTCCCTTCTCCAGGCGCCTGTATTCGCTGAGGCTCTGGGTTGACAGCAGATACGTGATATCCCCAGATGCGGGCGAATTGCTCCCGGGACTGATCGTTGTCGGCATCTAAGTCTGGGTGGCCACTTAGCCAAGATAGGCCGTGGTGGTGACTGGAACCCCTGCCCTGCCACTCGTAGCGGCCCCAAGAGTCCGTTAGGTTGAACTTCTGCTTCAGGACAATAGTCCTAAATAGCGTATAACGCTTATGGAAGTGGTAAGCGGCGATGTGGGCGTTGTCCCGCAGCAGTTGCCGGGATAGAGCCATCCGCGCCACCTCAGGAGCTGTTTGCCACTCGTCAAATCGAGGCATATGACGGTATAGGGATTCCCAGTGGTAATCGGCTGCGCTTGCAGTAGCGAAAAGGCCAGGCTTGCCTAGATTATAGGCATATGCTTCCAATTCCTTCCTTTGCTTATACCAATACGGCCGGGTGCCCCTGATTACCGCGGCTTGGCGCGTGATTGACTGGATCAGGGCCTGAGCCTCCGGTTCGTCAGGCTCAGCCATCGCTTCCTCTAGGGCGGCGCGGGTAAGGGGTTGACGGCGGCTGTCGCGTTGCTTGACGAAGTAGTCACTTCGCTTTCGGACCTGCGCACGTAACATCGTGTTGAGGGCGACGAAAGGCCACGTCTTATGGCGGGCAAAACGTCCGTCATGCCATCTCATCGCATGGCCAAGGTAGTCCTGATACGTGATGCTCCGTAAGCGAGGCTCCACGAAGTCGGCCTTGCCGTCAGGGTAGAGGGTAGGGAACGCGAGCGTTAACAGCGGCTGGGAACGGTTGAATTCGTCGATAGGGGTCCTGCGAATGGAAGGCAGTGGCATCTGGTGGTGAGTCTGCGCTACGCGGCATATACTCCAGATCAGTCATGCGCTCAGGTTAGGGTCCCATCAAGAAATCGGGACTGCAGAGCGTTCAATTCGGTATCAGTGACCTGCAAATTCGGGATCGCTGATGCATCGGCATCGCTAGGGTCCTCTTCCACAACCTCCTCAACGGGGCCTTGGGGGACCTCGCCGTCAGGTATGTCAGCCACTTGGCTGGCAATGGAAGCAACTATGCTGCCATCAAGAGGAATCCGTTGCAGGCGATTCTGGCTCACAACGATATCGCGATAGCCCGGGTGGTGACGGTGTAGGTAATGCAGCCAGGCCGACAGGCATGAGCGACGTACCCGGAAATCGCGAGCAAACTGCTGCCGGAAGAGGGTCGCCCTCCATATTAGGAGGCCGCAGGAGGACGATATCTAGCTCTTCAGGTAGGACTGGGAGCTCTTCAAAGAGCCTGCCAACATTGCGAAGGAAGTGGACAACGTGACCGCGATATTTGTATTGAGCGCCACGCACCTGCAAGACTTTCACATGTACGTGAACCCTAGCGATGAGCATCTCCTCGACCATCGTTAGATCAGGTAGATTGGCGGGGGCTTCCCCCAAAGTCAAGGTTATTCGCAGCGCTAAAGAAGTAGGGCTCGTCGAGGGCTTTCTTCCTGTCTCGACCAATGCAGCGACTGCAGATTTTCGAGCTATTTCGCTTCATATCGAACCAACGCTCCTGGCAGCGAATGCAACTATGCATCTTGTCGTCATTCAGGGCAGTATAGAACTCCCACACAAGCGCCTGATCTTCCTCACTAAGGGCGGGCAGATTAAGGTCCGCTGTAAAAGGTGGATCAACTATCCGATCAAACTGTCGCTCTTGAGGCTGTGGCCGTGGCCGTGGGTTGAAAGTGCCTTGACGGGTATAGCGGCCGCGGCGATGATCCTGTGATAGTAAAGAAGAAGTGGTAGGAAGAGTGTTTTGAGGAATCGGCGTTTGCGGAATCGGCGTGCCCAGAACTACTCTTGGCAGGCTAAGGGTAGGATGGACAGGAGAAGGTCCCTCTGCAGCGCTTGGGATAGATGGCCTCAGCAGAGATCTAGGCAGTCCCTGGAGTGCGGGGGCCAGGCCACAGAATAAGGCAGGCGTGGCAAGAGATTGTAAGCCGTTCACAGACGCAGGCGTTGGCGCAATCCGCCTTGGGGGCGTCAGGTTAGCTAGCGAATCAGTTCTCTTCGTGGCTTTGCGTGGTGGTAGCCTTGAGGCGATATTTCGCATCGCGGCAACGGCGGCTCGGGACTTGGTTACCCGTTCCTTTCGGTGTGCCCTACAGCTAGCACACTGTCCTGTAAACTTAGTGGTATCCTTTACGCTTCGAAATTCGACTTCGGGCAGGTCTTGCTTGCAGGCACGGCAGTTGCGGACTGCCTGGGGTATATCGACCTCCATGTGACCGTATATATATCCACCTCTTAACACCTAGACCGCTAGGTATCGCTCGGAAAGTGAAGCTTTGTGAGGGCCAATGTCCAATACCGTGATAGATCTCGATAGGGAGGTTGTCTGAAGCAGTTAGATCGGGTCTGAATGATCAGGGAGGGAACTGAACTACTTCCCAGAAGCAGGGTAACCGGGGAATCTTGAGAGGTAGGCCGGCGGCGGCGATATTTGAACCTGGATACCCTTAGCAAACTGGTGGGTTTGATGGATTCGACGGGAAAGGGAAGCAGCGGCCATCTAGGCTGGTGTAAGGAAAAATACTGCGCTACGCCTTGCACTTTAGTCTTTAGGGTTGTGGTGCAAGGCGTACAATCAGCCGAAGGCTGCGAGTCTGGCTACCAGTCGAGCAGTCACCGAACAATCAATACAGTATCTACAATCATACAATCTGTGCCTTGGAAAGTGTCGTTCTTGTCGCGAGTAGCATCAAGTGGAGTTACGTATGCCCGTGGCCTGTCTTGTACGGATTCTGGGTGAGAACCTGTCGTTTGCGAAGTTGCTGATCCCTCATTTTCATCTTAATTCCTTCCGGTGGCGACGCATAAGTCAGGTGGTTGCGGTCAAACGGGGCATCCAGCATCAGACCCTGCAGCGTTTTCACACGCGAGACGGCCACGTAGCTCAATCCGGTCTGAAAGTCACGGCAGGACAGATCCGTCACGATCGTGTCTTCGGTGATGCTCTGCGACTTGTGAACTGTAATGGCGTAACACACGATCAGGGGAAACTGCGTACGAGTGCAGAGTGTGGCTCCGACGAGGAAGTCCCTGTCTACTGGCAGAATGGGGACAATCTTCCTGCCATCTGCGGTGGTCAGGAATACCGGCCCCGTGTACTTGTCAAACTCCATCATGATCACGCAGGGAGGGTCTTGCATGGGGTCAGCTCCAGGCGCCCAGGCGATATCGTATACCGTACCGCGTGCGCCGTTGCAGAGGCCAACTGGCTGCCAAAGGTTGGACGTCAGCATCAGACGGGCGCCAATGCATACGGGATCTGCTTCGCAAGGTTGCCCGCCTTGTCGTCCGGAGCAGCTGTCGCGCCGGGGCCAACGTTTGTAGCGATGACCTGGATGACTGGTCGGTTGAGGCGGTCAAGGTGGTAATGGTTATATTCGTTCACCCGGTCTTTCGTGGCGTATACCCGTAAGGCGTCGGCGAACCTGGCGACCTCTTGATCGTCTAGCTTTGCCTGCACGCGGCCAGAGAGAAGTTTCCAGGACTCGTAGGATAGTTGGAGCAGCCGCAGTTCCCCGAGAGCCTTGCGAAAGGCCGCCTGGTCATCGCCGCACTGCCGCTGAACAACGCTCAGGAAGACAGTCTTATCGAAGCGCATATACGCGTTCCTTCCCTTGATCTCTACTCCCTGCACCTCTTTGTCGTAGTATAGCGGTTTCTGTAGAACAGGAGGAAGCTGGAAGAAGTCGCCCACCAAAGGACATTGAGTCCGCCAAAGAACTCCTCGTTCCTATGCGGAAATGCCTCGCGGAGACGGTCGTCAATCCAGGATAGCATACGCAGTCCCAGCATGCTTTTCTCGTCGATGATTAGGTACTGAATATCCTTCAGTTTCTTCTGGAGCTGGGCTTTGTCGATGGCGGAGAGCGGCCTGAAGTCCTTGTTGATCGGGAGGTGAAGCAGCGAGTGCAAAGTAGTGCCTGATATCTGATTCCTGCGACGCCTGTCGGTGCGGCACGCCAGACAGGTGTCCTCTCCACGTGTCGCAGCCTGGAGGTGCGCCGAGAGCAGGTTGATGAGATATGACTTGCCTGTGCCACCGCCACCATCCACATGGAGTAGCAACTGGGAACGGTCCTGGGCGAGAAAGTGACCCATCACCGTGTCATACACTATGCGCTGCTCTGGATTCAGGGCATCGCGTGCTTCCAAGGGCTGATGCTCCACATCAAGGTGAAAGGAGCTTTCCGCCTTGCGTTGCTCCCAGTAGTTGCCGCTGAGAATGTCGTCGTTGGTGTATCGTCCGACGTGAGGAGTCCAGTCATAATTCACGTCGATATTTCGCCGGCCAAGTACGTCGATGTCTTCTTCCTCCAGCGGCCGGTCTGGCAGCATGTGGGCGAGCTCATGCCAGTCCTCCTCTGCGATGGGCTCGTCATGCACCTCCTGCACAAACTCATCGTCCTCCGCCTGGAGCTCGTTTGTCCCCACCTCCCGTAATGGTCGTCCTCATGGAAATGGTGTCGCCGCCGACAGCACTGGTACGCCGCAACAAAGGACTCACACAGCTGCCCGTCCACAGCAAGCAACTCCTCCGGAGCGCGGTGCGGATGGGCCATCATCAACTTGACACGGCAGAAGTCATGAAACTGGGTTGAGGTTTCCACTGGCCTGTACCGAGGAAAGTAGGACAGAACCTCTTCTTCGCGTTCGCACCGAGTCTCCTCCATGTCTTGAGATTGTACAGCTGCAGGTACTCGAGATAAGTAATACTCTCATGCTGGTCATTTCTCTGCAGATATTTCCGGTAGCTGCCGACAGCCTCTCTGACATCATCATCGACGCGGTAGGACCGTGCATGCTGCTCTGACGGGCGGCAGTCGACGTACACAACCATCCGAGTCCCTTCCTGCAGAGGGATGTTGAGCAGCAAGTGGAAATTTCCTGCGCTGAATAATCTCTCTCGGCAATCAACTTATTCATAAGGCGAGAGGAGAAAGACAACAGGGGTTGGTGGTGTGCTGTATGCGGCAAAACCTGATCCGCCAGCCTGCAGTAAGGCTCTGTCTTCTTCTCCGATTTGCTGCAATACTTGGCAGCGTACGTAATGACTGCTTGCAAGCTGGTGCATGGAGATATGTCAATGTTGGCCAGCCATCCCAGAATGATGGCAGGGTTGAAATGATTCATAAGGCTGTCGTTGCGGGCCGCCTCGAAGATGTAGTACGACTTGCCTTCCTTCCTGATGACCGCGGCCAGCTCTCGCAAGGCACGGGGGAAGTCAAAACGACACTCCCTTTCCGGATTGGCTGCGTTGGCCGCCTCAATATCGGCAGCAGCTCCTTCCATGTCCCTCGCCAGGTCGCCGCTTCCTTTTCTGACACGCAAGCAGTACGTGGTATTGCATCTGTGGCGCTGGCAACGGTTGACAATTTGCGAGAGCCGCAGGAATGTCATCTCCACGCCCAGCGGATCTACGCTCAGCGGGTTACCCTCCCCCCGAGGCACAGTCCTACGGGGCTCCGGGTTCACGGCCGTGATGTGGAAGCCCCACGTGCGTGCAAACAGGTCTCGAGCGGCTTCGTCCTCCATGTCGGCGGCGGGGCCCTCCTTCATCCAGTACAGACCGTGGTTGTGCGGACTACCACGCCCTTGCCATTCGTACCGATCCCAGTAATCCGTGACGTTGAACTTCTTCCGCAACACGATATCTCGAAAGAAGCAGTATCGGCGGTAGAAGTGGAAAGCAGCAATGTGAGGGTTCTGTCGCAATAAGTACCGCGACAATGCCATCCTCTCCGGCTCGGAAACGCGCAGCCATTCTCCATATCGGGGCATGTGCTGGTAGAGGCTCCGCCAGTGCAAATCGGCTGGGCTGAATGTGATAAATGCGCCAGGACAGCCCAGGCTGTATGCATACGCCTCGAGGTCCTGCCTCTTTCTGTTCCAAAAGGGGCGCGTACCGCGAATCGACACCGCATGCCTTGTGATCGAGTTGATCAGCGCCTGCGCCTCGGATCTTCGCTGTGTTCAAGTGCCTGAATAAGCTGCTCTCGCGTGAGTTGTTCGCGGGTGCCGTCATGTTGCTTCACGAAGAATCTCGACCGCGCGCGTGCTTGGGACCGCATCAGAGTGTTGAACGCGACAAAACGGAAGGTCGGGTGCCGTGCAAAACGGCCGTCGTGCCACCGCATCGCGTGCTCGATGTAATCCTTGTACTCAATTGACCGCAAGCGAGGTTCCACAAAGTCGGCTCTGCCGTCTGGAAAGAGGCAGGGGAATGCCAAGGAGAGCAGGGCATGAGAGCGATTGAACTCATTGATCGGCGTGTGCCGTATATTCGGCAGCCGCAGCCCGTGCTGCCCCCGCCCCTGGGAGCCTGTGGCGAGAGGAAGCCTTGCGTTCGCTTCTGGTTCGCCCGCGAGAACAGACCGCAGAGCATCGAGCTCCGTGTCCTTGGCCAACAGGTCAGGCACCGCAGCCGCGTCCTCTAGCTCAGGCTCTGCCTCCTGATCTTCCTCCGGTCCCACATCGGCAGCCTCCACCTGACTTTGGGGGATGGCATCCACCGCATTGCCGTCCTCGGGCAGTTGGCTCAGTCGCTCTTCGTCGATGACGATGCATCGATAGCCAGGATGATGATGGCGGAGGTAGTCAAGCCATATCATAACCGCCTGGCGGCGCACACGGAACTGGCGGGTGAATTGCCGACTGAGATTGGCGTGTGACGACGTGTTGGCAGGACGCAGCAACACCGTGTTCAACTCCCGCGGCAGAAGCGGGAGCTGGTTGTACACCAAGCCAACCTCGCGGAGAAAGTGAACGACGTGCCCCCGATACTTGTACTGCTGTCCCCGCACCAGCATGATATTGACGTGGACGTGCACGCGAGCGATCAACGACTCTTCAGTAGGCGTAAGCTCAGGCAATCGGGCCGGCACAGGGCCAAAGTCGAGTTGATTTTCGGCAGAGAAGAAATAAGGTTCGTCGGGGCCACGCTTCTCATCCTTTCGATAGCAACGCGAGCAAATGCCGTCATAATCTATTTCCATCTGAAACCAACACTCGCGGCATCGGCTGCAGTATTCCATCTGGTCATTGTCAAGCTTAGTCCAGAACTCGCGCAGGGTGGCCTTATCGCGGTCGGTCAAGGCACAAGCGTCGAGGTCGCCATTCCACACCGGATCTTGCGCATGGAAGACCGCCAATTCTTCCGGTGGAATTATCACTGGACTCCGAAGACGTCGTGGCGGTCTCGACGATCGTGTTTCTCTCCGAGACCTTCTTGGCCGCCCTCCTGTACCTGGGGCGGGACCTCGGCGACCACGCCTTGGCCGTGCGGACGGCTGCGGCGGCCGACGGCGAAGTGGGCTTCTATCCACAGAATCATTGTTCCTGTCACCGTCCTCGTCTTCCTCACCAGGTTCAGAGTCCGGCTCGATCCCCAATCGCTCGAGATACCTGCGTGGTCGAGCGGGTGAAAGCAGGACGTTGACATAATCCTCAGCGTCAATATCAGACTCTGAGAACTGGCCCCTGTCGTCTCCTTCCTTAGGTATCATACCCCCACCTTGAAACCCACCCGTCCGTAGTCGATCTGGGCTCGCATCTATGTTCCATGGTCAGCCCGTAGAAGCTATTGCGAACCACAGCACGAGGATAAATACATTCTCCAGCCAACTCCGAGCCTTGTAAGACGCCCAGCTGAGATATCGTTGGCGTCAGTGACACAACCTCCCCCTGCGCGACGTCGTGACCGGTGGTCGCGCTGGATCGCGGCTACCTTGGTCCTTGCCCTGGCTTTCGAGGGATCATCTTGAGAGTTCTTCCCCCCCTTATGGAATCTAGCAGCCACATAAGAGTAATCTATACCACTTGTGCTGCTTCTCTCATAGCAGACAAGCCTGAGTGTGGCGCGGCCTGCTCAGTCGTCGACTGCATCAAGGGTGTTGGCGCAAGAGTCCGAAAGGAGCGGGCACTTCCTTGGCTTGGTGGAATTGGCGTCCCCAGCACTACCCGCGGCTGGTCAATCGACTCTTCGAAAGACCTCGCCGTATGACGCCCCAGTAACGTCTCTGATGACGCAGGCCGGGTTCCAGATCTGTCAGCACCAAACCCTCATATTTGGGGAAAACTTCCTCGATTAATGTTAAGTCAGCCTACGGCTGAATAAAGGGCAGTGGCTGATTGGGCCAGAATCGTGTTTAGAACTGAAAGCTCTTGAAGAGCTTGCTAGTTACCTGGTCAACGCTCAGGGGTCACCGCTCAGGGGTCTGTGCCGAGGCCTTCATTTGGTGGCGTTCGCGGTCGACCAATTCCCGCACGAGTTGAGTACAGGGGAGGCCAATTAGCCAATCAGAGGAGGTTTTATGCTCGATTCTTTCTGACTGAGTAGAACGCCCTTCGGGCTGAATTATGGATAATACGTATAAGGTCAACCGCTTCAACATGCCGCTTCTACAGATCATTGGTACAACAGGGCTACACAAGAGCTTCAGTATAGGCTTCGGCCTCGCGGCTAAGGAAGACGAGGGCGCGTTCCAATGGATCCTCTCGCAGTTGCGTGAGGCCGGCCAGCAGGCTGATATTCCGGACCCGGGCGTTGTGATTACTGACTTCGATACCGCCCTGAAGAACGCCCTTGACTCTGTCTTTCCATTGACACAACAGCAACTGTGCGTCTGGCACATGATTAAGAACGTGGTCCTTCATATCAAGAAGAAGTGGCACGGATCCCTCGATGGTACCGAGATTGGCGGAGACAGGCCAGAAGAAGAGACTCGCCTCGCTGCAGCAGCCGCCCTCGACGATCCGATACAGGCAGATGACGCTATTGACGAGGACCGACCTATCGACCGTGCTGCTGATCACCAGGTTCAACATGCCTCACAACTGGCAGATCTGTACGTTCAGGATCAAGATGATCATAACGATGACGATGGAAACCCAATACCACCCCCGGCTCCTAGGCGGGCCTTTGAGCACACAGCTGACGGTATCCGTGATGCCTGGGCTTCAGTCGTCAGGGCTCGTACGGCTGAGGAGTGTAGAGATCAGTGGGATCTACTCTGTACAGAGTTTTCAGACCAGCAAGGTAACCCTAGCCCTATCTTCCCTCCTATAAATTTGCCCTAATTCAGCCCGAAGGGCGTTTGCCTTGAGGAACGAAAGGCCTTCTAACGTGCCCCGCAGACCCCGCCCTCTCCCCCCAAAAGTTCTCCGCCCCTTGATTGGTCCCTTGTGATTGGTCCCTCCTTGCCTCCCTCCTTGTTGGTCGCTGCCCTTCCCCCGGCTTCTGTTGCCTTTTCGCGTGCCTTATCCCACCACTGCCGACTCTTCCCGCCTGCCGAACTCTTCATCGCGTCACCTAGCGCGGCCGCCTTGACTCTTCAGCATCACCGTCCAGCCAGCGCAACGCCTCCTCAACGGTCCTCTCGCTCAGTACCTCGAGCCTGGCCTGTGCGGCAGTCATCTCCTCGGGGACCCGGTTGCCCACCAAGTCTCTGTCCCGCACCTTGGACACGAGCATGATGCCGTCTAGAGTTCGGCAGCGCGATAGCTGCACGTACAGGCCGTACGGGTCGCACTGCGAGGGCACCACCGTTCCATCCATCTTCGTCGTCCGTGTCCTCGCAGCTCGAGGGCCACGCGCTCCAGCGTTTTGCCCTGCACCTTGTAGTCCGTGCACGCGAACGCTGCTGCGCACGGCAAACCCTTTCGGCTGACGTCGTTGCGTTGCCACGGCCTTTTTCGCTGGCACTGTATCTTAACGGTCATGGGTGTCAACAAGATCGTGCCCGGCGGCATCCCGACGAAGTGGAGATATCTCGTCGTCTCCGATTCGAGAATGATCCCCGCCGGCGGCCCGAAGTGGATCGTCATATCGGCCGAGATCCGATGCCCGGGTACGCCTTGTCGACAATGACCTCCACCGCCGAGTAGCTCGCGCCGTTCACTAGCTTCAGCCCCTGGTGGGTGTTGTGGTTCACCACGATGGGCATCCCGGCCACGAACATGAAGACGGCCGGCACCGGGATCGCGCTATCGTCGCCCTGGTTGAGTATCATGATCGCCTCTTCCTCCGTCGGCAGCTCCTCCTTCCACTTGTGCTCGGAGATGAAAATGCGCATCGTCGACCGCTGCTGGACCCGGAACGCCAGGCTCGCCTCCATGTTCAGGTTCCACCGATTCCTATTGAGCGGCGTCACCACGGTGATGCCCGTCTCCCAAGGGATCCGCCTTCCTCCCGGTAGCACCTTGAGTTGAGGAGGTTTAGATCCGTCCGATCCTGCACGCCTAGACGGATCCGCTTCAGCAGCCTCTGCAGCTCCGGGTCGCCGGCGGCGCGCATCTGCTCGTCCAGCATGACGACCGTCGTGAACCTCTTCCACAGTGCGTGCGCTTTGTCGTGCTGGTGACGCTGCTCGGCCTTGAACGAGTTGTCTACGTCCCACGAGATGGCCGCGCTAGGCAGGACGATCGACCTCTCTTGGACCGGCCGGAACTGCTGAAAATCTCCGCAGAAGAGGACGATGGGGATCCCCCCGAAATCTTGCCGCGATCCGCGAAGCCGGCGAAGCCGCTCGTTCACGGCGTGCAGCGTCCGCGCCCCGAGCATGCTCACCTCGTCGATGACGAGCACATCCTTCTCCTGCCAATCCATTCGAGACTGGCCGTGGATGAACCGCTCCGCCTGTTTCGGCAGCCGCACCCGTCAAGGTCTTTGACCATGTTCGCGCCCCCGCCCTTGGTCTTTAGTGAACCCGCAGGCGGAGTGGATCGTGATGCCGTTGATCCGCGCCGCCGCAGTCCCCGACGTCGCCGTGATCAGCAGACGATTCGAAAGGCTCTTTTACTGAACAGCTCGACGAGTGCCTCGATGATTCGCGACTTGCCGGTACCGCCCTCGCCACCGACGAACTGGCGCAGCTGGCAGGCATCGCCCCGTCGGTCTGCTGCATCAAATCGAGCTGGCGGCATATTATCAGAAAAGCGATGGACTGCCTCTTGTTCAGCGTCAGCCGTGTTGCCAACACCTTGCCCGCCGCGAGGAAGGAGGTTGATGGGCCAAACTGAACGTCCATTCCCGCCCCTGCGTCGATAGCGGTCTCGTCGGAGTCGGCCATCGTCATTTCGACCTCGTCCTCCCGAAACCGGTCATCACCCTTCGCAACGCTGCGCGGCGATCGCTTTCCCAGGCGGCGGGCGTGCTTTGTATCCCTGGATCATCCTCTCCCTCCTTCGAGGCACTTACCTGCTGCGACTTGATAGCCTTGACCTGATCCTGCGGCGGTAGTGCGGCCCGGAAAATACCCGCCCTGGCATGCTTAACCGCCTCTCCTCGTTCGATCAGCGCCGTGGCCTCGAGCTCGGCCGTCGAGCGCAGCGCCGATTGCTGAAACCGACAGAGCTGCTGTATCATTGCCATGAGCTCCGGCGACTTGGCCGTCACCTGATTCGCTCCCACTGCACCTCGGACGACGTCGATGAGCCGCGTTGCGTCTCCGATGCTGTTGGGCTGATATGTCGCTGCAGACTCCGCGCCCGCCTCGCCTGCTCCACCCTCCTCGACGTGTGCGACCGTCGGGTCGCCATCGCCGGACGAGGCTGCCCATTGCTTGGCGTCGCGTTTTGCGTCTTCGGCGGATCGTCGAAGCAGCTGCACGTTGTCGACGAGACATGATATTCTCGGGGCCATAGCGTCTCGAGCCCGCGCCCAGATGCTGTTGATCTCACCTGTTCCTTCGCCGAGGAAGGACTCCCACGGCACGAACAGCGCAAGATGCTGCACGGCTGCCCTTCAGGGGGTAGGTTAGCCTCTCCGATAATGCCCGCTGACAGAGCAGTTGCCATACACACCTCCGGTAGCACGACTCGTCATCGTAGGTGAAGTCCTTGCTCAGGTAGCCGTCGAGGCAGACGGTAGCGTGCTTGCCCGGCCGCCTGAGCACCTGAACCCAGCGTCGTCCCGGCGCCCATCCATCCTCGAAAGACATCTCCCTGCCGCCCAGCTCTCGTCGTTGCCGATGCGTTTCAGTCTGACGATCGATATGTAGTCATACAGGCATAGGCCTTTCAGCAGCTCTCCCGGTGCTGGTACGCCTCGACGTGGGAGATTCTCAGGCCTTCTTCTTCGACGACGACCGACTCATCCAAGGTGTCATCCATAGCCGCAGCGCCACTGGCTTCTCGGAGATGCCGCCATCGCCGAAAGACTTCCCAGTACAGCAGAGAACAGTTCAGGTACGCCCACGCGCTGCTGTCGGTGAACTCGGCCGGATATCCGAGAAGGTGAGCGACGACCTCGACCTGTGATAGCGGACGCTCCGTGAACACGCGGTTCGCCACTCTCATCAGGAACTGTCGCGTCCTGTTCCCTTGACAGGGTCATCGGTGGCAGCGTCTCCGCCACCGTCCCGCCCTCCGTTGGCCGTGCCATCACCTGTTGAGGCGGCCAGGAGCTCGGCCGCGGCCGCCACACGCTTCCACACCGGGTCCTCCACCTTGGTCGCGTAGTTCGTGACATAATAGATGAGGGCCATTGTCTTGCGCTGCGTCGCAATGAAGGAAATATCATGGTTGTGCCGGAGCCCGACAGCAATAGCCTCGTTCCATCGATTGACCATGCTGTGTGTCCTCCGGATCTGCAGCACCCCGTCTGCCGTGAGGGCGGTCTTGTCGACTAACCTCCATGGCGCCTTGAACCGGCAGAGGTCCCCTTCCGCCCTCCTTGCCCAAGGAATACTTCACACAGGTCGGGCTATGCGTGTGCACCTGCGTCGCGCCGGCACAGAAGTTGGCCTCCTCGATAAACGCGGCCGAGAACTGCGCGGCGTTGTCCAGCAGGGAACCAATACCGCCCGTCACAGATCGCTCCGCTTGCACGGCGCAAAACTTTCCTGGTCCAGATCCTGCCTTGCACGTCAACCCGGCCCCACTTGGCCATCAGAAGAGTACTTCAGGCTCCCGGTGGCATATCTTAGGTAGGCATTCTTACCTCTGAGAAGACGCTATCGATGTATCGGACGATTCGCTCGCGATACGCCGCCTGATCCTCCCCGTGGATGTCGGCAAGCATCGAGCTGAGATGCGCGTTCCCGTGCAGCCAGAGCAAGCCGTGAACATGAAGCGCCCTCGTTCGTTCGTCTCCACGGCGCCATAGTACTTGCCGATGCGCCCGAATACCGACTCTTCACCGACCTTCACGTAATGATCGAAGAACAGCTTCATCTCGCGGTGGAAGAACACGGCCGAGCTCATGGGATCCGATATCGCCAGCCGTGCCCGCTTATACGCATCCCCAAGGCCTTCTAAGAACTCCTCGGCCGCGTCGGGATCGCGTGTGCGGTATGCCGCCAGTCGCAGCTTCACCGGGTTCGTAATGTCGTTCGGGTTGATGGTGAACCAGATGGCCGGCACGCCATATCCGACGATGAGCGACTGGATTTTCCGCCGCATATTGAGACGGACCTCTCGACATGGGCTGCCGGTGGCCGTAAAGCGAGAGGCTCCTGAGAAGCTCCTTCACGTCACCATCGGTCGTCTTACCCGAGCTCTCCAACTCGACCCTCGCCGCCGCTAGCCTTTCTGTGGTCATCGAACGCACGATGCGCTCTACCTTGCGGAAGTTCTTCCTCCCACACTCAACATGCTGACCCGGCGGTTCCTCGATCGCACCCCATGTTGAAGACGAGAAATGCGAAGATGTGGTGCAGTGCAAATCGACCACCATGGCGCCGGAGCACGATCTCGGCCCACGCCTGAAGGTTCAAGCTTCGAGACGATACGGGTCTCCGCGGCCGCCTCTGCCTCGACAGCCCTGCCTCGCAAGTTGGCCGTGACCTTCCCGCGTCGACCATGGTCTCTTCAACCAGCCTTGGTCCCCAACGCCAAATGGGAACAGGGTCGGGAACGTCCTGGCAAAGAAGGACGCCTCAAAGGAATCGGTAAACTCACCCCCGCGAAACCCGGATGTATGGCTCACAACCACCGTCGCCACGCCCCGAACCCCGGCTAGGGACCCGACCCACGCCTGGCCCGCACGGCCGTCGTCGGCACCTTCACCAACAGCGTCACAGGCAAACTGCAGCTTCTCCACGTCCGCGACGTCTGGCGGTCCGTCGAGCGCGAACATGCCAGAAGACGTCACCTCGTTGATCGCTGGAACGTTCTGGTCGGGGCAGGCGTCACTTCCATCGCGAACCGCGCCTTCTCCGTTGGGCCCGTGACCTTCACCCTGGCCGCCGGCTTCTTGTCCTTGGTTGAGCAGGGCGAAGAGCTCCTCGATCTCCACCGGCCCTCCTCGTCCATGGCGCGTTCCGTGGGCGGCACAACGTGCGCCGTCCGCGCTTCTCCCACCCAGACGGCTCGTTCCGCTCCATACGATCGCACACCGACGACGGTACCCGTGTATCGAGTCTCCCCAGCTCTCCATCTCCGCCGCGTCGATCTCGATCTCGGCGTAGTGGGGGTTGTTCCGCTTCAGCCAGACAAGGGCCCTCTCGACCACCCGCCGCCTCACCGACAAGAGACTCGACAGGTCGCTCGGTGCCGGCTTCTCCGCGCCCTGCCACGAGATGTGGATCTCGTCCAGTGCTTGCAAAGGGGTGCGGGAGCACTTTGTGGCCAGCTCCTGCACATTGTTCGGAAACACCGTGATGTGGCCCTGACATGCCTCGGATACTTCACGCTCTGCCTCTGCCCGCCCGGAATGCTATATCTCGTGACAAACCCGTAACATGAGTTCAGCGAGATGAGCTTCTTCGACCGGCGTCAGTCCCTTGAGCTCATCGGGGAACATGTGCTCGCAGCCAAGGCGACTGTGAAGGTGGATCGCCGGCGACAGGCTCCTGCGCGCCAGGCATCGGCCACACTCGGCGCACACCGACACGGACTCGCCCTCAGGAAAGCAACTCCGGCATGAAAATGGTGAGCGGCCGCCCTTTGGTACGCAACTTGACAGCCAATGATCCCATGTAATCTCCTCAACTCTCCTCTCGTACACTTGCGGTAGCACACCATGCAGGTCCGTATCGGCAACGTGCTCGCATCGTGGAACGCCTGATAGAAGTCTCGCACCGTCGACACCTTCCTCTCGAGCGGTATTGGCGTGCACCACGTCTGATCGTTAGACAATCTCTCCTTCAAGGCAAAGTCTTCCTCCAAAAAGCGCAGCACACTCGCCAGGTCTTCGGCCTGCAGCTCCCGTCTCCTATGCCTTCCGATTCCACTTCGGACCTGTTTTATCGGGCGCCCATCCCGGCTAGGAAGACGGGCTCTCTCCCGCCTCCGGGACTGCCTCTGTCCGCGCAGCGAGCCGTCCGCTGCCTCTGCTGCGCCATCGTCCACACCCACCTGTGCCCTTGGCCGCCGAACCGGTCCCCGACGGAGCTTGGGCAAACCCCATGCAATCGATGCTGCAAATTGCGCCGTTCGTCTTAGGTCTTGGAAAGTCGTATCCTTGGGCTGGATAGGTCGGAGCGTCGGTCCCTTTTTCGAACGAACACCCGGGACACCGCCGGTCGCCACCTTATCTCCCTGCCCGTCACCTTCAGGACCCTCTCCTGGGGCAAAACGGCCGATGAAGGGCGGACTGTTAGAGCCCACTGCCCCTGGTCTCCACGTTCTGTAGGCAACACGAACCTCGGAAGCGGACTCGGTGACTGACGTTGCGCGGAATTTCCGCTGCTGACCAAATTACGGGACTTCCGTGCTCTGCTTGACCGCAAACCGCCTCGCGGCGGTCTTCTCGGCAGTGACTTTGCGATCGCCTCTGCATGCTTTCTCCATGCGGTTTCTTCGACCGCAGACTGCTTAGGCTGAATCAGCCGGAACGTTAATGCTTCATTCGCCACTGATCTGTATCTCCCGAACCGCCCCAACCTTGTCTCCCGTGCTCTGTGCCCTTCTCGGAGTTGCCCTGTATCATCTCCGCACCCCGAAACAGGCACTCCCCCGTTCCTACCCTCTTCTCCATCCTCGACTGACAACGAACAGGCTCCACGGTGAGCGGCCGCCTCGCCTAGCTTCCCTGCAGGACTGTCCGCCATGCTACTGCCTCCTCGACGTCGACTAGCGTGGATTGGCAACAGGCTAGAAAGTTTTGGCTCCGGAGCACTTCCACTTGGATAATCTCGCTTCTTGGCGTACACTATTTCTTTCCGAGTGGGAAGCTTCCTAACGATCACTACTCTCATGGCCGTGGCGTTTCTTCCTTATAATGCTTGCCTATGGTACCGAAGCGATGCAATACTACTACCCTTTGTAATCCCCATTTACCCTCCCTATGTGCGTCCACCGTCCCGGCCCTCGGCTGGTCTCCACGTGCGACCTGCTACCCCAGCTTTGCCAAAGGCGGCCCTTCCATCGCCGTGCTCTCTTTGCGCACTCCAGCGAATCCCTGGCTACCGCCGACCTCCGGCACATGGGGGTGGCCGCGCCAACCGCCCGCCGCACACTTCCAACCATACTCCGGCCCTTCCAACGCCGTCCCACCCACCTTGCGCATCAGTTGCTCCATCAATATCTGCCACTCCACCTCGTCGAGCAACAGCCAAAAGGCTGCCGGCGATAACATGTCCACGGTGTCCTCGTGCAACCGGACTACCCGGCTAGGTTTGCTCCTCGCCACCACCAACGTCGCATCAACGGCCTTCATGCAAAGCGACAGCCAGGATCCCCTGCCTGTCCTCTTGTAGTCGCTAGCCACCGGAGTCTCGACTTGCAAACCCTCTTGAGAGTTCTCGTGACCAACTCGCATCCTCCTCCTCAGGTCGTCCCCTATATCCGACTTCACCGTGTCCCAATAGTGGACTCGACACGGTCGGCACCCGCCTCGCTCAGCCGCACGCAATGCCCATCCAACTACCGACGACCGTCAAAAGGGACCCTGCAATACTACCATAACCTCTTTCTTTCCTTCACTCTCATTCGTTATTGTCGCCTTTGCTATCTACTCCATGCAACGATGACACCGAAGGGTACTGCTGGACTTTCTTTCTCCGCAGACTTACCCACACTAACCTTACTGTTCGCCGACCTCCAACTTCTCGCGACATAGCCATCACCCCTACTCAACTTCCAACCCCGGCTCCTACTTCACTCACGACCATAGAACCAGATGGTCGAGACTGTTCAAGAACCTCGCCAGCTCATTCCCGCATACCCCCGCTTCTGATCTATCACCTAGGTAGCATTCTCTGACTCTTAAGTCTCCCCGACCCTAGCCGCGAGCCCTCTTTCGAGCAGCAAGAAAACCTGCTTTATAGGATGCCCACCTCCACTCTGCGTAACCCCTCATTTACACTTCCACGGTGACTACATCTGCCATGTTCTCACGATGTCGGCCTCCCAGCTCAACGTCGATACCTCGTCCTCCCGCGGCAACCTCTTGACAGCCAGAAAATGCTGGCGCCGACATGTCCATGATGGCCTTTGTCCAGCCCGGCTGCCCGGCTAGGTTCGCCTACCAGAATGAGCATCGTGTCAAAGGGCTCAACGCAGAAACCCTAGCGAGGGTCTTCCTTCCCACGCCCTCATGGCTGTCGACTCCGGAGTATGCAGCAATCCGGTCAGATACTGGCAATCCATCGACCTGCATCTTCTTCAGCCTTAATATTTCCATATACAACCAACAGATAATCTCCTCGGAATGGACCGAGCAATGGTTCTTCATGGTCGGCCGTGTTCATCCCTTTGCCCTGACGTGGAAATCGAGCGACGTGATGGCTTGAGTCGGACGATGATAACATCACAGAATACACCGTCCCCGCGCTTATAGTCCGCGATCACAGCTACCAACCGTGAGTCTATGCTCCAAATCTCTGTCGCCACTGCCCTCCTGACGATATCCATAGAATTGTCACTCGCACCTCAGCTCGGTGGATACTTTCCCAACGATACAACCCATTGTCTCCTTCACGGGACCTGTCATCGGCTCCGGCCGCGACCTCCTGCATGGAAACTCGGCTGCGGCCCTTGACGACACCCAGCTGAGCTGCTGCGGCTTTGTCCAGCTCTCCACCTTTATTTGTCCTGGGATTCCCGGCAAACCCCTTCAAGGGCTTTCACCCTTCCAAGTTTTCGTCATCTTCCCCATTCACGCTAATCCTTGACCTCCTATGCAAGAATATGACCGAGAGGCGCGACAGCCAGTTCCAGTCGAACGCTCTCTTCACCTGTACGGGCAAAATCGCCGGCTTACTGGATCACCAGATCATGAAACATGCCCCGGCTTTCGACCAAGACTATATCTTCATCGTCGTCCCCGACACGTGGACTTTCCACGACAAGGCCATGTCCGGCCAGGCTTCTGCAACACAACTACTGCCGACGACACCCAAGAGCGCGGTCGGCAATCCTCGGACTATAGCGTTGCGTTGGCCAGGTTTACCTCTACGAAGAAACCCAAGGCCGCCCAAAGCCCCGCCTCCCCACGCCGCATGCTTCTGGCCCAGTCGATCCCTTATGCTGGCATCAAGTCGGTCATTGCCCGATCCCTACCAAACCCCAACCAAGAGACCGCGACTTTCTCCCGAAACTTCCACCATAATCACCGACTGTGACGGTCAAGACTCCCAAATCCGATACCTCCTCCTTTCTGTCCCCGGAAGACCCCGCAGAGTCAGAGACGGACACCGAACAGGTCAATCACCAAGACACATCCGCCTCTGGCTCTATCAGACCTCCCGCGTCGATATCTTCCCGACCACTGCGCGCCCGACGTCCGCCCAAGAATATTCTCTGAACTTTAAAGCATCAAACGAAACAATACAACATGACAACATGTCTCATCATCCTCAAAATCAACTGCCAAAGGCTCGAATAGCACATTCTCTTCTCTTCTTGTTCTCCTTTTCATGAAGACGATCAAGTCAAAACTTCCCAATATACTCCTTATTCTGTTTATACCTACGACTTATACCGGTAGCACATGTAAATTTTCCGAGCCTTCCACTCGCCCAGACATGCATTACCCACTCACATCTCTCTTCAACCCTGCCGTCTCTCCACGCCCTTTGAGTTTGCGCCTTTTAAACAAAATTTCCTCCAGCGGCCTAGCCTGCCTTCCCGACGCTCTGTCTCGGTTTCACTCACGATAATGCTCTACGTCTCTCGCCGTGTCTCGTATCTCGACCTCACTCTTCTTCCTGTCTCCTATCTACTGTCGCCAACTCTCTCTCTTCTGTAGCCAACTCTTCTCCGGTTCTCTTGTCGCCAAATTTCGTTCCGAAAGGCTTCTTTGCGCGAGCCGCGGCTGGCGAGCCTTCCTCTCGTATGAGGGTTTGGTGCAGCAGGGATCAGTTAAGTTTTCTGACATCTGATTGGTTGTATGGTTTCTAAAACGTAACTCAACTGGATGATGGCCTTCTAAAAGTGGGTCCAATTTTGCACTTGCCCCTGAATGTCACAGAGCTACTCTGAGCATCGCGGGTCGCCAACAAACCCATCGTACGCAGCTGCTTTCAACCGCAGTGAACCCTATGCCTCATCGAGGGTCTCAAGGTGGCGTGGTTTCCATCGTATGCATTCGCTGTGGCGAGGAGACCAAACTTGACAATGATTAGATGGAATACTGCAGCCGATGTCGCGAGTGTTGGTTTCAGATGGGAATTGATTATGACGGCATTTGCTCGCGTTGCTATCGAAAGGATGAGAAGCGCGGCTCTGACGAGCCTTATTTCTTCTCTGCCGAAAATCAACTTGACTTTGGTCCCGTACCGACACGATTGCCTGAGCTCACGCCTACAGAAGAGTCATTGATCGCTCGCGTCCACGTCCATGTGAACATCATGCTGGTGCGAGGGCAGCAGTACAAGTATCGGGGGCATGTCGTTCACTTTCTTCGTGAGGTTGGCTTGGTGTACAACCAGCTCCCACTTCTGCCACGGGAGTTAAACACGGTGTTGCTGCGTCCTGCCAACACGTCGTCACACGCCAATCTAAGCCGGCAATTTACCCGTCAGTTCCGTGTGCGCCGCCAGGCGGTTATGATATGGCTTGACTACCTCCGCCATCACCATCCTGGATACCGATGCATCGTCATCGACAACGAGCGACTGAGCCAACTGCCCGAGGACGGCAATGTGGTGGACGCCATTCCCCAAAGCCAGGTGGAGGCTGCCGATGTAAGACCGGAGGAGGAAGATCAGGAGGCGGAGCCTGACCTAGAGGACGCGGCTGCGGTACCGGACCTGTTGACCAAGGACACGGAGCTCGATGCTCTGCGGTCTATTCTCGTGGGCGAGCCAGAACCGGAGGCAAGTCTTCCTCTTGCCACAGGCTCCCAAGAGCGGGCGCGGCACCAGCAGCTGCGGCTCCCGAATATACGGCATACGCCGATCAATGAGTTCAATCGCTCTCATGCCCTGCTCTCATTGGCATTCCCATGCCTCTTCCCAGACGGGAGAGCCGACTTTGTCGAGCCTCGCTTGCGGTCGATAGATTACAAGGATTACATCGAGCACGCGATGCGGTGGCACGACGGGCGTTTTGCGCGGCACCCAACCTTCCGTTTTGTCGCATTCAATACCCTGATGCGGTCCCAAGCACGTGCGCGGTCGAAGTTCTTCGTGAAGCAACATGATGGCACCCGTGAAGCGCTCACGCGAGAGCAGCTTATTCAGGCGCTCGAACACAGCGAGGATCCTGAGGCGCAGGCGCTGATAAACTCAATCACAAGGCATGCGGTGTCGATTCGCGGTACGCGCCCCTTTTGGAACAGAAAGAGGCAGGACCTCGAGGCGTATGCGTACAGCCTGGGCTGTCCTGGCGCATTTATCACATTTAGCCCAGCCGATTTGCACTGGCGGAGCCTCTACCAACACATGCCCCGATATGGAGAATGGCTGCGCGCGTCCGAGCCGGAAAGGATGGCATTGTCGCGGTACTTATTGCGTCAGAACCCTCACATTGCTGCTTTCCACTTCTACCGCCGATACTGCTTCTTTCGAGATATCGTGTTGCGGAAAAGTTCAACGTCACGGATTACTGGGATCGATATGAATGGCAAGGCCGTGGCAGTCCGCACAACCACGGTCTGTACTGGATGCAGGAGGGCCCAGCCGCCGACATGGAGGACGAAGCTGCTCGTGACATGTTTGCACGCGTATGGGGCTTCCACGTCACGGCCGTGAACCCGGAGCCCCGTAGGACTGTGCCTCAGGGGGAGGGCAATCCGCTGAGCGTGGATCCGCTGGGCGTGGAGATGACATTCCTGCGGCTCTCGCAAATCGTCAACCGCTGCCAGCGCCACAGATGCAATACCACGTACTGCTTGCGAGTCAGAAAGGGAAGCGGTGACCTCGCGAGGGACATGGAAGGAGCTGCTGGCGACATTGAGGCGGCCAACGTGGCGAATCCGGAAAGGAGTGTCGTTTCGACTTCCCCGTGCCTTGAGAGAGCTGGCCGCGGTCATCAGGAAGGAAGGCAGGTCGTACTACATCTTCGAGGCGGCCCGCAACGACAGCCTCATGAACCATTTCAATCCTGCCATCATTCTGGGATGGTTGGCCAACATTGACATATCTCCATGCACCAGCTTGCAAGCAGTCATTACATACGCTGCCAAGTATTGCAGCAAATCGGAGAAGAAGACAGAGCCTTACTGCAGGCTTGCGGATCAGATTTTGCCGCATACAGCACACCACCAACCTCTGTTGTCCTTCTCCTCTCGCCTCATGAACAAGCTGATTGCGGAGAGAGATTATTCAGCGCAGGAAATCTCCCACTTGCTACTCAATATCCCTCTGCAGGAAGGGACTCGGGTGGTTGTGTACGTCGACTGCCGCCCGTTGAGCAGCATGCGCGGTCGTACCGCGTCGATGATGATGTCAGTGAGGCTGTCGGCAGCTACCGGAAATATCTGCAGAGAAATGACCAGCATGAGAGTATTACTTATCTCGAGTACCTGCAGTCGTACAATCTCAAGACATGGAGGAGACTCGGTGCGAACGCGAAGAAGAGGGTTCTGTCCTACTGTCCTCGGTATAGGCCAGTGGAAACCTCAACCCAGTTTCATGACTTCTGCCGCGTCAAGTTGATGATGGCCCATCCGCATCGCGCTCCGGAGGAGTTGCTTGCTGTGGACGGGCAGCGGTTTGAGTCCTTTGTTGCGGCGTACCGGTGTTGTCGGCAGCGACACCATTTCCATGAGGACGACCATTACGGGGAGGTGGGAACAAACGAGCTCCAGGCGGAGGACGATGAGTTTGAGCAGGAGGTCCATGACGAGCCCATCGCAGAGGAGGACTGGCATGAGCTCGCCCGCATGCTGCCAGACCGGCCGCTGGAGGAAGAGGACATCGACGTACTTGGCCGGCGAAATATCGACGTGAATTATGACTGGGCTCTCACGTGGGACGATATACCAACGAGGATATTCTCAGCGGCAACTACTGGGAGCAACGCAAGGCGGAAAGCTCCTTTCCCTTGATGTGGAGCACCAGCCTCTGGAAGCACGCGATGCCCTGAATCCGGAGCAGCGCATCGTGTATGACACGGTGATGGGCCACTTTCTCGCCCAAGACCGTTCCCAGTTGTTACTCCATGTCGATGGTGGCGGTGGCACAGGCAAGTCATATCTCATCAACCTGCTCTCGGCGCACCTCCAGGCCGCTACACGCGGGAGAGTGACACCTGTCTGGCGTGCCGCACCGACGGGTGTCGCAGGGAACCAGATATCAGGCACTACTTTGCACTCGCTGCTTCACCTCCCGATCAACAAGGACTTCAGGCCGCTCTCCGCCATCGACAAGGCCCAGCTCCAGAAGAAGCTGAAGGATATTCAGTACCTAATCATTGACGAGAAGAGTATGCTGGGACTGCGTATGCTATCCTGGATCGACGACCGTCTCCGTGAGGCATTTCCGCATCGGAACGAGGAGTTCTTTGGCGGACTCAATATCCTTTTGGTCGGCGACTTCTTCCAGCTTCCCCTGTTCTACAGAAACCGCTGTACTACGACAAAGAGGTGCAGGGAGTGGAGATCAAGGAAGGAACGCTTATATGCGCTTCGATAAGACCGTCTTCCTGAGCGTTGTTCAGCGGCAGTGCGGCGATGATCAGGCGTCCTTTCGCAAGGCTCTCGGAGAACTGCGGCTGCTCCTACTATCCCACGAGTCCTGGAAACTTCTCTCCGGCCGCGTGCAGGCAAAGCTAGACGATCAGGAGGTCGCCAGGTTCGCCAACGCCTTACGGGTATATGCCACGAAAGACCGGGTGAACGAATATAACCATTACCACCTTGACCGCCTCAACCGACCAGTCATTCAGGTCATCGCTACAAATGTTGGCCCCGGCGCGGCTGCTGCTCCGACGACAAGGCGGGCAACCTTGCGAAACAGGTCCCTGTATGCATTGGTGCCCGCTTAATGCTGACGTGCAACCTCTGGCAACAAGTTGGCCTCTGCAACGGCGCTCGCGGCACAGTGCACAACATTGGCTGGGCACCTGGCGCTGATCCCATCCGAGACCAACCGTGTGTAATCATGATGGAGTTTGACAAATATACCGGACCGGCATTCCTGACCACCGCGGATGGTAGGAAGATTGTCCCGATTGTGGCAGTAAAGGGATTTCTCGTTGGAGCTACACTCTGCACTCGCACTCAGTTTCCCCTGGTCGTATGCTACGCCATTACGGTTCATAAGTCGCAGAGCATCACCGAAGACAGGATCGTGACAGATCTGTCCTGCCGTGACTTTCAGACAGGTTTGAGTTATGTGGCCGTCTCGCGTGTAAAAACGCTACAGGGGTTGATGCTCGATGCCCTGTTCGACCGCAATCATCTGACATACACATCCCCGGAGGGTATCAAGATGAAGATGAGGGACCAAAGATTTAGGAGTTGGCAGGTTCTCACCAGAATCCGTATAAGAACGGCTAGGGCTACGTAACTCCACTTGATGCTACCAAGACGTAGATGACGCAATGAATGCATGACTGTAGATTCTTGAATTTTCAGGCCTGCCTTACCGTTGACAGCAGACTTGCAGCCTTCGGTTGATTGTATGCCTTGCACCACTGGTCTAAAGTGCAAGGCGTGACGAAGTATTTTCTCTTTAAGCAGAAGTCACGAGGCTGAAAGACGAGATCCAAGAACGCAACAAGGCTGAGATCACTATAGTCACAACTATCAGCCCTTTCGGCAGAACACATCGTCAGACTGTTCGATACGAACAACAGCAAGGTATTCCAACATCCTCGCAACGAATGCAGTCTTCATCCCCGGAGACCAGAGCCCCAACGGCCATCACGACAACGACAGAGTTACCTCCACAGATCGGACTCCCACGTACTATTCGTACAGTCAGAGATCTCGTGAGGCTCTGGAGACATGGTCTGGCAGGCTATATGGACTCGGTTGACGCGTTAGAGAGGCGATGGGGCTCACAGTGGCGGCTACGTAATGAGGGCGTACAGGCCAAAATAAATAGCTCCTGGATCAGATTGTCAAGCGATATTCCGCCCCAGCCGAGGAGGCGTCGCAACCTACAGGGGCACCATTCTTGTGTATATTACTGGGACCTTTGTCCCCTTGACATTGGCAGTGGTTAAGGCCAATTTGACTCTCTATAACCCTCACATGCATGGCATCTTTCCAGTTACATGTGACAGAGATCACCCGAGTGTCTATGGCCTAGGTCACCCCTGAGCAATCTAAGTCAGATTTGGCCATCTAGTCGTGACAAAACTGATGCCATCTTGTTCGTCTCGTTCTGACGAGTAAAATGATAGTATCTTTGTGTCCGTAGTGTAAAGAAAACCAAGCCCACGATGAGTCTAGCGTTGCCAAAGGCTGTTATACCAGTAATGAGAAGAATTGGAAATAGTCGACTATTTTAGTGGAGGTTTAGTGGAGATGTGGCGGCAGTGCGCTGAACGATACGCTGGAGACCGCCCGAAAATCCGACCCATTTCACGTTTCCGGACACAATATCACAACCACGCAAGCTACCAATACGCAAGTTAGATCAAATGAATCGTCAGACGCAGGGCTTCACGTAGGTACAATTTTTATTGTGCCGCGATGCGCAGCCGTCGGGCGCCTGCGTCGCGCTGCCGATATCACCAGGAAATCCGGGATATTACGGGCTGGGCTGTCATCTGCGGGGTCATCCGCCGATCACGCACTAAAAAGCCCCTGCGATATCCGCCAGCTATCTAACGGTACTCTAAAAGTCCGTCCAGAATTTGTCGCGAAGCAGATTTGATGTTCAATTGAACATACCGCCTGAACAACAGGTGGCTTGATTTTTCGTGACAGTTATGAGCCCGGGAGGAGGGGTTACCCCTCCTGGAACTTCCCGGTAGCTGCGCACGACCACCTAGGCTAGCGCGCACCCCGATGGAGTCGGTGTTCGAGTCCCGCCTGGCTTCCCCGAAGTGTCTGCCTAGTAGGGGCCCAGGAAGAACAGGGAATCCGTTGTGTAAAAGTCCCAAGATGCGAGTGTCTGTTCAGATGCGAAGATTTCAAGCATAAGGGTCCAGGAATCCCGGGATCGTCCCGGCCTCCCTGAGGGGGTGTGTCGCGAAGCAGATTTGATGTTCAATTGAACATACCGCCTGAACAACAGGTGGCTTGATTTTTCGTGACAGATTTCGAGGAGAAATAATGCAGAGGGTATGGCGGGAAGGCCAGCTTTCCACGTATCCTGAGAAGATGCCATAGATCTAGTCACCCTCTCGCTCGTCCGAACATCAACACACTCGCCGAATGCCTGTCTCGCTGCGCGGATTCATTGCATTCTAGTTCATCGATGCGGCAGAATGGATGGCAGGGAAGTAGAGAGCATGTAGCACATAGCCAGGGTTGTCATGATCCAACCTGCAGCAACACACATCCATCACCTCACATTAAGAACCAACAGCCCCGGCCACGGCCAAGAGTCCTCCCCATATGCCACATCTGTGGCGTTTCTTGGCTGCGTTTTCGTGAAACTGGTGATACTGCTCCATCAAGATCTTGCAAGGCGGCATTCGCATGCTCAACGGTACTGGCACGTCCTTGGGCGTTTCGGTGTTGATAACAATCCCGACGGGCGAGTCAAATAAGCGGGGAATTTTGGGTCTCGCAAACATACGCATCGTCGGCCGATTCCAGAGGCGTGGTCGAGCAAGACTGTTGTCGGCTCGAAAGAGCCAACGAGGCGTACGAGCTGCCCGAGCTAGTGTAGGTCCTCCCTCCTCCAGCAACGCGCATGTGCTCGGGAGTGGCGTCGTGGGAGCGCGAGTTGCCTCGGGGTAAGGCAGGGCTGTGATAGTGGGTTGCAGGGATGTAGATCTCCTGCCGCCGCCTCTGCTCCTCCCTCGGCCGCATCGCTATTGCATATCTCTCGACAATCTGAGCGCGGACGGGCTCGAGGAAGAAGTCGAGCTCGCGGTACAAGTCCTTCGTCGTGATCCTTAACTCCCACCCAAGCAGGAAGAGGAGCTGCTTTTCCATCATGTTGACCTCGGTGCGGGTGAAGCCGAAGCTGTACATCTCCGTGTTGATGTGAGTGTGATTGGCCCAATGCTTATTCTTGGGCGACCTGTCGTTGAGATACTTGGAGGCTAGGATGAGGGAAGCCAGGAAGATGCGGTGGATGGTGCACCGCTGACCGCGGGCCATGGGCTGCAGCTTGGACTTAACGCGGGCCAGGTAGACAAGCGTTGACATGAGCGTCGGTACCTGCACATTAGATGACACGACCAGCTGGGTGATGAACTCCCCCAGAGTCGGTATATTGTCTTCTTCGACGGGTATGGCGGACCAGAGTTCAGGGCTCTTTTGCGCGGGAGGGAGGTCCTGGTGCTTCGAGGGGTTGAGCGAGTCGCAGGTGACGACGTTCTGCGCGGCCGCGGCCAAGAGGACAATCTTGTCACTGCTGACGGGCTGGTGGAGAAAATGCTCGAGTGCGGCCTTGTTGAGTTCATCCATGGTGAGGTGCAACGACGCCATATTGGGCTGTAAGGATTAGCTGTGTTAGGGGGGACCATGCAGCTGAGTCGGCGACATGGTGATGGGCGGATTCGCGGAATGGCACAATCGCACCCAAGTAGAGCCAGTAGTAACGACGACGGCGGCGGTGGTGGTAAAAGATATAGACGTGGCCTTTTGACGATGGGAAGGGGAAACAGTGAGAATTGTTGGTTTTCGAAAAGCAAAGGCAAAGCTTTTGCCTCGGCGGGTCTGGAACCAGCGCTGCAGTCATAGCTGGCTGCTTTCACACACCCGATTCGGGCACTTTGCCTCCAATATGCAATGTTCCCTTCTAACAGCACGGCAACGAGATCACCCACCGCCTGTGGTCTCTGAGTCCTCCTTGCGTCCGAACCTATGTGGAGCCGTTGCATTTTGTTAGTTGGGAGGGGTGGAGGGAGGCAGGGGTTGCAGCGACCCGCATCATTCATTTGCTTTGGTTCTCGCTTCCCCAACCAAAATGCTGTTGCCAACGGTAAGTTGCTAGAACGTCCGGAGCGACGCAAGGGACGGGGAGACAAACGGGAGCGGGAGGAATGAGAAACGCTACACAGTTCAATCAAACGGTCGCGGCAGTTGCCGTGTCCGTCCCGAGTGCTAGTGCCTTCGTAAGCCAACTTGGGTCGTAGACATGCAGAAAACCTGTGGACAGCTTTTTGAAAATGACCTACACCATTCCACGCATGTCGCATCTCACTTTTAAGACATATAAAATGAGCGTATGATTTACTTATTATTTGAAGCCATTGAAAATGCAAAGTGGAGTGCGTGGTGCGGTGTGCGCGGCGTTGAGGCTGCACTAAAAATGTTGGATCAAATGTCCCGTCTCACGAAGAGAGCATGCAAGTGGGCATTGATGTGTAACTGTCAGAGGGAGCAGACTGACGGTCTAATCCGCACACGTATAAACTCCGGTGAAAGAGGCAGGTCAGACACAGGGACTTGAGTCAGGTATCGATACAGTAGAGGAACATTGCCCTAATCGGGATACACGGGAATTGGCCCTGATTCAGGGCCTCCACGGGTCCCAGATAGGTATCTATTCGTATAAATACCCCCTCAATGTCACACAGATAGATAAAAAACATGCATCATCGTTTGGACTCAATTGTGCCTGCCCTTATCCTTCCGCCCGCGCTCTCAGCTTGCTGAGAGTAACAATGGGTGTGATCGTTGTATTTCGTTGTGTCTGTCCCTCCTTGAATGCCCTCTTCCCCCACCCCTCTTTCGGTAACACCCCTCTTTCGGCCTCACTGCGTCGTGCAACGCACCACGTCATGCAACAGATTACCCGACCGGCACAGGAAGGAAAAGAAAGGGGGGGGGAGTTTTTACCAATTGAAACCATGTGTACTTTCGTACTTGCACCACAAGACGGAGAGACACAGACAGGGTGACTCCCAGGCTCGGAACCAAGGAGAAAGGTGGAAATTGATTTTGCGCCTCTTTCCCTATTGTCGTCGAAGCCCTCCCGATTGCTCCAGGCCCGGCCCAACAACACTGCGCACCAAGGATCCATCTCACACACGCCTATAGACACGCCTACGTAGCCTTAACACCCTGACGATGCAGACATGGCAGTAACTGAACGGGGTGAAATCCATCAGACAGAGCTGGGTATTAATGAATGCTCCTTAAACACTATTTGGCCCAAGAGCGCGACCCCGTGAGAGTTCTGTAAAGAGCTGCCTTTGAACATTCATGAGCCGTACCTGTCGCGAAGCAGATTTGATGTTCAATTGAACATGGCTCTAGTTAATGGGCCCTTGGTTTTCCTTATCGGGCCCTTGAAGTGTGGCTAAATAGTCACGTGACTGCCGCGTCCTTTCCCCGCCTTAAACCTGAGCCGTCAACTGTGAAAGCTTGTCACTACTCGTCCCACAGACCCACGTAAAGTGGGTCCTCACCACCTGTCTGTGTCAACCACCTGGCTGTGTCACTTGACGGCTTCAACGCCAACTTAATTTAATAATAAAACGGCAAAAAAAGTTAAAAATTGATGCATACGATAATTGAATACTGGCCGCAATAGTCTACCTATTTTGACTTTTGTAGCTTATAAAGCTGATCGTTGGGCTTCTTTTTCGGCTTTCTTAGCCGCCCGGGCTGCCCGTCGCTCCTCGAGCTCAATCGCCCTTTCTCCTCTTTGCTTCGCCAGTACCAACTTTTCTGCTTTTGCAATGCGAATATCTTCCTTTGACTTCGCAATAGCCCTCCTTCGTCTACAGTCAGTACTCCACCGCTTTGAAGGTGGCGGTTCTTGTATTTCTTCCGGCCTTGGCGTTGCTGCTCGGCAAGCTTGGTATTGTACAGATCGACCATCGTTTGCTTTAACTCGTGGCCTTGGGAGATTGCACCTTTAACGTAGCGTTGAAGGTTATGTACGAAGACCTCCTTCTCAATATCATCAATTGGGTCAAACTCAAGGAGACGTTGGCCAACTGATTCAAACTTCCGTACGGTATGGGGGTACCAAAGGGGATGAATACGGCTCTGCAGGTAGCTCTGTCGGCGGCGTCTGGTCCCGCCCTCTCTTTGAGTCTCTCGAGGATTGGCTTTGGATTGAATGGGTGGATTCCTGTTTTTGAATGCCGAGAGGATTGTAGACTCCTTGAAGGCTTTGACGCGGATTGATTGGATCATAGCGAGGAACTCCAGCTTGGTGATTTTACTCGCACCACTGCGAATAGCAAAATCGACTGCCCGACTGTGGTAATGTTTATACGGCTGAAATACCACGACGTCAAGCGGTTGAAGGAGATGCGTAAGATGCGGAGGCAATGCAAAGAGCACAATATTATGGGCTTCAGCGTACTCGATAAGGTCAAGGGTATGGTGGAGCCGTGGCCGTCAAGGAGCAATAGCCTCCAAGCACCTTTGCTCTTTGCATGCTTATCGAAATGTTGAATCCACGCTAGATTGAGCTGATCGTTCGTAAATCCCGTTTCCGTAACACCAATAAGGGTATCGCCATCTAGCTCCTTGATGCCGTACCACTGTTCGAGGTGGACCTTGCCGGATAGGATCAAAACGCAGGGATGTATCGACCATCGGCAGAAATCGCTTCAACGGCTGTTGCCGACTCCCTGTTTTCCTCAATACCAAAGTATTGCGATCGCCTTGATTTCGTGACGACAACTTGGTCCCTGCCAATACCAATACGGAAGCCCGTCTCGTCCATATTCCAGATATCAGCCGGGTTAATCCCGTACGAGGCAATCGTCTCGTGGAGCTTCTTGAAGTACTCGGTAACGTGCGGGACTGATTCGGCAAGCTTGCGTTGGTTATCGAGTACCTTTGCTTCATAATATGATATCCCTTGCGTTTAATAAAACGGGATATCCAGTTTTGCCAACAAAGCATTGGGAGTCGAAGGGTTCGTTGCGGGTACCATCAGGGCCGACCGTGGAGCTTAGAACCCGATTTGCTGCATCGCGTAATAAGTCCTTCCGCACCGCAAGTCCTATACGCTCAAGACGATCGATATACAGATCGATTGAGTCCTCTTGAGCTGGCGATAGCCTCGTATGCGTTGCTTTATGGCCGCTGCGAGGTTGGATGCCGTGAAATCGCAAGCGGAGTCGTTCGCGTGGAACCCCAAATTCCTTAGCCGCAGCGCGAAGGGACATATTGGGATTTGCCTCAATGGCTTTAATAGCCTCGGCTACGCGCCTTTCAAGCGTAAGCTCTTTATTCTTCATAATGTGCCGTTGTTGAGGTCAAGATAGAGGCTTGAAGCGGTGAAGTGACACAGCCAGGTGGTTGACACAGACAGGTGGTGAGGACCCACTTTACGTGGGTCTGTGGGACGAGTAATTAACTTAGTGTAGAGCTAGGAGCATATCAGGCCAGACAACCAGTCACCATTGGAGGTGGCCTCCACTTTTGGTGGACTGGTGCAACACTTAGAACGCATACCAAAGTGAGGGCATCCCCAACGCACCAACGCCGCACCGATGGAGTCACTTTTCCGCCAGAAGTTCGAGACCTGGCAAGCTGCTGCAGAGAGCGCCGTAGCTGCATTACGGAGCGAGAGCCTAATCAGGGACTGTGTCGCACCGGCGCGCAGGCAAAGCCGCAAAGTAGGGTTGACAGTCCGCCACAGTCGCAGCCACACTTCAAGGGCCCGATAAGGAAAACCAAGGGCCCATTAACTAGAGCCTTGAACATACCACCTAAACAACAGGTGGCTTGATTTTTCGTGACAGTACCACCATGACACTCGACCCGACCCAACCTGCTGCTGCCCGCATGTTGCCTGTCACACTGCGTCACCGACGCCGTTGCCACTCGAGGCCACGCTTCCGCCAGGCGCCTGCTTCATCCGTCCAAGAAAAAAAAAATCAAAGTACTTCCCGAGTCAGTGCTCACGGCATCGCCGCCACAGCAGACGACGTGAATCATGCGTGTACAAACGCACGTTATTTTTCTCCCTCCTCGCAGCATGGATTCGACCCCGGGCCTCAGCATATGAGCGGGCTCCGGAAATGGCATCATCATGCTGAAAGGCTCATGTGGCCATGATTGTAGCCTTCGTCAACCAAGCAGCGTCGCCAGCCTCATCCTCGAGTCCCTATCTCGAGTGGCATCCTCGGACCCGGACCCGGCCTGCTGCTGCTGCTCTTGGCTCCGCACAGGTGAGTTGGGCGCCGTTGGCAGCTGACCCAGGGCTCCCGCCAGAGGCGGACGAGGTTGCGACCCGGGCTGGCCATTTTGGGGAGCCAAGGAACTGGGACTGGGCAGGCGGGCACCCCTAGACCTTGAAGCCTGCCATGTTCGCAAGGGCGGCAGCTCAATGGGAGTCTGGTCCAGGACTCGCGAGCTGCAAGCCGGCGACGTCGTGTAGTTGGAGCCGGCATCCGACTCCGCGGGCTCAGATGAGCAGGGCGAGGGTAAAGGCGCCTCGCCCCATGGGACATAACGGTGGAGTACATGGCCGTCGGCGGCTGGAGAGCGAGGGCAGGCGGCCGACCAAGGAAATGGGAGGCCACCCGGTCTCACCATGGGCAAGGGCACAACCCGTGGACACCTGTCGTCGTCAAAAAAAGGCGTGCGTGTGTGTCTGTACATGCGCGTATGCGTGGGATGGTGCTGCTGGCGTGTGTACCACGGCGCGGCGGCGGTCGAGGCGCTTGCGGCGGTTCTGGCTACCGTTCCACCAATTCTTGACGGCGTTGTCGCTCCGGCCATGGAGTCGACGGGCGATTTCGGCCCAGCGCTTGCCAATCTCGTGTACAAGGCGTTCGATTTGCAGACCCTCCTCGGGAGTGATGGGCTCGTGGTCTAGCGTCGGCTTCAGGTTCTGGTGATAGCGCTCGCGACACTGCTTGGCGGTGCGCGAGCCCAGTGTCTGGGCTATGCGAACCCAGTTGAGAGGGCCATGTGCATGGACGAGCTGCATCAAATACTTGTCCTCTAAATTAGACCATGGTCCTCTTCGATGGCATGGCATGGCGACTTCGGCGGGCGTTGACTCGTCCTCTGCCGTCGTACGCGGCGAAAAGGAGTGAGTTGTCGAACGGCATCCGCTCCCAAATCCGGCTCGGGCTCCGTCCGACTTGAGCTCCAGGTCCGGATGACTGACACCTTGGACACTAATGGCCGCTGTTCCTCGATGTCGGGTCAACTCCACCACGGATGCCGGGTGAGTGGATGGACGAGATGGGGACGGTAAATGGTTGAGTGCTGCTGGACGAAGTCGAGAATGGGCTCTTTTCCTTTGCTTGGTGAAGGCCGAGGTTGAGAATACAGTGGGCGAGTCGATAAAGCGTTTCGAGCGGATGCGGGAGCTCTGGTTGCAACAAGGACTCGGATGAGATTGTGTTGGGTGAGAGGTTTGTGTTGTAAGGCAGGCGAGGCGAGGCGAGGCGAGGCACGGGAAGCAGGTGCGTAAAAAAAGATAGGTGATCCAACGTCCGGAGAGGGAGGGAGGGCGTGGGAACGGACGGAAGCAGACAGGGGACAAGGGTGGAGAGGAGAGGTGTGTGCGGGGAAGAGACAGGAGGGGGCGTGGGCCTGGAGAAGCCAAAGTGTAAAAGAAGCAAGTTCCCAGGAATGGCAGATGGCGCCTGTTGGTTTTGTTGATGCAGCAGCCGAATGGGGTCATGATGGCACAAGTCGACGATGGCCGGCCCTCAGGAACTCTGCATGTCGGTGCGGTAGGTGGGTGCCCAGGCACGTTAGTTGGGCGGCACGCAATGGCGAGCGTCATTGGAGGGTGATGATGGGCTGGGTTCAGGCAGGAGGGAACATTTGCATCTCGTAGATGCACGCTGCCTACCTACCTAGGTACCTAACCTGGGTACGTAACACGACCTTTTTTTTTCGTACTACTAGGGGGGCCTAAAAGTCGGCCGATCCCCGTGACCGTTCCACAGTCACGGGGGGGCCGTTGACCAAGGAAATGCGCTTTGACCGAGGAAAAAAAAAAGTGACTTATTAATAGGTGCGCGATACATCTATTGCTAGGTAGACATGTTTTAGACCACATCCCCTTTTATTGCATAAGACTTCCCTCCTTATTGCGTAATATCTCCCGATGAACAACGTCATCACGACCTTTCGGTAATACCACGCCAAAGCTTCAAACCTTAGTCAAATCTGCTCGTCTTTGCAGCTATGGACTCATCGGAATCTAAAGATGCTGAATATCAAAGATGGATCGATTCTAGCACCGGCTTGCCTATCTTGACAACAACGAGTGGATGTGTGCAAGATACTCAACGTTCCGCGAGGCCTTCAACAGCGGCTGGAAGCGCAGCAACACCATTACATGGCCACAGTCTTATGATCGTGAGATTGTGGCGGCAGCAGCTCTCAGTGGCCAACGAGGCTGGCGAGCGCGCCGCAAGCCGTCAGGCGCTCTGCCTTGAAAGTGACGGCATTCAGATCACCTCTCTAGCTACTATTGGGGACTCACAAGGCACATTTAAAGTGATCAAGGAAACCTCGACGAATAGCTTAGACACCAAGACAAAAGTATCGCGATACGTGCCGTTGATCGTAGTGACGGGTGTGCATTAAAGCAAGCTATTGTGCAATTAATGAGGGAAAGGAGTGACTTCCTAACGCGCAAAAAATGGCGGGGCATGCATGTATCTAGATTCCTCGGTCAAAGCGCATTTTTGGTCAACGGCCCCCGTGACTGTGGAACGGTTACGGGGATCGGCCGACTTTTAGGCCCCCTAGTAGTGGTGACACGTCTGGAGCCTCTGCGTCGCAGAGGGGTCGGTTCGAAGCCGGCTGGAGGCACCCCTGGGCGAACAGGGTACACCCGGGTTCCCGCCCGTCAACACGGAACAGCGTCATGAGAGAACACAATCGGCGTACCAACCACCATCAATGACTAACACAACCACGCTTCAACCTCGACACATCGCGCTTCAGTTGCTGGGAATAGGATGCTGAACACTTGGAGAAATTGACCTTGAAGCAGGTCTGTCATGAAGCGAAAACAGTGGTACGGTTGGCGCAGCGTAAGATGATCTGTGGGGCTTGGGGAGTCAAGTAACAAACGTGTTGAACTGTACGGAGTACCCATGCTTACCCCCCCTTCTGCTCACCCCCCCCTTATGCTCCGCCAAATGAGACAAACCTCACCAAAAAATCTGATTTTTGAACTGCTCATATTTCGGCGAACTATGGACATATAGATATAAAAGATACATCATTTGAATGAGAATTGAACACACTAATTCGTTCTTGGTCTTTTTATGACGCGACCCTGTCGCGTGGTGCGCTGCGGAGGCCCAGATACGTTGACCTCAATCACCGAAGCTGTCTCCGTCTCCGACTCCACCACCTCCTCTAACCAGTCGCAATCCACCACAACGGCTTTCTTTGGACTCCCAATCTAATCCTCCTCCACCTTTAATAGGGCAGCCTTGCAGCACCTTGCGCTGTTCGTGCCGTGGGAGCGGTTCCTGCGCGAAGAAACTGGCGACATCAACAGCATCTGGGCGCGGGCGCGAGAGGCGCCGGCTCCGAGAATATCATGTCTCGTCGACAACGTGCAGCTGCTTCGACGATCGGCCAAAGACGCAAAGCGTGACGCCAAGCAATGGGCAGCCTCATCCGGAGACAGCGATCCGACGGCCGCACACGTAGAGGAGGGTGGGACCGACGACGCGGGCGTAGAATCTACAGCGACGTATCAGTCCAACAGCATCGGAGACGCGACGCGGCTGATCGACGTCGTCCGAGGTGCAGTGGGCACAAATCAAGTGGCGGCCAAGTCGCCAGCGCTCATGGCGATGATGCAGCAGCTCTGTCGGTTTCAGCAATCAACGCTGTGCTCGGCGGCCGAGCTCGAGGCCACCATGGAACCCGAACGAGGGCGAGACGGATAGACATGCCGGGGCGGGTATTTTCCGGGGCCGCACCACCACCGCAGGATCAGGTCAGGGCCATCAGGTCGCAGCAGACGAGCGCCTCGAAGGAGAGGGAGAGGATGATCCAAGGCATACAAAGCATGCCCGCGGCCCGGGAAAGCGACCGCCGCGCCGCGCTGCGGAGGGTGATGATCGGCTTCGGGGAGGACGATGTCGATATGACGACGGCCGACTCCGACAACACTGCAGGCGACGCGGACGCGGGAATGCAGGTCCAACAGCCCATCGACCTCATTCTCCGCGGCGGGCAGAGAGTTGGCAAAACGACTGACGCTAAACAGAAGGCAGTCGATTGCCTTCTTAATTGTATGCCGCCAGCTCGACTTGACGCGACAAAACGACGGAGGCGACGTCGGCTAGCTCTGCTAGTTCGTCGGCGGCGAGGGCGGGACCGGTAAGTCGCGAATCATCGAGGCACTCACTCATCGGGTTGTTCAGTAGGAAGGGCCTTTCGCATCGCCCGCTCATACCGTACGACAACGGATTGTACTCGGGTTGACTGCAGCTAACGATAACTCGTCTCTCCTGCGTGCTGCGTTTACGGTTAATTACAAAGCAGGATGAAGATGTGCCTCGCTGACCAACAACGGCGTCACTGCGTCAGGCTCAATAGCTGAGCGATCCACCGTATCCACCACTCTACCGTGACTAAACGACGTCTTCCTATAAGCTACAGGGAAGGGGGAGGTTCGATATATCGTATATAGTTAGATTGTGCCTGCCAGGAAGCAGTAGAGACTCCTTCGGAGTCTTGACTATGACTCAATTCTCTTAGTGCTGTCGCGTAGAATATATGCGTTAATTGACGTTGTCACCTGCAATCAACAGGTGGCTCCCACTTTCGCTAGAATGGCAGCGTGGGATTATTCGTGACAAGTACAGGTTTGAAGCGATTTAACAGCTGGTTGCCCGCTGCAGGCGAAAGGGGGGTTCTAGGGGGTCTCCCCCTAGGAAAGTTGAATGGCAGGTATACCACTTTCGCCTTCCTGGCTGGACATTCAGCCGTTAAGCCCCTTGCCTTGGCAATTTAACGGATGTTCGAAGTATTTTAGCACCTCATGTTATGCGACATGGAGGTTAGGGCCCTCCCCACCGCATCGCTATCTTGCCCAACTAGCTGCTTCTAGACCTTGAACCCTGCGGTCCTTGCCAGCCTGATCGTCACCTCCGGACCCTGGCACGCGCGCCTGCCGCGATAATCGGTCCGAACTTTAACATGGGCGGGTCACATCAGGCGAACCCAGGAATGGAAGCATATGGACCAGCATCGTAGGACAGCCCGTTTAGTGATTCACGCGAAAAGGGACCCACTGTAGGTAATCTCGACTCGTCGATGAATAGGGGACGGCCCCGGATGCCATAAGGTTAAGGTTATGCACTGCCCCCGAACTACAGTGGGGGGACAAAAGTTCCGGTCAATGACGCTAGCGCGTCGCGTACGCGCGTCTCCCACATTCCAACCCTTCCTCTTCAAATCACCATCATGCCTTCAAAATGAGCCCAATTACGCCCAAAAAAACACTGGAGCCCTCATAAGAGGACGAAGATTGTGACCCTCTTTGATTGCGGCTTCTCAGCTGCCCTCGTCGGCGTCAAAGAGGACGTTTCTCCTAGAGCTGTCTACGGAATCGTCAGGCGTTACAGGACACAGTCGAGTGCGAAATCTTTGCCGCGCTCTGGGAGACCCTCAAAGCTCAATGACACCCATAAAAGATATATCTTTCGATGCATCGCGAAAGACCCTTTCATCTCGAATGCTCAGCTTCTTCGTGAGGCTTCTCTAGAGTGTTCTACACGTACTTTAACACGGTACCTTCGACACCATGGCATACAACATGTACGCGCTCTTCGACGTCCAAAATTAACAGAAGAACATGCTGCAAAGAGGCTACAATTTGCACTACAATACCATCAAAAGCCAGCTTCCTTTTGGCATACATGGATTTTCTCTGATGAGACGTCAATCGCTCGTGGGGACGGCGAGAGACAGAAGTGGGTTTTGCAATTCAGTACGTCTTAATACCCTTACTTCAAAAATCCTCCTAATTGCAAAGGGGATAGATTAAATCCGAAAACGTACAAGCAAGAGGAAAACCTACTCGACATTCCCAGATGTTTTGGGGCGGCTTCTCCTTTAATCGGCGGACTTCTCTTACACCAATGCTAGGAGACCCCGACTCAGCCCGTGGTGGCGTTACTGCACGCCGTGTGCTCGAGACCTTACAAGAAAGCCTACCTACAATTGCAGAGCCAGGCTATACATTCGCCCAAGATAACGCCTCAACACATACGGCGGCCATTGTGCAGGCGTGGCTTGGCTGCTGGGTCGAAGAAAACAGGGTAGATTTGGTCGACTGGCCGCCATATTCACCTGACCTAAACCCCATAGAAAACGTATGGAAGCTGCTTAAAGAGAGCATTATGGAGACTCACCCTGAGCTCTCAGACCTTCCAAAGAACTATAGCTCCAAGCAGAAGCTCTGTTTTGCAGCGGTTGGAGCGTGGGAGACCTTGAAGAGGATACCCTCAATCACCTAATAGAATCAATGCCTCGGCGCCTTCAAGCTGTTGTGGCTGCACGTGGCTGGTATACCAAATACTAGCCGAAACAACAATAATCTCCACTCAATTCTCTATATATTTATATCTTCGGCTTCATAATTGACCTTCATTTGGCAAAGTAATGTGCTGTTGAAAAGAGGGCTCTGATGCGGCGTTGTGGTGGGTGGGCCGGATTGACCGGAACTTTTGTCACCCGACTGTAGCTGCGATTGACTCGACCAGGCGGCTCACCCACTAAGGTGGGGGCGGGCACGAGTAGTACCATCATCGACGGAGTTCCCGTTGGGGTCCAACGGCTCCACCAGCTAGTCAGTAAAACTCCCACGACTCATGTCTCTACCCACAATGAACTTGGATTGACGACTCGACATCGATAGCTTTAACTACGAGAAAGATGAAATTCACGAATCAGCTCCAAAGTGAGGCAAGGCTTCTCTTGCTCTATATGGGCTCGCATACTGTACGGTACTGTATGCATTACCGGTATGTTCATGCTCTCTTCGCCAGCCCAAGCGAATCCCAATAAAGTGGGGTGCTGGACACCCAAATGAACAGATCACCCGAATGAACAGAATATCGATCTTTATCTTCAAGCCCGCCGTAGCAGCCGGCCACAGCCCTCCTGATCAATTACATAAATCGGTTGTAACCGTTCTTCCAAGCCTCCATCTTCTGGATATCTTGGCGGCCTCCATAATAGATTTTCTTCACCCGTTACGGTACTGTCTTTCAGCCCTGTCATCTACCCGCCGAGTCTTCGCCACGTCATTATCCTGCATTTCTTGAACCATGTTACGTGCCTGGGCTACTGTAAGGACCCCTCCTGATTGTAGCTGTTTATTCTTCATACTCCGGCGACGTTTAGCGGTTTGTTCGGCCAGTCTCGTTCGTCCCAGGTCTCTTAAAGTGTGGACAAGTTCACTCCCTTGTGCCAGGGCCCCCCATTAACAAACCTGTTGGAGTCACAGGCCCCGAGGCTGGCTGACCCGTCATCCGGTCATCGGACTACAGCGCGGCCCCATATAAAAGCATGTCATCTCCGAAGGGCCACCCGACCATCTCAGTCCGATACCACAGTAGCCCATTCGCCGCCCCCAGCGAGCGCAATGCTGAGCGATCTCGCGGAGCGAGCCAGTCTTTGTGTGGCTCCCCTCGAGATACCCCCGTCCCAGCTGGAAGACGCTGCCAATGGATCGTGCAACTCGTCGCAACAGCACGTCAATCTCTATCTGCAATCCCACATGACCTCCCCCGCCACTCCCAAAGGCTCCCAGGAGGACCTGTCGCCCGAGGCGGCCGTCGACCCGCCCCTCTTCCACAACTTCCTACGGGCCTTCTTCCCCCTTCAGCCCCAGTTGCGCCATGACCGAGTCGAGCGTCACCCTGCCGCTCGACGAGGGAGACGTCGTCTTGGTGCACTCGGTCCACACCAACGGATGGGCAGACGGAACCCTGCTGGCCACGGGCGCCAGGGGCTGGCTGCCCACAAACCATTGTAATGCCTACGAGCCCGACGACATGCGCAGCCTCCTCAACGCTCTTCTAAACTTCTGGGACCTTTTGCAGAGCACGTCCATGGACGACAATGAAATCTTCAGGAACCAAGAGTTCATGAAGGGCATCATCGCCGGCGTCCGCTCTCTCCTGGTATGTCTCGACTGCCGCCCGGCACCGAGCACAGCCGTCTAACCTGCCGCCCTGTTGAATGTAGGAACGCACAAACTGCCTGAACAGAGAGTCTCCCGTAGTTTTGCGCAGCGACTCGCTTCGAAGGTCTCGAAAGTCGCTGCTCTCCGAACTTTCGCTGCTGGTCAAAACGGTAAAACGGTTGCAGAAGTGTCAGAAGGGCGCTCTCGAACCCCCGGAGGACGTCAACGACCTCGATGAGATGATTCTCAAGGCATTCAAGATCGTCATCAAGGCCGTCCGGTTCCTCGATATCCTGGACGAAGACACCAAGTCCCGGGCTTCGGCCGCTGTCACCGTCGTAGCCACCGTCGCCGAGGAATCGTATGTACCGCCGACGCCCGCCGAGCAAGCAACCTTGGACGCCAACAGCGGATCCGGCGCGCCAGCGTCGGAACTGGGCGGGACTTCGGCTGCAAACGCTCCTGCCTCGCCCTGGGGCAAGCGCCTGAGGTCCCTCACCGCTCCCGTGCACCCCGCTCAGAACAGGCTGTCGCGAGGAAGCCTGCAGCAGGCCAATAGCCTCTCTAGCGCAATGGCGCATCGTGTCTCGTTGGCCGGTCCCTCGCCCTTGTCCAGGCCGGACCATCTGGCCTCAGAACGCCTCAATCGAAGCCACGATAAGTTCCTCTCGCATCTAGGCTCTTTCATCGGCAGGCTGAACCTGCAGTCGCATTCGCGGCCCGAGCTCGCACTCGCCATCAAATTATCAGCCACGTCAGGTGGGGAGCTCTTGGCCGTCATTGACAGTGTCTGCGCATACAACAGCTCGAGCCTCAACGCCCTCGGTCATGTCCGGGTGGCCATGTTTGAGCGGATCAAGACCATGGTGCTGTCCGCCCGCGACATTTTGGGTCACTCGACCACGGAGGATGGCTCGGACCTCATCATGCCCAACGACAACGCTACGCTGCTCATGGCGGCCACAGGCTGCGTGCGGGCCGCCGGTGAATGCGTTGCCCAGGCCAAGGCGGCCGTCGAGAGGTGGGGAACTTCGAGTTTGAGCTGGGCGAGAACACCCTGGGAATCGATTTGAGCGTCCTCGATGCCGTCATGCAGGAGCGAACCAGGACCCCGTCGGTCACGGGCCGGTCCGATGCCACCAGCCCTGCCGAGTCTTGCAACGCTGCTGAGCCGCCGCAGCCGAGGCGGCGGACACTCGGCGCGGTCGACAAGCCGCTGCCTCGGGTTCCCAAGCGCAGCCTCCCCACGGAGCAGCATCATCCGCCGAGCCGCGCTCCCGGTTCTTCCCGGGCGGCGTCGGTTCACGATAACAACGTTTCGAGCGCAGCGTCGTCCATCTCGTCGGCCCGACCCGCCCCCGGTCCTCGGACTGCGGGCTCCACCGCTCCCTATCCCGCCGATCGCATGTCGGGCGCTGATGCCTTGAGGAGCGAGCAAGAAATGCACTCCTCGCGATTCGATGTCCTCGCGGCCTCGAGTGCTGGGAGCACCGCGACGTACCTGAGCCGAGACTCGAAAGCCAGTCTTGTCTTGCAGACGTCGACGAGGGCCACCACGCCGGATCATGGCCTGGGGCCGCGCAGCCAGCCGTCCATGTCGGAACTGAGCATGACGGGCAGCTTCTCGCAAGCCGAAGAGGCCGATGATGTCGAAACAAGGCTCGTCGAGAGAACCTATGCGCACGAACTGATGTTCAACAAGGAGGGCCAGGTCACCGGCGGCTCCTTGCCAGCGCTGGTTGAGCGGCTCACTACCCACGAGTCCACGCCCGATGCTGCCTTTGTCTCCACCTTTTACCTCACCTTTCGGCTCTTCTGCACGCCGGTCAAGCTGACACAGACCCTCATCGAACGCTTCGAATACGTGGGCGAATCCCCTCACATGTCGGCACCCGTCCGCCTCCGAGTGTACAACGCCTTCAAGGGCTGGCTCGAGTCTCACTGGAGGGAGCAGACCGACCGGGCGGCGCTGAAACTCATCATTTCTTTTGCCGAGGAGAGACTTGGCGCCGTGCTCCCTACGGCCGGGCCCCGGCTCCTCGAGCTGGCCAAGCGAGTTTCCGAACATGGCTTGCTGGTACCCCGGCTGGTGTCGTCGATGGGCAAGACAAACACGGCCATTGCCCAGTATGTGCCCGCGGACACGCCGCTACCCCAGCCGGTCATCTCCAAAAGCCAGCTGCACACGCTGAACTCCTTCAAGGCGGGGGGCAGCACGCCGACTCTACTGGACTTTGAGCCCCTGGAGCTGGCCCGCCAGCTGATTATCAGGCAGATGGCCATATTCTGCTCCATTCTGCCGGAAGAGCTGCTTGCCTCACAGTGGATGAAGAACGGCGGAGCCGAAGCGCGGAACGTCAAAGCCATGTCGTCTCTGTCGACGGACCTGTCCAACCTGGTGGCCGAGACGATTCTCCAGCACCACGAGATCAAGAAGCGCGCGGCCGTCATTAAGCAGTGGATCAAGATTGCCCACCACTGCCTGGAGCTCCACAACTACGACGGCCTGATAGCCATAGTCTGCAGCCTCAACAGCAGCACCATCAGCCGCCTGCGCAAGACTTGGGATTCCATCTCGTTCAAGCATAAGGAGATGCTGCGTGCCATGCAGGAAATCGTTGAGCCGTCGCAGAACCACAAGGTGCTGCGGACGCGGCTGCACGACCACGTCCCGCCATGCCTCTCCCCTTTCTCGGCATGTACTTGACCGACCTGACTTTTGTCGACATCGGCAACCCTGCCACCAAGCAGATGTTGCTGGGCACCGAGCCCGATGACGCGGGCGCTGGCGGCTTAACCGTTGTCAACTTTGACAAGCACTGCCGAACCGCCAAGATTATCGGGGAGCTTCAGGGATTCCAAATCTCCTACCGGCTGATGGAGGTGCCCGATATGCAGGACTGGCTTGGTGCGCAGATCCGGCGGGTTCGCGACGGCGACCAAGGAAACGGGCAAGTCACGTACTATCGCAAGAGCTTGCTTTTGGAGCCGCGCGAGTCGGCTCACCGCCGAGAAAATGAGCCACCGATGCCCATTTCGACGGGATCAGGGGCTTCGTGTGCGGGTCTGTTTGCGTGGATGTCCTGCGATCGAGGTGGCCAGACCCCTACTCCGGCTTGAGGACAAACCGAAGTCCCCCGTCTCGCGAAGGAGCGAGCAAAGTGGGCATAAACGTGGATAAAGGGACTTTTTGAAGGTCGAGTATCATACGATCAGATATTATGTTAATCGCTCTCTCCCCGGTTGCCTCCTTTCTCGTCCAAACAGCCCCTTTTATATCCCTCCAAGCTTCTCCCAAGTTGATATCCCGTTTTCAGGTATAGTATACATTCTATCAGGAAGAGGGCACTTCTTGCCACTTACTGAAGGCCACGTAAGTCATCTACGTCAGCAAACATCAGCTCCATCTCCCCGATCAAATAGCTCTTCTAGCTATGAGATCGATAGTTCAGTCTCTCGAGGTCCCCGAGCCAGTAATAGCTATGCCGGACTCCTCAAAGGGTCCCCGTTCGAATAGGAGATCCCCGGACCTCAGTGGTCCAGGAAAAGAAAGAACAGTCTGCAGACTTCCTTCTTACCTGGTTCCAAGCTGTATTACCTAGAGAGATCTAGAGACGTCAACTCGTTCGGACCTTCTTCTCGACAGATTTTATAGAATCTTAGTCTACGAAATAAGATGGTGCGCGCTCCTGCTGAAAGATTTAGCCGTCTTTTTTTATCAATCGTGCGATAGTATGGCGCGGCCACTGGGCACTTACCTTGTACTCTGTGACTCGAGTCTGGCGGCGTTGGGCCGTTATACGCCTGAGTTCTCTTTGGGCAGGAGTTTCGGCGTAGCGAACGCTGATCCGACGCTGACCGGGCCCCACGAGAGTACCATGGAATTCACGAATAACTTCGTCGGAGACTTCACGACTGTCGAAGCTAAGATACTGTTAGCTTAAGTGACTTCGCGGCGACTAGGGGGGCGATACTTACGAAACGAACCCGTCGCCACGGCAATCCCCTCGACTATCGCGGAGGATATTGCAGGAAACACAAGTATATCCCGGGAAGAAGCCGGCAAGCTCCTACCTTTAATTAGAACTGCATTGGGGTTTTAGTTGCGCGTATACAAATACTCACAGCCTCAGTCAATTGCCGGGGGGAGATTAAAGATATAAAGAGTTGTAGACGTAGGGTCGCCCTTCGCTTGATGACGCGAGTTGAACGATTCCTATCCATTATACGTCGTTAAATACTTGTGCGGTCTTTCTAACGTAGTAGCAAACTTACGCATGCAAATCCGACCTTATAGCCCATACGATAAAATGCCCGGATACATTCTTCGGCACTTCGGACCTCATAAAACTTGGCAAAGCCGCAGCTAAGCTCTATTAGCATTGGATTCTAAAAGATTGACGCCGGCGGCAGCGCTGGGACACAAACCCTAAGCAAGCTCCAGTGATTCTATCAGTATATACTTTAATGGACTCAATGGACCCGAAACGCAGGGCGAACTTCTCAAGAAGCTTATCGTCCGTCGTAGGATGCAAGCCCTGGATGTAAACATTGCGGTTGTGGGGAAGTCGGTCGCCCAAGATTTGCTCCAGGCCTTGTCTCTGTTCCGAAGGGGCATAGTCAGACGATATAGCTTTTGGGATGGTTGGCTCCATTTGAATTATATCATCCAAACGCCCATGAGGAGTAGTAGAGGCAGTCGTTTCGTCCAAGTCTTCGTGACGCTTGCCGAGGCTGACCTGTGGAGTAGTTGACTTTGTGAATTGGGTTGAGGCAATACTACTATCACTCAGGATAGTCGGGGACACAGGCTTGCTGCCGTGGGCAGCAATGGATGGACTCGACTCTGGGGTAGGGTAGAAGCCACCACGGCTACTTTTTCCTCCGCAGTCGACTTGCTCGAGGCAAGCCTGGTGACTCTGGAGTTTCGTAGGAGGCGTTGAAGTCATACCGGCACAAGTAGACGAGAGCTTAGTAAGAAGCAGCCCAAGTTTGTGGTTGAGGCCGATTTCGGGGTAACTGATGTCTGTTGCTCGAGGGGACGGAGCCGCAGGGAACACGAACGCTTGATTCAACTCGTCCGAGGCATCGTCTTGTTCAAGGACCGCTAGGCCATCAAGGTATTCTACGAGTTGTTTGACCAGAGTGCTTGAGTCGATGCCCGAGCCTGTAAAATCGACATGGCGACTATGTTTATGGCCGAGGGCATTGCCACCTACCTGAGGGGCCTCTAATAAAGGGCGTCCGTTCATGTTTCCTTGGGTGACATTGGCGCTGAATGAAAGTAGTAGCAGAGGGGAATCTCGCAAGGGTTGAAATTGGAAGGAAAGGGTCAGGACGTGAATTGAGGTCTGTCTGTTCTATCTAAGAAGGTGCAAGGATCGTCCCTTATTTATAACTAAGGGTAGAATAGTTAAGGGAAAAGGGGCATACGGCTGAAAGTGTGTCAAGTGCAAAGGGTACGTATCAAAGTGCAACAGGCAACGAACGTTGCTATGCTGGTGGAGGCACGAATGTTAACTGTTGTCGCACCATCGCGCCTGGAATAGCCTGAGTGAGTGGCAGTGACGATCGTCTTTCCGACAACCTGATGCTAATAATCTTAATTCTACCTCAGAAGGAGCTTGATTATGCTAAGCGAGGCCAACCAACTATTTAATCCCAGTTACCTGTGTTAGCTACAGCAAGAATAGACGATGCTGGCAAAGTGTCTTGGTTTGTTTCTGAATCATGCTCATCAAACATGTCGCTAACACCATAACGTAGGTGCTTCACCACCTTAGTGAGCCACCCCAACCCCACCCACTTTCCCGCCAGACCTAAATTCCGTGTCCCATATCACGCCCGTGTCATGTATCACAGCTCCTGAAACCTCACTGCTGCGCCGCGGCTCCGCTGCGGCTTCGCCGCAATGAGCGAGGTATATATTGTTGCACGAATGTGTGCATCGATCCTTTTCTTTCTTTTGTTCGTCAGATAATTCTCATCAATTGACTGATGCCACTCAGATCGCTTGGCCCAACTGCTGTCACGTGCGAGGTGTGGGACATAAGTGATTTACCCGTGATCTGCCGGATCCCGTGACTCGCCGGACTTCAACCCAGATATACGACCACACCAATCGCCTGCTAAAGCGTGGGCTGTTCTGTTAGACTTATGTGGGTACCGGCCAGGGACGTAGGGTTTGTGTCGAGAAGAAGGTCCGAACGAGTTGAGGTCCCCAGGTCTCTCTAGGTAATACAGCTTGAAACCAGGTAAGAAGGGAAGTCTGCAGACTATTGTTTCTTCTTCCTAGACCACTGAGGGGTCCGGAGGATCTCCTATTCGATCGGGATCCTCCAAGGAGTCCGGTATATCTTTTACTGGCTCGGGACCTCAAGAGATTGAACTATCGACCTAATAGCTTGGAAAGCTATTGATCGGGAGATCGAGCTGAATGTGCTGACGTAGATGGCTTACGCGGCCTTCAGTGAGAGGCAAGGAGTGCCCTCTTCCTGATAGAATGTATATTATACCTGAACACGGGATATGAACATAGGGAAGGCACAGAGGGATATAAAAGGGGAGGGCTAGACGGATACAGGGCAACTGGACAGAAAAAAACACATGCACATCACCGACTATCAGATCATCTGAGAATCTACCTACGAAAAGTCCATTTATCCACTTTTATGCCCACTTATGCTCTCTCCTTCGCGAGAGTTTGCATTGGGACCGGTTGCGAAGGCAGCAGCGCAGAAGGCCACCAAGGCAGGGAATCCCTTTATCGTCATATGCCTCGATTCATCTCGCGAAGGAGAGATCAAAAGTGGGCATTAAAGTGAATAAAGGGACTTTTCGTAGGTAGATTCCCAGATGATCTGATAGTCTGTGATGTGCATGTGTTGATTGCTCTGCCCCCGTTGCCCTTTTTCCGTCCAAACAGCGCCTTTTGTATCTGTCGGCTAGTATAGGCACCGCTGTTAGTAGGTGTAACGGGGTGGCCTCGAGTACGCACAGAGAGGGTCCGAAGGAAGGATATAATATTCTACAAAGGGGAAAAGGAAGAGTGTGCGGGTGCCGCACCCGGAGGTGCGGACCCCGCCTATATATATAACGTAATCTGTGGGAATGGTATTAACGTAATCTACCCCCTTCCTGGTCACACCCCCTACCTGCTCAAAAATTCCCCACCCAAGCGACCCGCACCTCATGGCGAGACAGGCCGACCACCATGACGGAAATTCGAGACCAATCGATTCCACGCGAAGAACGGGTCCTGCTCGCCGTGAAGGCCTATCAGCAAGGCCAATTCGACAGCGCCCACAAGGCCGCGACGGCATACGATGTCCCTCAATCGACAGTCTCTGCTCGACTGCGCGGTGCCCGGCCCCGACGCGACGCGCAGATGAACAACCGGAAGTTGACGGCGACGGAAGAGACTGCCTCGTACAATGGGTCTTGTCGATGGACGAGCGAGGGATGCCGCCGACAGTGGTCTACACTCGCCGCATGGCCAACTTGTTGCTTTCGGAGCGCTGCCAAGAAACTGTCGGCGAAATTGGGTGCGGAAGTTCGTTGGCCGCCACGACGAAATCAAGGCGAAATACTCTCGTCGATACGATTACCAACGTGCCAAATGCGAAGACCGAAGATGATGCAAGAATGGTACGATCGGGTGGCAATGGCGAAACAGAAATGGGGATTCTTGATGAGGATGTCTACAACTTCGATGAGACGGGTTTTCAAATGGGAGTCATTGCGTCGGCAAGAGTCCTTACTCGGTCTGACCGGCGAGGTCGGCCTATGGTCATGCAGCCAGGAAATCGAGAATGGGTTACCGTAATTGAATCTATTAATTGCCAAGGTTGGGCTTTGCCGGCGATGGTCATCTTCCAGGGCAAGGTGCACCAAGCAAGCTGGTACGAGGCAGATGTGCCCAAGGACTGGCAGATTGCCGTGAGCGACAAAGGTTGGACTTCCGACGACCTTGGATTGCATTGGTTGAAGGGAGTTTTCGACCCATACACACGGCGCCGTACCGTTGGAACACGCCGACTTCTCATTCTCGACGGGCACGGCAGCCATGTTACGCCGGAGTTCGACAAGTACTGTACGGACAATGCCATCGTGGTACTCCAAATGCCAGCTCATTCCTCACATCTCTTACAGCCTCTGGATGTCGGGTGCTTTTCGCCTTTGAAAACGATATATGGGCGGAATGTTCAAGAGAAGATGCTCGCAGGGTCAACCACATCGATAAAGAGGACTTCCTGCTTCTGTACATCGAGGCCCGCCGACAAGCGCTCTCCCGTCGAACATCCGAAGTGGATTCATGGCCACAGGCCTTTCCCATTCAATCCGACCCGGGTTCTGTCACGGTTACTAGTTCAGGTTGACAGGAATGGCAACGACAATGCCAACGATGACGGCGACAAGCACAAGCAAGCCCCAGAAAGCTTGGAAGCCCACAAGACACCTTGCAATGTTAGCCAGCTTACCACTCACGTGGAAGGACTTCTTCAGCGCCGGCCACAAAATGCGGGCACGCCGGTCTCACAAGCCATAAACCAGCTCATCAAAGGATGTCAAATGGCCATGCATAGTGCCGCGCTGCTCGCCGACGAAAACAGACATCTTCGGTCAGAAAACCAGCGGCGAAAGAGGAAGAGAGAGCAACGACGCGAGTATATTGGTGATGGCGGTGCTCTGTCTGTCGCAGAAGGCACGGCTAAGATAAAGCGACGGCGAGAAAGGAAGAGGAACGTGCTAGGCGACTGAGGGCAAGGGAGGATGAGCAGGCAGGGCAACAACTTATCGAGGAGCAGGCCCGACGGCAGACAGAAGAAGAGCTGTGCGTCCCAAGACGGCGTGCACCACCACGGTGTAGTAAATGCAGGTCATTTGAACATAATGCCCGGACGTGTAATAGATAGACAGGTCTGAATTTACTTGCTTGTTTGTCTCTTGGAATCAATTGCCGTCTGTTGTGTTCGGTTGGTCGCGCCATGAGGTACGGGTCGCTTGGGTGGGGAAATTTTGAGCAGGTAGGGGGTGTGGCCAGGAAGGGGGTAGATTACGTTAATACCATTCCCACAGGTACCATGCACCACCACCCTTTCGCCAACCCCACCCTTTCGCCAGGCAAAAAAAAAAAACCACCACCAAAAACTCAACTATTTCATTTATACAGAATTTGGCCAAAATAGAAGTTATTGGCAAGCGGTCACTTCTCATAGATATAAAATTGATTGGAATTCATTTTTCTGGTCTCGTGCAGTTGCGTGGGGCACGTGATGTATGCAAACCATTGCAAGGAAATGTCACCATCTTAATCACCAAATTCCTCACCGCTCTTTCCCAACATTTCTCATGCCAGTCTCTTACAACGCAATAAAAATGCCTTCATCGCGGCCTCGTTGGAAATATACAGAAGACGACGTGGCCGAGGCTATATTAGATATCACCGATAACGGCTGTTCACCCTCTCAAGCGGCTCAGAGATGGGGAGTGCCTCGAAGGACTCTGATCGACAGATTTAACGGCCTGACGGCCATGAAAGAGCAAATTCAGCCTGGTAAGCGCTTGTCCAAGAATCAGGAAGATAAATTGGCTTTCTGGATTCTTCGTCAGGAGTCTCTGGGATATGCTCCGTCCCACAATCAGATTCGCGCTTGCGTCATGGGCTTGTTAAGACATCAAGGCGAACAACCAAAATTAGGACGCAACTGGGTAGCCAGATTCATCGAGCGCCACCGAGACCTTAAGACTAAGATCGGTAGACGTCAGGAAGCTAATAGGTTTGAATCCTTCACGCCTAAGGCGGTTCATTGGTACTTCGATATCAGGGAGGGCCAGTACGGCTGGATCCGGCCTGAGAACATTGTTAACGTTGACGAAGGAGGCATCATGATCGGTTTTGGCAAGCCGCCATTTCTCTTTTCTCTTTATTTTTGAAATTTGACTAACTAGACTCTCTTCGTTAGGGTTGGATAGCCTGGTGGTCGGAAGCGCGGACCCAAAGCGAAAGGCTCTTCTCAAGGGACCACAAACTCGAAATTGGACTTCGTTTATCGAAGCTATCACTGCGGACGGCCGTTCCTTGACTCCTGGCATAATATTCAAGGGAAAGGAACTCCAAAAACAGTGGTTCCTTCATGAATTCAAGAAGATAGCCAACTGGCATTACATAACTTCACCAAACGGGTGGACTGACGACCACATTGGTGTTGAATGGCTTGAAAGGGTCTATTTGCCCCAGACCAAGCCTGCCGAGGAGTCTGATGCCAGATTAATCATTCTAGACGGCCACGGGAGCCATGCAACGGTACTGTCTTTGTTTACCTAGCCAAAGGTCGCTGCTAACCGAGCGAAGGACGAATGGATGGCTACATGCTTTTTGAACAACGTTTACTGTTGCTACCTTCCAGCACACTGCTCTCACGGCCTCCAGCCATTGGACAATGGAGTATTCAACGCCTCCAAAGCTGCATATCGACGAGAGTTGGAAAAGTTCGCTTCCCTGACTGATTCCGCTCCGGTGGATAAGGTCAATTTCATCAGAGCCTACGCCAAGGCTCGTGAAGTGGAAATGACGAAGAAGAATATACTCTCCGGCTGGAGAGTTACTGGCAATTGGCCAATTTCGCGAGCCAAAGCTCTACGGCACCCAGAAATCCAAGAGGATAGGCGGAATGACAGCCCAAAAAGGACTCCGGAGCCGGCGCTGTATTTGGGCTCGGATGATACACCAAAAACCAGCCGCCAGATTCGCGATCTTGGGCTAAACAAAACACCAAAGACACGGAGACGGTATAACGTGATAGCCAAAGGCTTTGAGACTCAACAACAGACGTTAATGGCGCATGCCATGAGAATTGCTGGCATGGAGGAGGAACTGGCACGTCTGAAGAGAGGGAAGAAGAGGAAGGCTATTCCGAATCCCAATAAACGTTTCATGACTCTGAGCGAGGCTCTAGCCTCTGGAGAATCCAATCCAGAAAAAGGAAGCGAAAAGAAGCATGTTGTGGTGAACCATAGCTCTCGGGAGTCAGGGCCAGAATCGGAGGCTGCTTCAGTTATTGAAGTCAGCGAAGAAACCATACTACCTCAGCGCACCACACGATCGGGGAGGCTGGTCAAAAGGCCTAAAAGCCAATAGATACATCAATTGTACATTTACACCAGGCAACCATTTGCAAATAACTTTTATTTTGGTCAAGTTGTGTGTAAATGAAATAGTTGAGTTTTGGTGGTGGTTTTTTTTTTTGCCTGGCGAAAGGGTGGGGTTGGCGAAAGGGTGGTGGTGCATGGTAGTACATAGCGTTACTAGACCGTTGCTACTGAACTTATGTACTCGGGGGGTTGACTAGCAGGGGTCCGCAAGGCCCCCCCCTCTCCTACGGAGAGGGGGTCACAAAACTTGTTTCTTTGACGGTCGTGTTTCCCTCTTTTATGACTTTAACCAACCGCCACGCCTTCAATTGATGCTTTCAAGACTTAAAACTTTCCCCGTATCATTACCTATACTTAATTTCTATTATGTCTAATTTTTAGTCAAGTAGGAGCTCTCATATAGCGTAGGCGACGCGAGCTAATCCGTAGAGGCGAATATTTTCAGTCATTATTAATGTACCTTCACTAGTAAAATAAGGTGTAAGGTACCTTTAAAGACGTGCGTTTAATATAACATATTCGATAACAGTCACGATATATATATTTTTATACTTCAAATTTAGCAACAATTTTTCTATTTAAACCCATGTTCTTTATATTATATGCATTAAAGATGTTAGTATGTTGGTGCGTTGCGAAGTTTGTTTCCGTACTTTAAGATAGCAATTGCGCTCGTTCTATAGTAAACGGAGTACTTAACTGTCCAGGTAAAATAGTAGGGGCTTTAATGTATCATTTTTAAAGGTTACCGAAGACGCGCGATGCACGATTAACCCTTAGAATAATTTCTATAAAACTTGGCATAGACATTCTATAGTACCTAATAGACATTGTACAATTTTTTCCTATTCGAAGAATGTTAATTGATTGCGTGACGCTCAATTAAAGGCTCGATCAAGGCAAACGCATACTATAACCCACTATATCTACGGTACGAAGTAGACGCGCAAGCATTAGACATCTTTAGGTACATAGTGCAGCACTAACCACCGGACCAATTCGTATGAGATTTGGTGTATAAATTATATCGAACCTGATGCGTGGAAATTTTCTTTTTTAGCATTTCAATAACATCAATTGGTGGCGTGATCATTGATTAAAGTCGCGATAGAGGGAAACACGACCGTCAAAGAAACAAGTTTTGTGACCCCCTCTCCGTAGGAGAGGGGGGGGCCTTGCGGACCCCTGCTAGTCAACCCCCCGAGTATCTAGTTTTTATTTCCCAGTCGACGACTAATTTCCTGGTCGACCGAACCCCCCCTCCCTAGAGGGGGGGCCGACTTCCTTTTAGGCCCCCCTAGTAGCCCTTTCCAATCCAGCAATTGCCCATACAGCGTGAGCTGCGGATTGGACCGTGTCAAGGGCTGTCGGACATGACCCTAACCACTTCCAAGTGTGCCCTCCCCGTTCTCAGAGTCCACGCCCACAGCCCTAGGACCGCCATGATGCAGATGAAGCTCATCACCAGACTGCCTCCAAACGTCAGCGCATGGTATGTCCAGGCGTTGTTCTTATCCAGATTGGCGACCTGGCAGACGATAGTCCAGGGCAGGACGTATAAAAACGTGCTGGCCAAGCTCTGCCAAAGATACCATTTCGGCCGCGTCGCGAGCAAGATCGCGCTCATCTGCGTCGACACGGCGTACACAATATAGCAATAGTCCAACGTCCTCCACATTCGTGCGGCCACTTCGGCCACTTCGTCACTGCCGCTCAAGTACCGTGCGAACGAGCGTGCTCCCACAAAATACATAGCGATGCAGAGTGGCACTTCGAATGCGAGCGCCACGGCGGCGGAGATGAACGCCGGACGGACGATTCGACACAAGGACGCCAGGCTCGTCCGGGGCCGGAGCGTGGCGATGCCAGTGTCCCTCCGCCAGCGGCCCCAGTTGTGTCCCACAAAGGTGAGTGTCGTGGCTTCCAAGGCCGACACGGGGACCATGACGAGACCCCAACGGATGGTGTTGAAGACGCCCCAAGCCGTGGCGTACACTGTACCCAAGGATACTATTGTGGTGACTAACCACAAATAAAAGGCGTTTCGAATGGCCGACTCGACAAAGGTCGGGATGGCAGGGCGAAGCAGGATCTTGAGGGCGCAGAGACTGGGGGCCGTGCGGATGGCCGATCGTTCCCTCTCCCTTGGCCCGAGGTAGTTTCTGAACAAGAAGTAGGCGAGGCCGCCGAACGCAGCCGCAAGATTGCAGGCCAGCTGGATGCTCGCCTGCAAATTCACGGTCGGCTCGAGGCTCCCAACTCTGAAAGTCGAGATCAGCAGCAAGTCGAGGATAATATTTACAGCGAACTTGATGCAGCTCAATATGAGGGCAACGTCGGGCTCGTCGAGGGCTCTCGTCGCTGCGGCAACGGCAGCCTCGATGGCACCGCTGAGTACCGAGAAGCTGCCGATGCGCACGTACGTGATGCTCTGCTGGCGCACCTCGAGGGGCACGAAGCCTTTGGCGAAAGTCTCTGCGGCGCCGAGCAGTATGAGCGAAAGGGCGAGCCCTAGAAGGGCCTGCGCGAGGATGAGGGTATGTGCCAAGGCTAATCGTTGGCTGTGTTTGCGAGAGCACTTGTCGCCGATGGTGGTCCATGAGGCGCGTGGGAGACCCTCGTTGATGACCTCGGCAATGGTGGCAATGTACGTGTAGACGCTGGGAATGGAGCTGGTTAGTGGCGGAAGGAGGGATCCGTCTTTTCTGAAGGGAGGACGAGGCTGCTGACTCTGTGGTGACGACCATGCTTGAGTCGATTCGGGCCACCCAGAGCTTGGCCAGGGTGCTGTATATGGCCGGAAGCAGGAATGCGGCCACGTTAAACGAGAGGGCCACTGAATATCTGTCCCGTCGCCGGCGGGACACTCGGGTGCCCACGAGGGCATCATGGCCCTGTGCTTGTATCTCGGTCGACGGCGCCGGAGACGCGTTCCACGTCACCGTGGCGCCGTCTCCCATGTCTTGTCGAGTGAGAGCTAAAGAAGAGGAGGTCGGCCCTATGTTTGTTGGCGAGGTTGACGAGGGGCGGCCTCATTGACGAGACGATGATGCAGCGTCACCTCGAGAGAAGCTACATGTAGGTATCAAACGACCGTTGGGACCTACCTACTTGAGGTTAAACCTTTGGCATCCCTCACTGCATCGCACTTACCAGCCCGCCCCGGGGCCCATAAGAAGCCGAATTATATGCGACTTTCTTGGCTCCAAAGATGGTAATTTATGCGAGCTGTGGTGAGCCCACAATGATCTGATTCTCGGGCTTGAGTTGCACCGAACTCGGTTGGACGATTTACTATTCGCACTCACACATATTTCTATTTGCACTCATGCCCCATTTTTAAGATACTGTGGGGGCTAAAAGGGATGTCCGGATTTTTATGAGTTGTGAAAGTAGGTATATGAGCTGCGGTTACGTACTTGTGGCTGACACAGTGCGAGAGTTTTGTACCTCTACAAGACTCGAGTAGTATAAGCCATTTTTAGCTTCTTACCAACCCCTGCTAAGCCACCCTTCCCTGGTCAGCCAGTTCTGACTCCCCAGGGGGCAGCTTTGCGGCCTGAGGCAGAAAACGCCCTGCTACAAAGTAAGGACGCGCTAGGTACGTATACTTAGAGAAAGGAAAGTACACGGTGCAGCCACAGCTGCGCCACAGCAATCGACCTGCGCTACAAAGTTCTACTGTATAAAAATGCGGACATTCCTTTTGGCCCGTACAGTATGTGCCAACGCCAGCCCGCCCACCCATTTGTACCGCGCGAGCCTGGCAAGTACCCGTACCTTACAAATGGGGGGTGATTATCGATCCACCACTTTCTACTAAAAATCCACCATAGTGGGTCAATCTGTGGCTACGGCTGTGGCGAGGACCGGCCCCCGCAAAATTTATTTATGTGTACTCCGTACCTTCCCTACGAAGTACACATCGTACAATCGGATTTTCGCAAGCTTGACTGCACAACACAACGCACAACACACTGCGCAACACACCGCATAACACAGTAGTACCAAAAGTGAAGCTTCTCGTGATATCTCTACAACACCGCCACCGCAATGGATGCCGTTTTCGCAAGCCAATTCGACTCTCACGAGGCTATCAAAGCCGCCTGTGATGCTGCTGCCGAAGACGAAGGTTTCTCCCTTGCGATCAAGAAGACCACGCGGAGAGGTGGGAAAGCCGGCGTCATCACGTATCAGATGCTGATATGCTCGAAGGCTGGCGAGTATCGCGATAAGCACGATCCTTCCGCCCACGAATCGAGGGCTCGGCCTAATACGAGCACGCAAAAGACCGACTGCCACTTCAAGATTCGCCTCCAGCCTTCCTACGGCGGCGAAAGCTGGAGGCGTCTCCAACCCAATCTTCAAGCCACATAACCACCCCATGACGCCGGCCATCACCCACAGCAAATATCGCGCCCAGCTTATTGCGGATAACCTCGATCACATCATCCACTTGTACAACGGTGGCCTTAAGCCGGCCCTGATAACCTGCCAGCTCCGTGGGCTCTGCCAGAACCCAGAGCATGACCCGGATCTCAAATTCCTCCTTGCACAGCACATTCGCAACGCCATCGCCCTATATCGCACCCAAGAACTCGCGGGCCGCACGCCTCTGCAGTTTCTTTATGATCAGCTCAAAGACCCGTCTCTCGGCTTCTTCTTCCGGGATACACGTGACCAGGAAGGCCGGCTGACCGGCCTTTCATCGCACCGCGCACCGGCATCGAGCTTTGGAAGCGTTATCCGAATGTCCTCCTTTGGACTGTACGTACAAGACCAACCGGTCAGGATGCCTCTTTTGAACGTGTGTGGCTCTACGGCAGAGAAGATGACCTTCTCTATAGCCGCTGTCTTCCTAAGCGGCGAGGCAGAGCCACATTACAGGTGGTCACTACAGTGCCTGCTAGAGCTAGCCGAAGAAGAGGGGATTCCGATGCCACGGGTCATCGTCACGGATCGAGAGCTTGCCTTAATGAAAGCCATCGTTTCCTTCCCAGCGCTTCGGCTAGTAATCTGCCTGCTCTGCCGCTGGCACGTCAACAAGAACGTTCTTGCGAATTGCAAGGCGTACTTCCCTAAGGCGAAGAGGGACGATAAAAATCGGGTTATTCGCGACCCTAAGTTCACCACCTTCCTGAAAGAATGGCATTCTCTCGTCAACGCCCCTGATGAAGCCGCTTACGAGCAACGGCTACAGACGTTCAAGGAACCCGGCCGTCACCCAGAGGCCGCTATAGCATACGCTGTGAATACGTGGCTAGACCGCTGGAAGGAGAAGATCGTGCTGTGCTTCGTTAACCGGGTGCGGCACCTAGGCCATACAACAACCTCTATCGTTGAGGGCATGCATGCCTCGATGAAGCGGTTCCTGTGGACCTCGACGGGCGATTTGACCTCTGTTTTCCAGCGTTTTAAGGCCTTCTGAGGCACCAGTCGGACGAGATACTCAATTCGCAGCAGATTGGCATACATAAGACATCTACGTCTACTATTAGCCCGATTTTCGTCAAAATCAGGCCAAATCTCTCGTCTTGGGCGCTCAAGACGATAGGAAAGGAATTCCGCGCTGTGCCTAGGGAAGTCACTGACAAGTCAAAGCCACCGCCCGGCCGCTGTGATCTTCAGCACCACTGCAGCATTAAGGCCACACTCGGCCTTCCCTGCCGGCACGATATCTTCAATCGACTTAAAGATGCCGCTGTCGCCGGCGTTGGCGCCGCCGGCGCTGTTCCCTTCGAAATGAGTCACGTGGACGAATTCTGGCATCGCGAAAACCCTCAGGCCACGAACTCTAACGACGTTCCCCTCGAGCCACTGCCTGTGCGCGGCAAAGGCCGACCCAAGGGCTCATTGAACCTCGAGAAAAGCACACGCCGCAATTCCTCGGCATTCGAGATCACTGAGAGAGCCGAGCGTGACGAGGCCACCAGGCCACCGCCGTCAACAGCGCCGGTAGCACTCACTGGCACAGGCACAAGAAAGCGCAAGGCTGACGGCAAGGTTGAGAGAAGAGCCAAGGGGAGGGCCAAGGCGCCGAAGGCGGCCACTGCTGCCGCTGCTAATATGACGAAGCAGGGGTTGGAATACCTTCAAACACACGGGGATTCCTACGAGCCGGGTACAGAGATGCCACGGGCGTATCAGCGCGCCGCTGCTGCCGCTGACGACTCTCAATATGAGCTTGCTGGCGAGACCCAGGACACAATCCTCTGTTATCAGGCCACGCAGCCGGCCACACAGTGGACCTTGCAGGGGGTTCCCTTGCCGTCAAGAGGAAGAGGGGAAGATACCGAGGACGAAGATGACCGTTTGGCCGATTTTAATATAATGGAAAAGGAGATAGATGCAGAGGAGCGTTTGCAGCAAGAATTGGCCGATGACGAGCTGTAGTTACTACTGCCTTCGCCTTTGCCTTTGAATTGGCAGAATTGCGCCTCCTATGACTCTAAAAATGACCTTCCTTCCTACACACGTATTGATGCACCACGGCCGGCATCACTTTGCGGCATCAATTGCGGCATCAATTACGGCATCAATTGCGTTGCTCGCGCCTCCAAGTTGGTGGTCGGGATCGCGCACAATTGGCAGGGCCCGGGCTCTGGCGCGAACCAGCCACAGATTGACCCACTATGGTGGATTTTTAGTAGAAAGTGGTGGATCGATAATCACCCCCTTAATAAAAGGAGGTGTATAGATAATTGGGCCCTATTCTTGTCGCCGTGATCGTTACCAACTTTGTCAACCTGAACTTGTAACCGCGATAATACCTTGTTTGGGTCGAACGGAAAGAGGCCTGTTGCCATAAATCCGCTTCGGATATTCGACGGCGAAAGTGCTTGTCGGCGAGCCTCTAAGTATATAGGAAGGAAGTCCTGCTTGTCGATATGATGGATCCCAGCGAGCATTTTCTCTTGAACCTTCCGGCCATATATTGTTTTCAACGGCGAAAAGCACCCGACATCAAGGGGCTGCAAGAGATGTGAGGAATGTGCAGGCATTTGGAGTACCACAATGGAATTGGCCGTACAGTACTTGTCAAATTCCGGCGTGACGTGGCTACCGTGCCCGTCAAGAATAAGAAGTCGATGCGTACCAACCGTACGGCGCCGTGTATTCGGATCAAAGACTTCCTTTAGCCAATTCAAAGCAAGGTCGTCGGAAGTCCAGCCGTTCTCACTAACGGCGATATGCCAGTCATCGGGCACTCCTGATTCGTACCAGCTTGCTTGGTGTAACTTGCCCTGGAAGATAACCTTCGCCGGTAAAGCCCAACCTTGGCAATTGATAGACTCGATCACAGTAACCCATTCGCGATTTCCAGGCTGCGTGAGTATTGCCCGACCTCGCCGGTCAGACCGGGTAAGGACTCTCGCCGTTGCGGCGACTCCCATTTGAAACCCCGTCTCATCAAAGTTATAGACATCCTCGTCAAGAATCCCCCATTTCTGTTTCGTCGCCGCGACTCGATCGTACCATCCTTGGATCTTTTGGGGGTCTTCGCATTTGGCGCGTTGATAATCGTATCGGCGAGTACTTTGCCTTGATTTCGCCGTGGCGGCCAACAAACTTCCGCACCCAGTTCTCCCCGACAGGATCTTTGCCTCGCTCGGAAAGCAATAAGTTGGCCATCCGACGAGTGTAAGCCACTGTCGGCGGCATTCCTCGCTCGTCCATCGACAAGATCCATTGTACCAGGGCAGTCTCTTCCGTCGCCGTCAACTTTAGGTTGTTCACCTGAGCGTCGCGTCGGCGAATGACACCGCGCAGTCGATCAGATACTGTCGATTGAGGGACGTCGTATGCGGCCGCTGCCTTGCGGGTACTTTCGAATTGGCCCTGCTGATAGGCCCTGACGGCGAGCAGGACCCGTTCTTCGCGTGGAACCAATTGGTCTCCCGTCGCCGTCATTGTGCTCGGTTTGTCTTGCCATAAGTGTGGGTCGCGGCGGTGGGGAATTTTTCTGACCGAGTAGGGGGTCTGACCGGGAAGGGGGTGGATTACGTTATGTTACATGCAAATACCGTGCACCATAATGCCTTGAGGAACGAAAGGCTTCTTCTTACCCTGCGAGACCACTCTTTTGCCTTGAGGAACGAAAGGCTTCTTCTTACCCTGCGAGACCACTCTTTGCCTTGAGGAACGAAGTGAGGTACGAACGTAGTGACGAAAGGTTCTTGCCCTGTGCCTTGAGGAACGAAAGGCTTCTTCTTGCCTTGAGGAACGAAAGGATTTCTATGCCGCGCTTTTTTGCCCCCCGAATCCGCGCCTCTGATTCGCTAGCTTTCTCGGCTTCCCGTTGGCTAGAAAAATTGCCTCTTTGCCTTGAGGAACGAAAGGCTCTTCTGGACGCGGAGAAACCCAAAACCGAAACCCCCAAAAATTTTTAACCCTCGAAAATCCCGCCTTCTGATTGGCCCAGACTTTTTTTCCCTCTCTCGTCCTAGCCCCTCCTTGCAAGCTTCCTTGTCATTGGTGCCTTGTGCCTTTCGCTGCATTTTGGCCCGTGCCCTTTGCCTTGCCTTTCCTTCTGAGGACCGAGCCGATTTTTAGAGCCGGGACAGGGCCTGACTGACCCAACCAGGCTAGGCCTCGCGCCTTGCGCACACACTCGCGAACTTGGTTTGCCTTTGGCCACCGAACCTCTCTCCCGCACGGGCCGCACCCCTGACACGAGCACGGTGCCGTCTAGCGCCCGGCATCACGATAGCTTCACGTGCAAGCCCGCAGGGTCTAAGGAATCAACGTCTAGCCATTCCAAGGCCTCGCGAACAGTCTTGTCACTCAGCCGACCCAGCCTCGCTTCTGCGTCGGTCATCTCGTCCGGGACTTTGTTGCCCACCAAGTCTCTCTCCCGCACTTTGGAGACGAGCATGATGCCATCCAACGTCGGGCAGCGGGACAGCTGCACGTACAGGCTGTACGGGTCGCACTGCGAGGACACGGCGCGTCCCTCGATGTTTGACGTCCGCGTCCCCCGCAGCTCCAGAGCCACACGCTCGAGCGTCCTGCCCTGCACTTTATAGTCTGTGCACGCGAAGGCTGCCGTACAGGGCAGGCCCTTTCGACTGACGTCGTTCTGCTGCCACGGCCTCTTTCGCTGGCATTGTATCTTGACGGTCATGGGCGTCAACAAGATCGTGCCTGGCGGCATCCCGACGAATTGAACATCTTTCGTCGTCTCGGACTCTAGCATTATCCCGCCGGCGGCCGAAATGGATCGTCATGTCGGCCGAGATGCGATGCCCCGGGTACGACTTGTCGAGGATAACCTCCAGCGCCGCGTAGCTGGCACCGTTCACCAGCTTTAACCCCTGGTGGGTGTTGTGGTTCACGACGACCGGCATCCCCGGCACGAACATGAAGACGGCCGGCACCGGTATTGCGCTATCGTCGCCCTGGTTTAGGATCATGATGGCCTCCTCCTCCGTCGGCAAGCCCTCCTTCCATTTATGGCCGGATATGAAGATGCGTAACGTCGACCGGTGCTGGATCTGGAACGCCAAGCTGGCCTCCATGTTCAGGTTCCACCGGTTCCTGTTCAGCGGCGTCACCACGGTGATGCCTGATGCCCACGGGATCTGCCTACCCTCCTGGTAGCACCTGGTGTTGAGGAGGTCCAGATCCGTGCGGTCCTGCACACCCAGTCGGATTCGCTTTAACAGCCTCTGCAGCTCTGGGTCGTCGGCGGCGCGCACTTGCTCGTCCAGCATGACGACCGCCGTGAACCTCTTCCACAGCGCGTGCGCCTTGTCGTGCTGGTGCCGTTGCTCGGCCTTGAAAGAGTTGTCCATGTCCCACGAGACAACCGTGCTGGGGGAGGAGGATCGACCGCTCTTGGACCGGGCGGAATTGGTGGAAGTCTCCGCAGAAGAGGACGATGGGGATCCCCTCCAAAATCCCGGTGCGACCCGCGCAGCCGGCAGAGCTGCTCGTTGACTGCGTGTAGCGTCCGCGCCCCGAGCATGCTAACCTCGTCAACGACAAGCACGTCCTTCTCCTGCCAGTCCATCCGGGACTGCCCGTGGACGAACCGCTCCGCCTGGTTCGGCATTCGCACCCCGTCGAGATCCTTGCCCGTGTTTGCGACTGCCGCGAGATCTTTGGAGAACCCGCAGGCGGGTGGATCGTGATGCCGTTGATCCGTGCTGCTGCAGTCCCTGACGTCGCCGTTATTATCAGGCGATTCGATTGATCCTTGGACGCGAAGAGCTCGACGAGCGCCTCGATAACTCGCGACTTGCCCGTTCCGCCCTCTCCACCGACGAATTGGCACAGCTGACGCACGTTGCCTTTTCCCTGCGCCGTATTAGGTCAAGCTGACGGCATATGATTAGGAAGGCGATCGCCTGCTTCTTGTTCAGCGTGAACCTCGCTACCAGGGCCTTACCCGCCTCGATAAAGGAGGTTGAGGTGCCAAGCCGGATCTCCATTCCCGCGCTGGCCTCCTCTACCGTTTCCTCGAGGTCCGCCGCCGTCATCTGGATATCGTCATCCCCGAACCCCGTGAGCACGCTGCGCACCGCCGCCCGACGATCAGTCACTGCTGCCGTGGGCACGCTTTGTATGCCCCGGATCATCTTCTCCCTCTCCCTGGATGCACAGGTTTGCTGCGACTTTATGGCCCTAACCTGACTCTGCGGCGGTATTCTGGCTCCGGAGAATGCCCGCCCCGGGATGTTGATTCGTCTTGGGCCCCGTTCGGATAGTATTGCGGCCTGGAACTCGGAAGACGACGACAACGCCAATTGCTGGAAGCGGCTGAGCTCCTGCATCATCGCCGTGAGCTCTGGCGAGCCGGCCGTGATTTGGTTCGCCCCGATCGAGCTTCTGACAACGTCGATTAGACGCATCGTGTTTCCGGTACTGTCGGCCTGGTATACCGATCCAGGCTCGACACCCGCCTCCCAGTGCCATCCTCGTCCGGATGTACTGCCGTGGCGTCACGGTCCCCGGATGAGGCTGCCCACTGCTTGGCGTCCCGCTTTGCATCTTCGGCCGACCGTCGCAGCAACTGCACGTTATCGACGTAACATGATATCCTCGGGACCAGAGCTGCTCGTTCCCGCCTCCATATGCGGTCGATGCCACCGCTTTCTTCACCTAAGAAGGACTCCCACGGCACGAATAGCGCAAGATGCTGCACAGCCGCTCTTCGACGTGGAAATTAGCCTTCTCGACCCGACACCCCTGGTCCGTCGACGACAAACGCACCTTCGGTAGCACGACCCTTCGTCGTCTTCGTCGAAATCCTTGCTCAAATACCCATCGAGGCAGACCATGGCCTGCTTGCCCGGTCGCCTGAGCACCTGCACCCAACGGCTCCCCGGAGCCCAGCCGCTCTCGAGCGGGACCTCCCCCCAGGCGGCGGGCCTCTTGTCCGTGTCGTTGCGCTTCAGCCTGACCAGCGAAATATAGTCGTAGAGACACAGCCCTCGAAGGACATCTCCCCGATGACGATATGCCTCGACGCGGCAAATCCTCTGGCCTGCTTCTTCGACGAGTATTGACTCGTCCACGGAACCATCTGCAGTGGATGCGCCGCTTTCCCGTCGAAGGTGCGGCCATTGTCGGAAGACGTGCCAGTAGAGCACCGAAACGTTCAGGAACGCCCAGGCACCGTTATTCGTCAGTTCAGTCGGGTATCCCAGAAGATCCGCAATAACCTCGACCTGCGATAACGGCCTCTCCGTAAACACGCGATTCGCCACCTTCATCAAGAATTGTCGTGTCCTGTTTTGTTTGCCATCGTCCCCGCCACCTTCGCCTCCACGAACCTCCGCGTCGTCGGCCATTCCGTCGCCTGCTCTGGGAGGCAAGAGATCCGCGGCCGCGACGACGCGCTTCCACACGGGGTCCTCTACCTTGGTCGCATAGTTGGTGACGTAGAAGACGAGGGCCATGGTCTTGCGCTGTGTGGCGATGAAGGATATGTCATGGTTGTGGCGAAGCCCCACGGCAATCGCCTTGTTCCACCGATTCACCATGCTGTGCGACCTCCGAATCCGCAGCACGCCGTCTCCCGTGAAGGCCGTCTCGTCGACCAGTCCCCACGGCGCCTTGAAACGACATAAATCACTCTTGCGCCCCCCTTTGCCCAGCGAGTACTTGACGCAGGTCGGGCTATGGGTATGGATCTGCGTCGCGCCGGCACAGAAGTTCGCTTCCTCGTCGAACGAGGCTGAAAATTGCCGTTCATCGCCCAGCAACTGCGATATATCTGATGTTACCGATCGCTCTGCCTGGATTGCGCAGAAACCTTCCTGGTCCAGATCCTGTCTTGTTCGTCAGCTTTCTCGGGTTTGACTGAACGGAGGACACAGGCCAACACGCCGCCCCCCGCGCCATACCTCGGAAAAGACGCTGTCGACGTATCTGACAATGCGCTCTCGGTATGCCGCTTGATCCTCGCCGTGGATATCGACAAGCATTGAGCTTAGATGCGCATTTCCCTGCAGCCAGAGCAGTCCGTGAACATGAAGCGCCCTCGCTCGTTGGTCTCCACGGCGCCGTAATAGTGGCTGATGCGCCCGAATACCGACTCCTCGCCCACTCTGACGTAATTTTCGAAGAACAACGTCATCTCTCGGTGGAAGAATTCGGCCGAGCTCAACGGGTCCGAGATGGCCAGCCGCGCACGTTTGAACGCCATGTCGAGGCTTCTCAGAAATGCCTCGGCCGCTTCAGGATCACGTGTGCGGTACGCCGCCAGTCTCAGCTTCACCGGGTTCGTGATGTCGTTCGGGTTGAGCGTGAACCAGATTGCAGGCACGCCACGACACAAGATGAGTGACTGGATCTTGCGTCGCATGCTCAGACGGAGTTCCCTCGACATGGGCTGCCGGTAGCCGTATAGCGAAAGGCATCTTAGAAGCTCCTTCACGCCATCATCGGTGGTCGTGCCCGAGCTCTCAACTCCACCCTGGCCGCCGCCAACCTATCTGCGGTGAGCGACTGTACGATGCGCTCTACCTCGGGGAAATTCTTCCGCGTCACGCTGAGCATGCTGACACGACGATTCCTCGACCGCACGTCCATGTTGAAAAGGAGAAACGAGAAGATGGCATGCGTCGCGAATCGGCCACCATGGCGCCGCAGCACGATGCCGGCCCACGTCCGAAGGCTCATGTTCCGAGACGACAGGAGATCTCGCGCGGCCGTCTCTTCTCCGGCAGCCGTACCGCGCGGATTGACCGACCCCTCCGGCCCTAGGATGAATTCCTCCGCCAGCCGTGGTCCTCCAAATCCGAACGGCAATAGGGTGGGAAAGGTCTTGGCGAAGAACGAGGCGTCCAGCGAGTCGGCGAATTCCTCTCCACGACCAACGTGAATGTACGGCTCACAGACATCCATACCGCCTCGACCTGCCCCCGCCGACCTTATCCATGCCCTCGGCCCCGGCCGGCCGTCCTCGGCCCCGTCGCCGCTCACGGCATTGCAAGCAAAGCGGAGCTTCTCCGCGTCCGACACGTCCGGCGGTCCGTCCAACGCAAACATGCCGGAAGAGGTTATCTCGTTGATCATTTTGGCCCCGTCTTCGGGCTCGGCATCATTAGTCCCATCCGCTCCATCCCCGTCGGATTCTCGACTCGGCCTGTCCGATACGTCTTGTCCCTGGTGGAGCCGAGCAAGGACTTCCTCGATCTCCGCCGAACTATCGCCGTCCATGGCCCGCTCTGCGGGCGGCACGACCTGTGCCGTTCGCGTCTTCTCCCACGCAGACGGCTCGTTCCGCTCCATGCGTCCGTACACCATCGACGGCACACCGTGCGATGGGGTTCCCCAACTATCCATTTCCGCCTTGTCGATCTCAATGTCGGCGTAATGGGGATTGTTCTTCTTCAACCAGACAAGCGCTCTCTCGACGACTTGACGCCTCACCGACAAGAGACCCGACAAGTCGCTCGGTGCTGGCTTCTCCGCGCCCTGCCACGAGACATGTATCTCGTCCATTGTTTGCAAGAGCGGGTGCGGGAGCACCTTTCTCGCCAGCTCCTGCACGTTGTTTGGGAACACCGTGATGTGGCCCTTGACGTGTCTCGGATACCTCACGGCCTGCCGCTGCCCGCCCGGAATGCTATACCTCGTCACAAAGCCGTAACACGAGTTCAGCGAGATGAGCTTCTCCTCGACCGGCGTCAGGCCATTAAGCTCGTCGGGGAACATGTGCTCACAGCCGAGGCGACTGTGAAGGTGGACAGCCGGCGACAGGTTCCCGCGCCCCAAGCATCGAGCACACTCCACACAAATCGAGACGGACTCGTCCTGGGGAAAGCAGCTCCGGCACGCAAATGGCGACCGGCCGCCTTTTGGAACGCTGCTTGACCTCCATTGGTCCCATGTGCTCTCCCTCAACTCCCTCCTTGTGCGCTTGCGGTAGCACATCATGCAGGTCATTATCGGCAAGGTGCTCACATCGTGGAACGCCCGATAGAACCTTCGCACCGTCGATACCTTCCTCTCGTGCGGTACTGGTGTGCACCAAGTTTGCTCGTTGGATAGTCTCTCCTTCGTAGCAAATTCCTCCTCGAGGTAACACAAGACACTGGCCAATTCCTCCGCCTGCAACTCCTTCTTCCTCTGCCCCGGATGGCCCCGAATGCGTTTCGTCAGGGGCCGATCACGGTCGGGGTGGCGCGTCCTCTTTCGCTGCTCCACGGGCCGCGAAGGTCTCGCTGCCTCGTTTCGTCTCGGTCGATCCTGTTCTTCACCTGTGGTCTGCCGGGGTGGCCGCGCTGTCAACCGTCCGGGTGGCTGCCCACCCCCTGCTACATCTCCCCTCTCTTTGGGTTGGATTGGCCGAACCAGGGCTCCTGACGTTCCCAGACGGACGCCCGCCGGTCGTTGCCGGTCGGCCTTTTCTTCCCGGGTTGCTTAGGTGTGCCTCGGGCCCCTTCGGCCTCGTCTGCGCACCATCGTTTTGCTTTCCAGACGTGCCGTTCTGCATGCCCTCCTCGATCCCGACGAGTAATCCGGCCTCGTCCGAGGCGGTCCGGCCGCGGTCTCCATCTCTTTGGGTCGGATGGGCCTTGGCGAATGCTGGCTCCCGTCTCCCAGCCGAAATCTCATCGTCGTTGTCGGTCTTCCTTCCCGGCGTTTTCTCCCCACACCAACTGTCCGCTCAACAAGGCCTTTCAGCCTCATCCGTACGCCACCGCTGGGTTGCCTAGGCCTAACGGTCTCAGGGCCACTTACACCCACGACGGACTGGCTCCCACTATCTAGGCCGTCGTCTCGCCCGACCAAGGCTTCTGGGGGACTTGGTGCTTGCAGACCAACGGTGGCCGCTGCGCTGCTCTCGTCACCCCCAATCCTCCTCCTCTTGGGCAAAATGTGCCGGTACGAGATCGAGTCGTTACCCTCGCACTGCAATACACCGCCGACGGGTGGCTCCAGGCTCCCTCCACACGGCTTCGTACCCAGCCCCGGCATCGCAGCGTCCGTGTCCATACTCACGGGCTCGTCACGCACGTTTATCGGTGCTAAACGCCGTGCTGGCCGCACCTTCGAAATGCCATCGTTCAGATCTGATGTTCCCCTTCGCCGCCGACCGCCTCGCCGACTGCCCCTGGGCGACGCTCCTTTGAGTGCTTCCGCTTGTTCTCCCCGGGAGACCTCCTCGGCCGGCGCCTGCTTGGCCTGGATAGGCCGAAACCTGGATACCACGTTCGCCTGTCTTTCATATTCCGGCACCCGCTTCAACCCTTCATCCATTGCACTCAATCTCGCCTCCGCGGTACCCCCCGTTGCAGCAACGGCCGCTGCTGCCGTCACTATCTCGCCTTCTCCCCCCACCGATTGAACCTTGCACCTAGGATTCTCCCCATGATGATGCTGTCTTAACGCCGAAGATCTGCAAACGGACGATGGATCGCAAAGCTTTCGCCCGGAAGATTCTCCCAGGTTGTCTCGCTTTCTGGTAATGGTGCGCTCCGCCGTATCTGGCATTCTTCCTACCAGCGGTTTCCCAAAACCCTGTTGTCTTTATATCACCGAGGCAACGCGGTAATGCTTGTCTGAGAGGGCCCCCCCCCCCCCCCTTTTCGGACGGCCTCGACCAGCCCATGCGTAGGAACTGACACCGCAACCCTATCCTGAGCGACCTTCAACCGCTCTGCCCCCCCCCCCCGCTTCCTCCGATTCCATCGTCGCAAGTGCGCGTTTGAACAAACGTCGTATCAGACTTTCTTTTTCTCCACTGTCCATGCTGCAGCAGGGAAAGGGGTAACCCTGCCATTTGGCTCAGCTCACCCGGACGATAGCTTCCAACACCGTCATCCCCAGCTTTCCCCTCAATCCTAACAGCAACGTTCCCCAGACCGCCTCTTCGTGTCACTCATTCGTGGCGTTGAGCACCATGTGCACCATTCTTCTCCTCATCCTTGTCATGACAAGGTTGCTCGCCCCTCCCATCCTTTCCGTAATCCCTTCAAAATACAATAAGCTCGTTTACTCTCCGCTTCCTACTTTCCTGCTCCACGGTTGCAACAGTCGTTTGCGTGCGGGACAAAACACTGATCAACCCCACGTAGATGCAGTGATACACCATGTCTTCCTCTTCACCTCTGCCCCACCACACCTTCGAAGGCCGCTCGACAGCCAGAGAGGCGCTGGCGGTGAAATGTCCATGATGTTCTTCGTCCAGCCGGATTGCCCCTCCAGATTCGCCCACCAAGACGAGCATCGCATCAGAGGCCTCAACGCCGAGACCATGGCCCACGTCTTCCTGCCTCCTCCGTCGTGGTTGCTCACTGCGGAATATGCGCCTCTCCGATCGGATACCGACGACTCCGCGACATCCATCTTCTTCAGCCTCAATCTCTCAATTTACAATCAGCCAGTTGTCGCCTCCGAATGGACCGAAGAGTGGTTTTTCATGAATGGCCGCGTCCATCCCTACGCCCTTGCGTGGGAGGTCGAGCAACGAGACGGTCTTGAGTCTGGCGCCGGAGGCATCCTTCTCTACACTATGCCCGCCCTTATCATCCGCGACCAAGGCTACCAGCCGTAAGGACTACCAATTCCTCCGCGCACACCTCGAGCACTAAATTTAGCTGAAATGGGCCTCAAGCGTTCTTCCTAGGCTCTTTGCCTCCATGGACAGCTTCCCCGTATCCCGCCCATCGTTTCCTTCACCGGCCTCATCGTTGGCCCGGCCACTCCTGCTACGACAGGACCTTCTGCCAGGTCTGGACGCCACCCAGCTGAGGTGCTGCGGCTTCCTCCAGCTTTCGACCTATATCACTCCCGGGATCCCTGACAAGATCCTCTCAGGGCTTCCACCCGTTTCAGGTCTTCGTCATCTTCCCCATCCGCGCCAACCCGTGGGCCATCCTTTGCAAGAAGATGGCCGAGAGGCGGGACTCTCAATTCCATACTAATATCTCCTTCACCTGCACGGGCAAGGTCGCTGGCCTCCTCGATCACCGCGTCATGGTCCACCAGCCGAGCTCCGACAGAGACTACATCTTCATCGTCGTCCCGGATTCTTGGACTTTTCTCGACAAGACCGCCACCACCGCAGCCGCGTCGCCAGCCCTCACATCGCCACCGAAGCGGCAACCGTCCTCCGCTTCGGCGGCCTTCCAGGATGCCCGCGCTGCCTCTTTCTCTGTCGCTACACCTGGCGCCCTCCGCCGAGTCCTCCGCCTTCGGCTTCGACTTCGGCTTCGGCCGATCCCGTTACACCGCTGCAGAAGCGTCCTTGTCCCGAGCCCGCCGACACGCCAACGAAGAAACCGCGCCTGTTGCAGCTGGCCTCAAAACCTTCCTCATCGGCCGCCACTGGAAGCTCTGCCACTCAATCGTTCTCTCTTTCCGCTGCCTCTTCTTCCTTCGAGCCGGAGACGATGAGACAGAGTCCTGCCTCGGGAACCGTCTTGGGACCCGCCGTTGATTCGATCGTTGCCTACACGTCAGACTCATCGGCCCGGCCGCTCAGAAACCGCCACCCAGGCCAAAGGACAATGGAAACAGAGTAACTGCTTGATATAATAGTCTACCGATATAAGTTACAACATTCACAGAAAAGTGATTCAGTTCCATGCTTTATCTTGCTTCTTAGCAAATATCTACACCGAGCTGCAATCTTACAACACTCCGTCCACAACTTCGGATCTCGTCGTCATTCCCTTCCAGACCTTCCCTCTCTAGTGATCTTCTCTCGGCACGCATGCCTTTTTGTGAACCTTCCAGTCCGCCTTTTGGTGTTCTTTCCCGCAGTATGCCACTGCATGACATCTGCCGCAGCGACTCACGCCCGCGGTCGTCCCGCATACTTTGCACAACGTGACCTCCGTGCAACCAGTGCGTCCTAAGAACTCGTCACGTGTTTCGTGCTCTTGCCGCATTTCCCCCATCATCAGTTGCATTTCCTGTCTCATTTCCACCTCGCACTGCCCGCTTCCGCATAAAGATGTGACCCAAACTATAATGCGAGCTTCGTCCGCGTGCAGCAAAGATATTGGACTCTGTAGGATATCTGTCGCAAACCGCCCGCAGCATTCGCAGAAAGCCCCGACGCGCTGCGACATGCTGATTCATGCTCCTTCATAAGAGGCATCATGGCCTGTGCAAATTGTTCCTTGTATTCAGCATCCTCTCCGGCGCGGTTTGCGCCGGTGATGACGGGCAATGCCGTGGCTGCGTATGAATTGCTTGGCACCGATTTGGCATTCGAATCGACCGTGGACGTTGCCATAACTGACTTGGCCGTGATTTAGATGCTATGGGTGATAATGCGTAGGTAGGCACGTATGATGAGAAGGACGGGAAAGCCCGTGGCTCGGGATCGGATTCTACTTGTCCGATCTATTGTATCGGCTCTTCCACCCATCCCTTCTCACCTTCGCCTTGCTTTTCTTGACACGTTGTGCTGCATGACACGTTGGCGCGCGCTCCCAAGGCCTCTACGTTTCGCCCCAACCGGCCGTCGCGCAATGCAAGCTACTGCGGGAAGGAATTGCCGGTTACCTAGTGCCGCAACCACCACAAAATTTTTCAAATAGATGACTCTCTCCAACGTCATCTCATCCAACGTCATTTTCATGTGTTAACTCAATCCTCCAACTTTCGTTCCGAAAGGCTCTTTGCGCAACCCCCGTTGGGTTGCCTCTCCTGTCGTCTTGAACGATTGCTTTTCGGTTGGCCTACAAGTTTGCCTTTTCCCCCTCTTTTGTGTCCTTTTTCATCCCGCTTTCCTGTTGGCCATAACGTACCCCACTGCGTCATGCAACGCACTAGGTCATGCAACAATTTTCAACACCTGACGCGTCTTCTTCAAATTGACGCGATATGGACCACAACACTCGTATTGCAGAGGCAATTATAGAACTGCAATCCCAAGATCGCCCTAAATATGCAGAGACCGCGAGGAGATACAATATCGACAAATCCACGCTGTGGCGCCGCTTCAAAGGCAAAACAGCCTCAAATCACGACGCGAACTCTTACTCGCGACAGAAACTCACCAGCGCGCAGGAGGAGATTCTTATTGGGCACGTCAATAAGCTGACCGACCGTGGTATCCCGCCTACCCCTCAGATGTTGAAGAATATCGCCGAAGATCTAGATCATCAGCGGAAGGCTGCTGATAATTCAGGCATTTCAAAACTTCTTCAATCTAGTAAGACTGCTTTTATCGTCATTTCAAGGGGTATACTGCCGACAATACTCGGTCAAATGCCGTAAAGTCGCCATTTCTGACCGAATCCAACTAACTCCGCGAAAAGATCGAAAAGTACAACATCAGTCCCTCAAATGTTTATAATTTTGACGAGAAGGGATTCCAAATTGGTCTCTCTCGCTCCACCAAGCGAGTTGTCCCCCGAGAAGCCCTCAGGCGCGGAAAACTGGTCGGGGCAAGCCAAGACGGGAACCGGGAGTTCATCACGCTGATCGCTGCCATATGTGCAGATTATTCGTACCTGCCACCGGCCCTCATTTACAAAGGGGAGTCAAAAGACTTCCAAGATACTTGGCTTGAGGATTTTGACCATTCCAGCGAAGTAGCCTTCTTCGCCAGTACGGAAAACGGCTGGAGCTGTGATGCACTGGGTTTACACTGGCTTCAGCGCATATTTGACTGCCATACGAAGCAAAAGGCTGGTCGTGCCTACCGTCTCTTAATTTTAGACGGTCACAATAGTCACATTAACCTGAAATTCATTGACTATGCCGATCGGAATCGAATTCTCATTGCTGTGTTGCCATCGCACTCAACTCATCGGCTTCAACCACTCGATGTTGGCCTGTTTCCGCACTCTCCACCTATTATGCTCAAGGTTCCGACCAGCTGATGTCCATTGGATGGGGGTTAATTCGCCTTACCAAACGGAATTTTTGGCCACTCTTTCGTGATGCGTGGAACCAGGCATTTACGGCCAAAAATATCGAGGCTGGTTGGCGGGCCACAGGAATCCATCCACTCGACCCCGGCAAAGTATTGTCCAAGATTAGCCACAGCAGTGATGTGACACCCCCACAAACTGCATCTGAGGAAAGGGCGATGAAGACTCCAGGCTCTCTTCGGGCTATTCGGCGCATTACCCGCCGTCTCCGCAAGGAAGGGCTGATGGACTCCCGAGTCACAGCGCTCTCCCGAGCATCAGAGAAACTGGCGACACAATATGAGCTCGTACAACACGAAAATCGAGATCTACAGGAAGCGCTCAAACTTGCACATAAAAAAGGGAAACGCAGAAAGGCCTTGGGCCTTTTCAATCCAGAAGAAATGGTGGCCAGCCGGTCTTTTTCAGTCCAGCCAAGGTGGAACTGGCGCGGCGACGTCAGACGGACAAGGCACAGGCCGACGAGCAGCGCAAGCAAGCCATTGAAGATCGTCGACTCCAGGTAGCCATATCACGTGAAGAAAAGGCTCGAGAATCCGCCGAGAAGAAAAACAGCGGGCTGCAATGCGTCAGGCCTTGCGAGAGCAGCGTTCTCGAGAGAAGACAGAGCGTGCTGCGGAGCGCGAGGCAAAGCGAGCTGAGAAACGGGAGGCCGCAGCAAAATTAAAAGCAGAGAGGTCTGCACGCGAGGCTGAACGCCAGGCTATTCGGGAAGTCAAGTTTGAGGTAGCTGCTACGTCAAAGCCTGGTGTAAGAGGGCACAAAGACATGGTAGCGGTGAGAAAAACGAGGGCGTTGGAAGCGGGTTTGCGCGACGGGCATTCAACCACGCAACAACTCGGAGGAAGAAAGGGTAAAGATTGGTTCTGAAGCTTCAGTGGCTCGAGACCACAGTCCCGGAGCTTTAGGGGTAAAGACATACCTCCCGTTCGACGGAAGCGCAGGGAAGTATGGAGGCCGGTTTCTCAGTCTCTCAGGTCTGGGCGGACCACAAGACCGCCTGCTCATATTTCCTAAGAAAACCATCATATAGATAGACTCTGTATGAAGTGTTTCACATAATTGTAATGTTTAATAGTATTTTAAATGGTTGTGTCGGTTGCAGGATTAATTTTCGCTCTGGCTTGCCGGTCGGGCAATTTGTTGCATGACGTGGTGCGTTGCATGACTCAGTGAGGTACGTTAACTGACGCATATGATGCGAAGAACACTAGAACAGCAAGTAGGCCACTCAAGGCCGAATTCTCTACGCCTTATTTTATCCCCTCTTCCTCCATCACTTCTCATCTTCTCCTTGCTTTTTATTCACACGTATTGCTGCATGACATGACTGACAGCTTGGCGCCCGATCTTCTTCGCCCCAATCACCCGTCGCGCGATGCAAGCTACTGCGGAAAGATTTTTCCGTGCCAGTGATGCCGCAACCACCACAAAACCTTGAAACATCAAACAGACAGATAAATCCCCCTTTTCAGCCTCAAATTTCAACCACAAACTTTCGTTCCTCAAGGCTCTTTGCGCGAGCCCGAGGCGAGCCTTCTCCTGTACCCGTGCCTTGAGGAACGAAGTGAGGTACGAACGTAGTGACGAAAGGTTCTTGCCCTGCGAAGGTATGGGCAAAAATTTCCAGCCCTCTTTCCAGCCCTCTGATTCGCTGCCGTCTGCGTGGCCCTCTGATTCGCTGCCGTTCTTGCCCTTGGTTGGATATGTTTCACCCCTTGCGCGCGCTTTGAGGCGTCTTCCTCATTGGTCTTTTGCTCTCTTTTCGACCTCTTTAGGACCTTCCTTCTATTGGTCTATCTAGTCTATGGTTTGGCTGCTGGCCGTATCCTTCCTTTGTGTTGCCGCAATCCTCTAGGACGATAGGACATGTCTTCCCTCGCCTTAAACATAATGCCAATGCCGCCTACCCTTGGCTACGGAGCAGGCTACCTGCTTCCCGTATCGTCCGCCCACTTAGCTCCTCTAGCCGCGCCTGCGCCGCCGTCATCTCCTCTGGCACCCGGTTCCCTATAAAGTCCCGCTCCCGCACCTCCGAAACGAGCGTGATGCCGTCGAGCGTCGGGCACCGCGAGAGCTGCACGTAGAGGCTGTACGGGTCGCACGGCGACGCCACCGCCCTGCCCTCGACCGTCGCCGTCCTCGCCCCCCGCAGCTCGAGCGCGACGCGCTCGATCGTCCCGCCCTGCACCTTGTAGTCGGTGCAGGCGAAGGCCGCGGCGCACGGTAGGCCCCGCCGGCTAACGTCGTTGCGCTGCCACGACCGCTTCCGCTGCGCCGTGATCTTCACGCTAATGGGCGTTAGCAGGATCGTCCCCGCCGGCATCCCGACGAAGTGGAAGTCCTTGGTCGTCTCCGACGCCAACACCAGGCCCGCCGGCGGCCCGAAGTGCACTGTTAGCTCCGCCGAGACCTGGTGGCCAGGAAAGGCGCGGTCTGGGATCACTGCCACCGCCGTATACCCGGCGCCGTTCACCACCTTTAGCCCCTGGTGCGTGTTCTGGTTTACTACGACCGGCATCCCGGGCACGAAGAGGAAGACGGCCGGCACCGCCGTCGCGCTGTCGTCGCCCTGGCCGAGCATCAGCACCGCCTCCTCCTCGCTCGGCTCGCCCCCCTTCCACTTATGCTCGGAGAGGAAGACGCGCGCCGCCGTCCGCTGCTGGGCCCGGAACGCGAGCGCCGCCTCGAGGTTAAGGTTCCAGCGGTTACGGTTGAGCGGCGTCACCACCGTCACCCCCGTCTCCCACGCGATCCGCCTGCCGGGCCGGTGGCACCTCGAGTTGAGCAGCTCCATGTCCGACCGGTCCTGCTCGCCGCGCCGGATCCGCCCGAGCAGCCGCTGCAGCTCGGGGTCGCCGGCGGCCCGCATCTGCTCGTCGAGCATGACGACCGTCGTGAAGCGACGCCATAGCGCGTGTGCCTTGTCGTGCTGCCGCCGCCTGCTCGGCCGCGAACGCCCCGTCCTCGTCCCACGCCACCGCCGCGCTCGGCAGCAGGATCGACCGCTCCTGCACCGGCCGGAACTGGTGAAAGTCGCCGCAGAAGATCACCACCGGGATACCGCCGAAGTCCCGCGCCGACCCCCGTAGCCGGCAGAGCCGCTCGTTTGCGGCGTGTAGCGTGCGCGCGCCGAGCATGCTGACCTCGTCGACCACCAGCACCTCCTTCTCCCGCCAGTCCATACGCGACCGACCGTCGACGAAGCGCTCGCCCGCGCCCGGCAGCCGCACCCCGTCTAGCTCCCTCGTTAGCCCTCCCGCCTGGCCAACCGTGAGGCCGCAGGCCGAGTGTAGCGTGATGCCGTTGATTCGCGCTGCTGCTGTGCCTGACGTTGCCGTGACGAGCATCTGGCTCGATAGGTCCCTTCGGCTGAGTAGCTCCATCAGCGCCTCGATGACGCGTGACTTGCCGGTGCCGCCCTCGCCGCCGATAAACAGGCAGAGCTGGCCATCGCCGTCGTCGCCTGCTACTTCGGCCCGCCGGACCCGGTCGAGCTGCCGGCAGACGACGAGGAGGGCGATTGACTGCTTCTCGTTTAGCGTCAGCTCCTTGGCTAGCTCCTGGCCGGCGGCGACGAACGAGCTCGATGGGCCAAGCCGTACGCGCATCCTCGCCGCCGGGGCTGCCTCCAGGTCGCCGTCGGCCGCCGTCACGTCCAGGTCGTCCTCGCCGAAGCCCCCCATAACCCCACGCAGCGCCGCGTCGCGGTCAGCCCCGGCGCCTACGGTTGCCCTGCCACCCTGGATGCCCTGGATCGCCTGCTCCCGCTCCCGCGCGGCGCTCCTTTGCTGCGACTTGACGGCCCGTAGCTCTTCCTGCCGCGGTAGCGCCGCCCCTGAGAGCTCCGAGCCCTCTAGGTCCACGCGTCTACGTACCCTCTCCTCTCCTACTACCGTTGCCGCGAGCTCGGCCGCCGACCCGAGCGCCGACTGCTGGAACCGGCAGAGCTGCCGCGCCATCGCCAGCAGCTCCGTCGACTGCGCCGTCACCTGTCCAGCGGCGGCGGCGTGACGGACGACGTCGATGAGCCGGGCCGTGTCGCCTGCCCCACCGGCGCGGTACGCCCCCTCGCCGTCCTCGGCAGCCTCGCCGCCCTCCCTTTCCGCCCGCGCCGCCGTCAACTCGCCTTCCTCGGACGTGGCGGCCCACTGCTTGGCGTCGCGCTTCGCGTCCTCCGCCGACCTCCGAAGGAGCTGCACGTTCTCCGCCAGCCGGCCAACCCTCGGTGTTAGCAGCCCCCGCGCCCGCGCCCAGATACCATTAATATCGCCCGCTTCCTCGCTAAGAAACGTCCCCCACGGCACGAAGAGCGCGAGGTGCTGTACCGCTGCCCTATATTTGGTTAGCAGCGACCGTATCACTTGCGGCCATCTTGGCGGGTGCTAGTCTCCATCTCGCGATACGCACCTCTGGTAATAAGGGTCCTCGTCTTCCTCGCTAAAATCCTTACTCACGTATCCGTCGAGGCATACGATCGCCCACTTGGCCGGCCGCCTAAGCGCCTGTACCCAGCCCTTCCCTAACGCCCAGCTCTCAACGAAAGGCATCTCACCCCAGCCCAACCTACCATCCACGCCAGCATCGTCCCGCCTCTTTAGCCTGACTAGTGATGCGTAGTCATAAAGGCACAGTCCCTGTAGGAGCTCGCCTCTATGCTGGTAGGCCTCGACGAGCGGCAGCCTTGGCCCCGCTGCCTCGACGACGACCGTCTCGTCCGGCGCGTCGCCCATCGCCCCCGCGCCGCTTACCTGTCGGAGGTGTTGCCACCGGCGGAAGACGGCCCAGTAGAGCTGGTTCACGTTTATATATGCCCACGCTGCGCCGTTGCTAAATTCGGCCGGGTACCCTAGAAGGTGCGCTATTACCTCGACCTGCGATAGCGACCGCTCTGTAAAGACTCGATTCGCTGCCTTTAGTAGGAATACCCGAGTCTTGTTTTCCTGTACTGGGTCCGCCGCTACCTCATCTCTAGACCCGGTCCCCTGGCCGGCGTCGCGGTCAGTGCTAGTATCATCGCTCTCTGCCGTCGGCTCTAACGTAGGCAGCAGCTCGGCAGCGGCGGCTACCCGCTTCCATATAGGGTCCTCGACCTTTGTCGCATAGTTGGTGATGTAGTAGATCAGGGCCATGGTCTTGCGCTGGGTCGCGATGAACGATATGTCGTGGTTATGCCGCAGCCCGACCGCCATCGCCCTGTTCCACCGGTTCACCATGCTATGCGTCCGCCGGACCTCGAGCACCCCGTCCGCCGTCAACGCCGTCCTCTCCACCAGCCTCCATGGCGCCTTGAACCGGCAGAGGTCCCCCTTGCGCGCGCCGCCCCCGAGGGAGTACTTTACGCAGGTCGCGCTATGCGTGTGGACCTGCGTCGCGCCCGCGCAGAAGTTGGCCTCCTCATCGAAGGTGTCCATGAAGCGGGCAACGTCGTCGAGCCGCGACGATATATCTGCCGTAGCCGACCGCTCCGCCTGAACCGCGCAGTAAGCCTCTGCGTCTAGCTCCTACGCCCCTAAGTTAGCCTTGGCTCCTGGGCCTGCTATGGTTTGGCCACTCGGTCGCCTTACCTCGGAGAAGACGCTATCTATATATCGGACGATCCGCTCCCGGTACGCCGCCTGCTCTCCCCTGTCGGCGCCCGCGATCGCCTCGCCGAGGCCCCTGTTGCCCTTGAGCCAGAGGAGCCCGTGGACGTGGAGGGCCCCTCGCTCGTTGGTCTCCACGGCCCCGTAGTAGGCCCCGACGTGCCCGAACACCGACTCCTCCCCGGTCCTAACGTAGTGTTCGAAGAAGAGCGTCATTTCCCGGTGGAAAAAGACGGCCGAGCTCATCGGGTCCGAGATGGCCAGCTGTGTCCGCTTATACGCGGTCCCTAGGTCTCTTAGGAAGGCCTCGGCCACGTCGGGGTCGCGGCCGCGGTGCGCCGCTAGCCGTAGCTTCACTAGGTTCGTGATATCGTTCGGGTTCAGCGTGAACCAGATGACTGGCACCCCGTACCTAATGATAAGCGAAAGTATCTTCTTCCGCATGCTAAGTCGGCTTTCCCTCGACATTGGTTGCCTATGCCCGAATACCGAGAGGGACCGTAGTAGCTCCGTTACCCCTTCGTCGCTAGTCTTACCCGTAGCTTCGAGCTCGACCCTCGCCGCCTCGAGTCTCTGCGCCGTTAGCGACTTTAGCAGGCTCTCGACCTTTGGGAAGTTCTTCCTTGTCATGCCTAGCATGCTGGCCTGGCGGTTCCTAGATCGCACGCTCATATTAAAGACCAGGAAGGCGAAGATGGGATGTGTTGCGAACCGGCCGCCGTGGCGCCGCAGCACGATGTCGGCCCATGCCCTTAGCCTCATGTTCCGCGTCGACGTGAGGCCCTCGGCGACCCGCTCCGCCTCGGCGCCCCGTGATCCGGCGCCGCTGGGGGCCGTGCCATCGCCCGCGCCGGCCTCGTCGGCGAGCCTCGGGCCGCCTAGCCCGAAGGGGAAGAGGGTCGGGAAGGCCTTGGCGAAGAAGGACGCGTCTGCCGAGTCGGCAAATTCGTCCCCGCGCCGCACCTGTATGTAGGGCTCGCTGTCGCCGCCGTCGCCGCCGCTCCCCGCCGCCGCTCCCGTCGCCGTCTTAACCCATGTCCTCGGGCCTATATTGGTCCCGATAGCTTCGCGGGCGAAGCGGATCTTATCCGTGTCCGCCACCTCGGGCGCCCCGTCGAGGGGGAACATGCTCGACGACGTTACCTCATTAATGATGTCCCCATCCTCTTCGGGCCTAGCGTCTTCTGCGTTCTCGCCGCTACCCTCGCCCTCTCGTGTGAGCGCGACGTCGCCTCTGCCCTCTGCGGGGTCCCGGCCCTGCCTTAGCATCGCGAGCACCTCTTCGATCCCGACGGCGCCCTCGTCGTCGAGGGCCCGCTCCGTCGGCGGCACCACGTGCGCCGTCCGCGTCCTCTCCCGCGCCGACGGCTCGTCCCGCTCGAGCCGCTCTAGCACCGCCGCCGGCACCCCGTGCGCTGGCTCGCCCCAGCTGTCCATCTCGGCCGTGTCGATCTCGACCTCGCCGTATAGCGGGTTGTTCTCCTTGAGCCAGGCCAGCGCCCTCTCGACCGCCCGCCGCCGCACAGACAGCAGGCCCGATAGGTCCCGCGGCCCGGGCCTCTCGGCGCCCTGCCATGAGACGTGGATCTCGTCCATGACCCGGAGTAGTGGGTGCGGGAGCACCTTGGTCGCGAGCCCCTGGACGTCGTTGGGGAATACCGTGATGTGGCCCTTGACGTGCCTCGGGTACCTCACGCTCTGCCTCTGGCCGCCGGGGATGCTATACTTGGTCACGAAGCCGTAGCACGAGCTGAGCGCGATCAGCTTCTCCTCGACCGGCGTCAGGTCCTTGAGCTCGTCGGGATACGCGTGCTCGCAGCCGAGCCGCCGGTGGAGATGCATCGCCGCCGATGCGCCGTCGCGCCCGACCTGCCGCGCGCACTCGGCGCACACCGCCACCGGCGTGCCCTCGGGGAAACAGCTGCGGCAGCCGAACGGGGTCCGCTCGCCTGCCTGTGCCGCGCCGCTCCGCGACCAGCCCTCCCACGCCATCTCCCTGAGCTCGACCCTGGCCTGCTTCCGGTAGCAGAGCGTGCATGTGGCGATCGGTAGCGTGCCGGCGTCGTGGAACGCCCGGTAGAACCTCTGCACCGTCCTGACCTCCCTTTCGCGCGGCACCGGCGCGCACCACGCCCGCTCGTCGGCCAGCCTCTCGCCCGCCTCGAACTCCTCTTCGAGGCCCCGCAGCACGTCGGCCAGGTCCTCGGCCTGTACCTCCCGTGGCCTCGGCCTTATCCGGACACCGCGGCTCCGCTTCGCCTCAGTCTGTCCGCTAGCAGTATTGCCCTTCCTCTTCTGTCCGTCGCGAGGTAGTGGCCCTTTTCTTGTCCCATCTATACCCTATTAGTTATCTCTATACGCGCACCTCCGTACCCTTTAGGAGACGTACCTTCGCGTTGGCCTTCTATTCCTCGGCCGCGCCCTGCTGCCTCGCCCGTGTTCCCTATAGCGCCCTCCGATACTGTTCCCGGCTGAGGTAGGATATCCCGGGGGGGCTGCTGGGTCGTGGCAGGGTCTGGACGTGCGCCCGTCGTGCGGGATGCGCGGCGACCATTGATTGCCTCTGTTTCCTGACTACCCGGGCCACGCTTCCTCTTCTGCCTCCGTCTCGGAGGTAGGCCTCTCATTGCTTCACCTATATTACGTTAACCACTACTGTCTCTTAACTAACCCTGGTATCCCGCTTAGAACCTTTACCAGCACGTTGGCCATCTATTCCTCCAACGGGCTGTGCGCTCTCGGCGCCGTCCCCTACGGCGCCCTGGGGCCCGCCCTGGGGCCGCGGCAGTATGCTTTGTGGCTGTCTTTGCCGTGCTGTTGTACCTATGCCTGAGACCGCCGCGCTCGACGGCTCTGCTGCCGGTGCCGGAGCCGCTATCGGCTGCGGTTGGATATCCCGGAACAGCGGCTGCTGGCTCCTGTCGATCTGCTGCCTTGGGCGCCCCGGCTTCCTCCCCGACCGGGCCGCGGCGCTCCGGCCGGAGCTTGGCGGCGTGGGAAGCGGACCGCCCTCGCCCTCGCCGCCTTCTCTGGCTTTCACCTTCCGCTTTGGCTCTGGCGTTGACGGCGTCGTCTCGCCCCCCGTCACCGTCAGTTCTGTTGTGCCGGGGGTCCTCCTACCCGCCGCCGCCGTCGACGTCGCCGTACCCGCCCCAGCCGCGTCGGTCGCCTCCCCTCGATTCCTCGCCGGCCGGCCGCCCCGCCGCCTTCGCCGCGCCAGCACCAGCCTTAATACACTCTTAAGTGCCCCTTGCTGGGCCTCTATCTCAGGCCCTAGCGCTGCTGCTATCGGCCTAAACCTTATCTCTGAATACTGTGCTCTGGGTGCCTCCAGCGCCGGGGCTGCGCCGCTCTTGGCCCCGTGTTGCCCTTCTATACTGGCTGGCTTCATCGTTGTGGATATTACTACCTCTGTTTCCTGTGCTCTCTCGGCCTTGCCTATTTACTATATCACTTTAACCCCCCCTCTTCGCTATGCTCCAGCTCGGCCTATGCTTTCTACATAGCACATGCTTCTTGATCACATATCTATATGCCCTTGGCCTCCCGACTTGGCATGTTCTTACGTATGCTACTTACTTACTATTGTTTACGCGCTAGCTATTTATGGTCTTAACTGACTGGCGCCTGCTGCCCTACCCCGCGGCTTATACGGCCTCGGCTGTTCCCTAGACGTAGGTCCTATTAATAGCTTCTCGTCCTTACTTGCCTATTCGCTACGCTTTCCCTCTCCTTTCCTAGGACCCTTTAGTGTACGTCGACGTCTATCCCTAGGCGCTTATATCCCCTACTTTAATTCCATGTCTTATATATGTCACAGACCATACTATGCCTTTTCCTTAACTTCTGTTTCAAGACCCCGTGGCTTCTTGGTAGACCGCCTACTATATCTTTCCTACACCTTGCCCTTATTCTCTTTACCCTTATCTATCTCTTTTCCTTTACCTATTAAGGTATACAACTACTATTCGTTATAGCCCGCCTGCTAATTCTTTATACCTTTGCCTTTAGGACCTTACTGACCCTATCCATATTGCGCTTCTTGAGGCGATATAGCGCTGGTTAGACTTCTTTACGGTCTATATACTTATGTATGGCTTTCCTGCTATAGCTTACTAGTTAACTGACCTCCCGCTTTGAGGCTATCATGTCCCCGACGTTGCCTCCTACCGACTCTCCGCCACACCTTCGCAGACCTCTTGCCGGCAACAAGGGCGCCGGCGGCGACATGACCATGATGTTCTTTGCCCAGCCCGACTGCCCCGTGAGGTTCGCCCACCAGGACGAGCATCGCGTGAAGGGCCTCAACGCCGAGGCCATCGCCCGCGTCCTCCTGCCCATCCCCTCGTGGCTGCGGGCGCTCGAATACGATCCCTTGCGGGCCCGGGGGGACGATGCTGAGGTCTCGTCTCTTTTCTTTAGCTTGAATCTCTCAATCTACGGCGTGCCGGTCGTCGACTCGGATTGGACTGAGCAGTGGTTCTTCATGTCCGGCCGCGTCCACCCCTACGCCCTTGCCTGGGAGATTGAGCGCCGTGATGGTCTCGAGGCCGCCCCGGGCGACACTCTCCTCTACACGATGCCCGCCCTCGTCGTCCGCGACCAGGGCTACCAGCCGTGGGCCTTCCCTCTCTTCTCTTCGCCGCCCTGCTAATATCTTCCCTAAGCGTCCTCCCGCGCTCCTTGGCGTCCGACCATCAGTTCCCGTCGACGCCTCCTGTCGTCTCCTTTTACGGCGTCGTCGCCGGCTCCGGACTTGACCTCCTCCATGCTGATCTTCTTCCTGGTCTCGGCTCCGACCAGCTCCGCTGCTGCGGCCTGATCCAGCTGTCGACTTATATCGCCCCCGGCGTCCCGGACAAGGTTCCCTTCAAGGGCTACCACCCCTTTCAGGCCTTTGTAATCTTTCCCATCTATGCTAACCCTTGGCTTATCCTGTGTAAGAAGCTGGCCGAGAGATCTACCTCTCCCTTTCTGCCTGGTACCCCCTTTACCTGTACCGGTAAGGTCGCTGGCCTTCTCGATCACGGCATTATGTGTAGTCCCCCCGGCTCGGACCGCGATTACGTCTTCATCGTCGTCCCGGATAGCTGGTCTTTCCACGATAGGTCTTCATCCGCCGCTACTGCCTCCGCTTCCCCACAGGCCGCGACCCTAAGACGCCAGCCCGCTTCTGCCTCCTCTGCATTCGAGCTTGTCCGCGCCGCCTCCTTCTCGCTTGCCACGCCACCTTCGACCGCGCCGCCCACGCCTTCCAAGGTTCCCGGCCTGCCTGCCGTCACCCCTGTGACGCCGCCGCCTAAGCGTGCTTGCGCGCCTGTGGCCGACTCCCCCCTGAAGAGGACGCGCCCCCAGTATTCGTTTCCTTCCTCCTCTTCGAGCACTGTTAGCTCTGCTACTACTTCCTCCTCGCCCCCGCTATCCGCCTCATCGTCTAGGCTTCCCGGAGAAGCGCCCGCTACCGCCTTGTCCGCCGCGCCTACTTCCCTTGACTCTATCGTCGCTAGCACTTCTGACCCGCCAGCCCGGCCCCTCCGCCAACGCATGCAGAAATAATCCTAATATAAACCAACTTACTTTATCTCAACTATACTCTCTAAAAATAATAAACCTATACCTATGCTCTCGCTATACTATGAATACAAAATACTTCTAGCTCTATTCTATTCCCTATATGTAACTCCTCTTCTATTATTCTTTTCCCCTTCTATACTCTTCTTCATGGCTTTCCTTACCTCTACCTGTGTCTATTCTTTTCTTCCCGCACTGGTCGTAATCTTCGTTCCGAAAGGCTTATTGCGCAACCCGTGCGGGGTTGCCTTACCTGTTATCCAGAAGTATCGCGACGACATTATCCGGAAGTTTAATTCAGCCCGAAGGGCGTTCTACTCAGTCAGAAAGATTCGAGCATAAAACCTCCTCTGATTGGCTAATTGGCCTGGCCTGTGCTCAACTCGTGCGCGGATTGGTCGACCGATAACGCCACCAAATGAAGGCCCGCAAAAATTACCCCTGAGCGTTGACTAGGTAACTAGCCAGCCTGGCAAGCTCTCCAAGAGCTTTCTTTCAGTTCTTCCATTCTTCGGCACTCTTCACACTAACTAACCTACATGGCGGCTGCTTCCCTGTTCTGCCCAATATATCAAACTCATCAGGTTACTAACGGTACATAGGTTCACATATTACCTCGGCAGCCGGCCCACCTCCCAATATTCTTCGGTAATTCTGCCTCATCTAGCAGTCTGGTGGGTAAGAGGTGGATACATACATATACGGCCAGATGGAGGACGACATACCCCAGGCAGTTCGGAATTGCCATACCTGCAAGCAAGACCTGCCCGAAGTCGAATTTCGAAGCGTCAAGGACCCTACGAAGTTTACAAGAGACTGTGCTAGCTGTAGGGCACGCCGAAAGGAACGGGTTACCGAATCTCGAGCCGCCGTTGCCGCAATGCGGAATTTCGCTTTGAGGCTATCGCCACGCAGAGCCACGAAACGGACCGATTCTCTAGCTAACCTGACGCCTTCAAGGCGGACTGCGCCAACGCCTGCCTGTGTGCAAGCCTTACGACCCCCTGCCACATCAACTTTATGCCGTGCCCTGGCACCCGCACTCCAGGGACTGCCTAGACCTCTGCCGAGGCCATCTACCTCAAGCGCGGTAGAGGGACCTTCCCCCACCCCTCCTACCTTTGGCCTGCCAACAGTAGTTCTGGGCACGCCGATTCCACAAACGCCAATTCCTCAAGGCACTCTTCAATCGGCTTCTGTTGTGCAAGGCACGCCTATACCACAGGAATCTCTTCCCCCGCTTCGTACCCCTCCTTCATTACTGCCACAGAGTCATCGCCGCGGCCGCTATACACGTCGAGTCAACATTAACCCCCGGCCACGGCCACAGCCTGAAGAGCGACAGTTCGATCAGATAGTTGATCCGCCTTTTACAGGGGACCTTGACTTACCTGCCCTTAGTGAGGGGGATCAAGCCCTTGTGCGCGAGTTCTATACTGCTCTGAATGACGACAAGATGCATAGTTGCATTCGCTGCCAGGAGCGTTGGTTCGATATGAAGCGAAATAGCTTGAAAATCTGCAGTCGCTGCATTGGTCGAGACAGGAAGAAAGCCCCTAACGAACCGTACTTCTTTAGCGCTGCGAATCACCTTGACTTTGGGAAGTCCCCGCCGATCTACCTGATCTAACGATGGTCGAGGAGATGCTCATTGCTAGAGTTCACGTACACGTGAAAGTCCTGCAGGTGCGTGGCGCTCAGTATAAATATCGCGGTCACGTTGTCCACTTCCTTCGCAATGTTGGCAGGCTTTTTGAAGAGCTCCCAGTCCTACCTGAAGAGCTAGATATCATCCTCCTGCGGCCTCCTAATATAGAGGGCGACCCTCGCTTCCGGCAACAGTTTGCTCGCGATTTCCGGGTACGTCGCTCATGCCTGTCGGCCTGGCTGCATTACCTACAGCGTCACCACCCGGGCTATCGCGATATTGTTGTGAGCCAGAATCGCCTGCAACGGATTCCTCTTGATGGCAGCATAGTTGCTTCCATTGCCAGCCAAGTGGCTGACATACCTGACGGCGAAGTCCCCCAGGGCCCCGTTGAGGAGGTTGTGGAAGAGGACCCAAGCGATGCCGATGCATCAGCGATCCCGAATTTGCAGGTCACTGATACCGAATTGAATGCTCTGCAGTCCCGATTTCTTGATGGGACCCTAACCTGAGCGCATGACTGATCTGGAGTATATGCCGCGTAGCGCGCAGGCTCACCACCAGATGCCACTGCCTTCCATTCGCAGGACCCCTATCGACGAATTCAACCGTTCTCAGCCGCTTTTATCGCTTGCGTTCCCTACCCTCTACCCCGACGGCAAGGCCGACTTCGTGGAGCCTCGCCTACGGAGCATCACGTACCAGGACTACCTTGCCCACGCGATGAGATGGCATGACGGACGTTTTGCCCGCCATAAGACGTGGCCTTTCGTCGCCCTCAACACGATGTTACGTGCGCAGGTCCGAAAGAGAAGTGACTACTTCGTCAAGCAACGCGACAGCCGCCGTCAACCCCTTACACGCGCCGACCTAGAGGAAGCGATGGCTGGGCCTGACGAGCCGGAGGCTCAGGCGCTGATCCAGTCAATCACGCGCCAAGCCGCGGTAATCAGGGGCACCCGGCCATATTGGTATAAGCAAAGGAAGGAATTGGAAGCATACGCCTATAATTTAGGCAAGCCTGGCCTTTTCGCTACTGCAAGTGCAGCCGATTACCACTGGGAATCCCTATACCGTCATATGCCTCGATTTGACGAGTGGCAAGCAGCTCCTGAGGCGGCGCGGATGGCTCTATCCCGGCAACTGCTACGAGACAACGCCCATATTGCTGCTTACCACTTCTATAAACGTTATACGCTGTTTAGGACTATTGTCCTGAAGCAGAAGTTCAACCTAACGGACTCTTGGGGCCGCTACGAGTGGCAGGGCAGGGGTTCCAGTCACCACCACGGCCTATATTGGCTAAGTGGCCACCCAGACTTAGATCCTGATAACGACCGGTCCCGGGAGCAATTCGCCCGCATCTGGGGATATCACGTATCTGCCATTAACCCAGAGCCACAGCGAATACAGGCGCCTGGGGAAGGGAATCCCCTGATCGGTACTCTATTGGAACATCCCCTTACCGTTCAGTTTCTATCGATGGTAATCAACCGCGTGCAACGCCACCGCTGCAACAACTACTGCATGCAGGTCAATAAGCATACCAAGCAGGTGGAGTGCCGCTTTGGATTTCCTCACGGCCAGCGCCTACTAGCCTCCCTTGACAAGGTTCCTCACTCTAAACACTGGAGCTTTAGGGGCGAGCGGAACGATGGCCAGATTAACCATTACAACCGCTTGCTTACCGTTGCGTGGCTAGCCAATACAGACGTTTCACCCTGCACGAGTCTACAGCAGGTAATCGATTACGCGGCCAAATACTGCTCAAAGTCGGAAAAGAAGAGCGAGTCTTTTGCCCAGATCAGGAAGGCCCTGATGCCCCGGGTCAAGGACCACAACCCCTTATTTCTTTCACGTCAAAGCTCCTCAATCAGCTAGTTGCTGAGCGGGATTACTCGAAGCAGGAGGTCAGCCACTTGCTCCTCGGCCTGCCGTTACAGGAAGGCTCACGAACCTGCCTGTACGTTGACTGCCGTAATCCTGACAGGCATTCCCGCTTCCTCCGTATTGACGGCGATGAGGTTGAAGAGGCCCCAACGTTTACGAAAAGTACACTCAACGCCCGGAAGCCCTAGCGGACCTATGCTATGTCTCCTTCCTCAAGTGCTGGAATTTCCGTCCTAGGGACCCTTCCAAGTGGAAGCAATGGCAGCCAGGCAACGTTAACGGCAGGCCTCGTGTGTTGGTTTACTTTCCTCGCTATCAGGCTGATCCAGAGGGTCAACAGTGGCCAGATTACTGCCGTGTAAAGCTAACATTAAACCACCCACATCGGCGGGTTGATGATCTCCTCACATTTGACGGCCAGCTTTTTGGTTCTCACGCTGAGGCCTTCTCCTATTGTTGGCAGCACCACAGTCATGGTGATGACCATTACGGTCGGCCAAAAGAGGCTCGATTACAGCCCCAAGATGATCAATATGAGGCTCTGCCTGTGGAGGAAGAATTTGACGACGAAGACTGGATTCGCCTCGCCGCCCTTTTACCTGGGAACCCCCTTACCCAGGAAGATCTTGACCTTCTTGGCCGCCGCGATATCGACGTCAATTACGACTGGACACGGCATGTGGGTACATATCCGGAACTTCGAGATAGCTACTGGAAAGACCTTATCGCTAGCCACCCCATGGCCAACGATGTGGAGGTCCTTGGCCCTCACTGGCGTAATACGCTGAATCCGCAACAACGACTCGTGTACGACACGTTCATGGGTCACTTCCAGGCGCAAAATCCTACTCAAATCCTTCTCCACGTTGATGGTGGTGGTGGCACCGGCAAGTCGTTCCTTATCAAGGTGCTTTCCTCCCATCTTCAGGCGGCCGCCCTACCGAATCCTAGCCCTATTTGCCGCGTAGCTCAACAGGCGTTGCGAGTAACCAGATACAGGGCAGCACCATTCATTCATTGCTACGCCTCCCAGTAGGTGGTGCTTTTACCGACCTTCCCCCAGCCGACGCAGCCGCCCTTCAGTCCCGCCTACGGCACGTCAAATACCTCGTGATCGATGAAAAGAGCATGCTGGGGATTGAGCAGCTCGCGCGGATCGATTCCCGTCTGCGACAGGCCTTTTCACAGCGTAGCCTCGAGTTCTTTGGTGGTATGAGCGTCTTGCTTGTGGGCGATTTCTTCCAGTTACCACCAGTCCGGCAAAAGCCCCTGTATTCGACTAGCACCAGCCTGTCTGCGTTGGAAAGGAGAGGGCATGTGGCCTACCGGTTATTTGACCGCACCATCTTCCTGACCACGGTACAGCGCCAGGCTGGTGATGATCAGGCCCGGTTCCGTCAGGCGTTGCAGGAACTGCGTGAAGTCAAGTTATCCATACCGTCCTGGAACCTCCTTAGCAGTCGGGTACAGGCCAGGCTAACGCAGAGCGAGGTTGACAGCTTCAAGGCCGCTTTGCGGGTGTATTCTACAAGGGCGCGGGTCAACGAATACAATTACGAGCATATGGTTCATCTAAACGCCCCGGCAATACAGGTGGAGGCAAAGAATCAGGGCAAGGGCGCGGGGCGGGCACCAAGCGACAATGCTGGCAATCTATCTAACAAGTTCCCCATTGCTAAGGGCGCCAGGGTAATGCTCACTACTAACCTATGGCAGCCAGCTGGCCTAGTTAACGGTGCCCAGGGTACTGTATACGATATCGCCTGGAACGCAGGCGCCGAGCCATTGGAAGATCCCCCGGCCGTTATTATGGTGGACTTTGATAGCTACGACGGACCGCCATATCTAACAACTAACGAGGGCAGGAAAATCTCACCCATCCTCCCAGTCAGGCGAGACTTCCTTGTGGGCAACGAGACCTGCGCTCGCACGCAGTTTCCCCTCATGGTGGCGTTTGCCATCACTGTTCACAAATGCCAGAGCCTAACGAAGGATCAAATAGTTACTGATCTCGCTACACGCGACTTCCAGGCCGGGATTAGCTATGTTGCTGTCTCACGGGTTACGTCGCTGCAAGGCTTACTCCTCGAGGCGCCTTTCGATCGTCAGAGCCTCTATAACCACACGCCGACGGAAGGTTTACACGTCTGCGTTTCCTACGTACCGCGTTCACGACTAACTATAAGGCAGGGATGAAGATGCGCCTCGCTGACCAACAACGGCGTCAGGGTCAACAGCTGACCGACGCACCATATACACCACGCTACCTTGACTAAACGACATCTTCCTCTCGGCTGCAGGGAAAAGGGAGGTTCGATATATAGTATATAGTTTACAGTTAGGTTGGGCCTGTTAGGAAGCAGCAGAGACTCCTAACTATCAATTCCCTTAGTGCAGGTTTGGAGCGATTTAAACAGCTGGTTGCCCGCGGCAGGCGAATGGGGGGTTCTAGGGGGTCTCCCCCTAGGAAAGTGAATTGCAGGTATACGATATTTACCCTTCGGGCTGGATATTCAGCCGTTGAGCCCCTTGCCTTGGCAACTTAACGGGTGTTCGAAGTATTTTAACAATACCCGGCCGACCGATATTGCTGGCGAGCTTCGTGACCTGGTTCACGACGATCCTCGTTTAGCCGGTATCACGGCTCAAGACGTGAGTAACGCCTTGGCTAGGCACCGTCAGGAAGAACTAGCTGGCCGTACGCCTCTTCAGTTTCTCTACGACCGGCTAGATAAGTCCGACTTCTTTCATCGAGATAGTCGTGATCCCCAGGGCCGGCTAACTGGGCTATTTCTCGCGCCTCGTGCTACCTTCCATCGATGGCGTCAGCATCACGATGTCCTCGTCCTCGACTGTACCTACAAGACGAACCGATTCAATATGCCGTTATTGAATATCTGCGCGGCCACTCGAGATAACAAAACGTTCTCTATTGCCTCTATCTTCTTGAACGGCGAGACCGAGTCCCATTACTATTGGGCTATCTCGTTGCTGCTAGTCCTTTGCGAGAAGGAGTCGATCCCATTTCAAGGGTCACTGTCACGGACCGAGATACTGCGTTGCTTAAGGCGTTAGATAGCTTTCGCGAGCTTCAAAACAGTACTAACCTTCTGCACGTGGCATATTAACCAGAATGTCGTTGCGAAATGCAAGCAATTTTTCCCTAAGGCATCAAAAATCGGCAATCGAGTCGTACGGGCCCCGGCATTCCAAGCGTTTCTACAAGAGTGGAACGAGATCGTCAAGTCACAAGATGTGAATAGCTTCAACGAACGTTTACGCCAATTTGAGACACCAGGCCGCCACCCGCTTGCAGCTATACAATACTGTTGCAATACGTGGCTAACGCCTTGGAAGGAGAAGTTTGTATCTTGTTTCGTTAATCAATATCGCCACTTCGGGCGTACAACGACCTCGATCGTCGAGGGACTTCACTCTCATATGAAGAAGTTCCTTTGGTCCTGTACGGGCGATTTGACGACCGTTTTCCAACGATTCGAACGCTTCTGGGGCCATCAGGCTGCTCAGATCACAGCGATAGAGAATCGAAACCTCCACAAGATATCAACGTTCTCCCTACAGGCGCCGTATATGCCGATCCGCGAGCGAGTATCGTCATATGCGTTAAAGCTACTAATAGATGAGCATCGCAAGATCCTCTAGACCCCGAAGTCAACGGGCCAAACCGCCGCCAGGTCAATGTCCTTGTAATTGGGCTACTAGTCGAGGGCTACCGTGCTGCCATCGAATCTTCGAGTCTATCAACACCAATACCTCCCTTACACTCGACGACTTCGACCCATTTTGGTATATTCCGATCGATACAAGCGCTCAGGGCACAAGCCCTACTCGGGCACCATACGAGCCACAAGTTATCAGGGCTGAGGGCCGCCCCAGGGCTCACTCAACCTCGAAGAGTCACGGCGGTCAAGATCAACGCGGCGGGATCCGTCACATCACGAGATCGCTGAACGGCATGAGCGGGCTGAGGCTATACGACTGCCTCCTCCTCAACGGCACCAGCGGCGATGACGGGTACGGTAACGGCCGCGATGACTTCAACGGAACGAGGGCTGCGGCACATCGAGGAAAACGGCGATACGTACGAGGCAGGCACACGGATGCAACGGGCGTATCAACAAGCCGGGCGTCAAACGCCAGTCTCTGATGATGACGATCAGCCGGTACGGCGGGAGACCCAAGACTGCATCTTCGTCGCTGGCCTCACGGACGATGCCGCCCTTGAGGATGTATGGGATCAATTGGAATCACAGTTAGATGAAGCGGATCAGGCACGTAGTGCACTCGAAGAAGGAGGCCTGTTGTAAACACCAAAGAATAGTCTCATCAGCATAGAAAGCGCAGTACGAATAGCTTCAATTTTGGGTGCCTTATCGTTGAAGGAGAACTGTTACTACCTGGCTCTACTTATCGTAGAGAATGTGTGCATACAAATTGGCGGTATCGGCCCTCTTCGGCCGTCAGCCACAGTTAATCCACTTTTTGGGTGTACAGTTAATGAAAGTGGGTGGATAGATAACTTGGGCCTATAAATATCAAGGCGGCATCGAGATGTTGGCTTCGTGTAAGCTTAAGTCGATGCGAATGTGATATACCTTGCCTCGCCTTCGTATTGAGACATATAAAGCGTTTAGGGGCTGTAGATGCTAGCAATCTCTCGACCTTGGACGAACGGACTTGATACACCTTAGACAACGCCCATGATGTAAGTTCAATGCTAGTTATTGGTTGTTGTGCAGTAGGGGGAATTGATGGGAGGAGAATACTGTCAATCGTGATAGCTTGCATTTTTAATATTCGTCCACGCAAAATAAAGTAGGGGGAAGAAAGAAACGTGACTGTAAAGATCTGCTATAACTTCGTCATATATGCAATTAACCCTGCTTCTGCTAAGCCGAATATTTAAAATGGGCCATAACCCTCTATGGTCACAGTAGGGTATACGTAATGACAAATTTTCTTCCCAAATGCGTTTTGAGACAGTCTGGCCTACAGTCGCCCGTACTACATACAGCACGCGGTCACCTAAGTCTGCTGGCCGTTGGTACGTTGTTCGGGAACCTGGTGCGTTCAGATGCGGCCCATTAGGCAACAGCAGGCAAGATGTGGTGAAGTCGAAGCTCATTGGCTTTAGTTCACGTCAGCTGTCAGCTAGCGTTTTCTTGGCCGCTCTTTTGGGCAATATAACGATCAAATTTGCATACGGTCAACCAGAGGCGGCAGGAAAGCTTACGCGACATAGCAAAGAGCCAACACGCACGTCTACTGTGCATTGCTTCGATTGTTGAGCTTAGCAGCCGTTATTTTGTAGCATTCGAAGCCAACGTTCATCGCGATCACGACGTTTCAGGAGATTTAAGCTTACCTATATTGAGACACCAAAGGCTTCATTCAGAAGTTAAGGACTGAGTGAAGATTTGGATGAGACACAGACTTGGTAGCAGAGCTTGGAGATAGGACCTAGGAGTCTATGCTGGCATCTAACAAGCGAAGCATACAGATAGCAAAGCGCATGGGTCTTAAGCCCGATACAGACTCTATGAAACCTCAAATAATTAAGGAGTTGCGCAGCAGCGGGCAGCGAACTGGTGTTTTCCCAGTATGCTGGTGAGTGTCAGAACCTTGATGAGGTTCTCGTCGGATAGGTCACGGACACAGCAAGAATGGTACGATCGGATGAAGTGAGGTATGATGTGTGTCTGTCTGTGTCCCCCATTTGGGGGTGCTCTGCCCAAGCCCTATATCAAAGGGCGATGGCCTCAATCCCTATGACATGCCATCACGTCATATCTCTGTAACTGTCTCATAGATGTCCTCGTGGCCTCATCGGCTGCGCTACCTGGTGCGCTATCGTCTGCGCTACCGTTGGCGCTGCCACTAGTAGCCTGACGCTATCGTAGCTGCATCTACCCGGATTCTACCGGATCTAACAGTGAGCGGTGAAAATTCCTGCCCAGGGTACTTCGTCGATGTCACCTGCAACCGGTGACCCAGTCATCAGATCCGCCCATGCATTAGCGCTGAACTCTAGCGCGCATTGTTGCGGAGACCAATACGCCGTCGAATCTCACTGGTTGCAACACGTAGGCTCTTCCCCCTGCCTTGACGTATATAACCCCGCCGTTTCGGGAGCTCAAAAACTCACAAACTTACAATCCCACAATCCCGGTGTCCGTACCCACCCTTCTGACTGTTAGATCGTAACCCATTGCCAACGCCATGGAAGGTAGCCCACCGAACGAGAGCATTCGTGCGGCAGACATCTTGCCCCGAAATTGCGCCCACATACTAACACAACATCTAAAATTCACGTACACGCCGAAGGGACTCGCCAACGCGTACCAATCGGCGACAGAACAAGAGGAGACTTCATGTGAACGTATCTTTCTGGACGGCGGCGGGTTTTCAGCCTGGTTTACTTACTTCCTCGCGAAGCGGGCCGCGAAAAGTGGTTCTCACTTTGATGGTCAAGCTGCAGTCAGCCAGATGCTCGACAGCCTCCCCAACATCGCAATCGATGACCAAAGGAAGTTGGCGGGGGAAGTACGTGATTCGATTCCGTCGGATGTCGAGAAGCGAATCCAAGAAGTCTTCAACAAGGCGATTAAACCAAATCAGATTGGTGTTGTGGCGCCATCATCGAAACGACGTCGTGAGTATAAGTCCACGAGATTAAGATATCCCTTTAACGAATACCCTAGGCGCGATAGGTGACGATAATGATCCTCGACTTGAGATGCCGAGCCCAACGCCATCGACAAGCGGGACTAACTTCACATCCGAGCTTTGCACAAACGGCTGTCGTTTCGACCTCGGAAACCCCACTATTTTGAGGGTCGCGACCGTTTTCCCAACTTTCACTGCTGGTGCAATTAGAAGATACCGCATGCCAAGCAGCGGAAATTCTTGGGCGGCAGCCATCACAATGTCGTTCTTCGACGGTTCCTCCTTTGGGGACAAGCTAGGATCAATGATGAGCTTGGAAGTAACGAGCAACAAAGTCGAGCGTCTGGCCAATAACTTGTTCGATGCTCCTGTGGAGTCAATGGATAAGAACCGATATCTCGTACTCCCTACAGGGCTGAGGATCATCCCCGGCGCGGACCTCATTCTCCGTGGTTGCAAGAGGCATGTCATCCTGGATGTGTTCGGCCACGACATATACAACGCAGTCAACGCAAGCCGGGCCTATAAAGAAGAGGCAGAGCAAGGCAACCCTCTTACAGAATGTGTGACAATGACGATATCGCACCGA